CCAGACACCCACCCACCCACACACACACACACACGCAAACACACACAGGACTGTCTCAGCTGTTATTTTCGTTAAGGAGTGTGCACGTACAGCATGCGAGCCTCGTGCACGACCCTACTATTGAAGCTGCCGTTATGCTTTTGGCCTGAGGGGGCATCTGCGAGCACAAAAATTCAAAACTCCCTAAAGTCCCTTTAAGGTATAATAGTTCTATGGTATACAGGTCCTTCTCAAAAAATTAGCACATCATGAAAAGGTTCTCTAAACGACATATTAACCAAATCACCTGAATCAACTAATTAACTCTAAACACCTGCAAAAGATTCCTGAGGCTTTTAAAAACTCCAGGCCTGATTCATTACTCAAAACCGCAATCATGCGTAAGACTGCCGACCTGACTGCTGTCCAGAAGGCCATCATTGACACCCTTAACCAAGAGGGTAAGACACAGTAAAGACATTTCTGAATAAATAGGTTGTTCCCAGGGTGCTGTATCAAGGCACCTCAGTGGGAAGTCTGTGGGAAGGACAAAGTGTGGCAGAAAACGCTGCACAACGAGAAGAGGTGACCGGGCCCTGAGGAAGATTAACATGCACTTGTATTGGAAATGGTAACAACATTTATTGTCTGCTGCTAACAATGTAATAGTGGCATGTCTATTATGTACGGATTAGGGTTAGGGAGGTGTTCCATTTCGCCTTGGCCTCCAAAATGCCTTGAGACGGCCCTGGGTGTGTGACTGAGTTTTGAAGGTGATCTGAATTGTATCATGTATAAATATGACATGTGTGTAACTTATTGTTTTATACAGGTAAAAACGTGTAGTGGAGATAAATCTACCTACATTTGACCATCAAGTTTTGTTTTCTTGTTTTCCTGTCCTCCGTCTCTCATCTTCCTGCATCTCCTCTAAACTCTCCAGAAGAACTGCTGCCTGGCTTCTTACTTTTTCACCTCATCAGTTACTTTTGAACTAAGAAGATCAAAGGGATCTCCTGACCGCAAAGCGGAGTGCACGTATCGATGCTGCGTCAGTGAGGTGAAATCACCGCAGCACACGATGAGCGGAGCGCGTCAGGAATGATTAAAAGACAGAGCACCAGAGGATATAAACAGATATGAACGATCATTTGTTCATAATAATGTTTTGTTGCGTCACCTTGACAATGTATCATGCGCCGGACGCAGCGGGCGCACCAACGATCAGCGCTCTGCGTCTTCTCCTCTCAACAGAACCCCGCTGCTGAGTCCAAAATATTAATTTATTAATAATATATTAATAAATATTGTAATATAGGTAGAAACGGGATCTTTCCCTGAAATATATCTAGCCCCCATAACTCGATCCCTGCTCCTGGATGAAAACCCGGACATGTTGATCCATGTAGGAAACCCCCCGGGCGCCCCGGACAGAGAGTGAAAAGTGGACATGTCCGGAGGAAAGAGGATGTATGGTCAGCCTACAATAGCACCAACCATAGATATGTACAGACTAGCGAGAAAATCAATTTTGATCTTTTTCTGCAGCGGTTTTAGTGCTTTTCGGTGCACCGCTGCTGATACAGCGCCCCTATAGTGGCGCAGCGCTGCAACTGCAGTTAAAATAACATCCATTTGCTGGGGGCAGAGTGAAATCAGGCTGGGGCGGCAAAAAATTAGCTGGAGGCGGTCACCTCGCAAATCTGAACGCAGGAAAAACTCTGGTGTGTTGCTGATGTTTTTTAGGATGCTGTGCTACGAACAGGATAAGGTAGAGTCATGTGACTTTGTGTAGTCACATGACTCTACCCCAACAGTTCTGTGATAAGAAGGGAACTACAGTTAGGAAAATGAGTATGATTCAAATGTTGAAGCAGTGGGTGGGTGCACTGGGTAGCGGCCAGCGAATGCCAGCGGCAGCAACTGAATCCAAAATGTTGCCAAACTGTTAAAAGGTTTTTTGTAGGAACAGGCTTCTCCTCGACTAAATCTTTCTCGCCATCGCTGTCACTGTGAAGCTGTATGGGTGGTTATCTTCCATTTGCCGTTATCGAGGTGAAGTGCTCAGTATGTCATGATATTGATTTGTGGTCATATCACCCAGTCCCCGTTTGCACAAATATTATTCCCAATTATTGCTGGGAGCGTCGCTCCACGTCTCGGTAAACAAAAATGTTGGATGCTCAGCGATTTTGGTAGGTGGGAACTTGGAAGGTGAGGGGTGGTTCTATGTTAATTTACCGAATTGTTACAACACAATCGGGAAGTCTTTTTAATTGTCTCATTTTAGGCACATAATTCCTAAACCGAACAACTGAGAAAACAGACGAATGGGATTTTTTTGTTTCAGGTGTTTAGAAAACCACACGGCAGCAAAAAAGACGCTAAAATAAGATTTTCTTATTTTCCTATTATTCTTCTTAAAGACAACACAAAATGCTTCAGCAAATGAGAATATTGGAAATTAAATAGAAATGAAAGACATGCACACCAATCAAGCCCTAGTTTGCTTCAGATTAGACACAAGCAAACAAAAGTTTGTTAATGACGAGTCGATCCCATACTACCCAGAAAGAGATCAATTAAATCCATGTATTGATTTTATGTGATGTATGAATGTATCGGTGATGCTGTGCTGGGATAGAAGCCCTTGAAACCTCATGTCATGCACTCCATCTTTAGATCCCTCCAGTGTCATCCATCACTTTTTCATATTTTGTGCATTATCATGCAGAATGGTGTGGACATGGCACTCGTCCATTACCCGCGTGTTGGGCATCTTTTCGCCTGCTTTGCATGCTCTGCTGCATGAGATTCACAAAACTGCTGGGCGTCCAACACTGCACAATTCTGATCCAATGGCAACTTGATCCAATGAGAACCGAGGCTAACGTCCAAATTGCTGCAGCAAAGCCTTTTCAGATCAGAGAAAATGCCTCTTAAGAGGTATCAAAGTCTCTTGTACAGCTAGGTTACACTGTTGGATATGCATGATGAGAGATTAAGGCTTAGAAAGAGCCTGACACAAAAATAAACAGAAAAAAGAACAAAAATATGAAGACTACTGAATTCAATACCCTCTCAGTAATCCTCTAAACAATGTCCTGAAGAAACCTGTGCACTCTTTGAAGGCCAAGGCTTTGCACTTTAGATGTGTAGTAAAATTTTCTGTCCTAAAACTCTTCAACAAACCTCACAAAAGGCAAAATTGCACAAATTAAAATACATCCATCAGAGAGATATGCTGACATAGTCACCTTGTACCAAATCTTTCAAGCAGCCTCTGACACAAAGACAACAGAAGCTGACTGCACTAAGTGACCTTAATCCATCAGAACATGCTTATATCGGGATCCTGATTCTATCTCAGGCATCAGATTGGATGAGACGTCTGTAAAAAGTTATCCAAAACCAACAAATGGTCAGCACTTTACTGGAAGAGCAGCTAATTAATTCTACTATTCAGCATCAGGAGTTGGAGCTTAGCTCAGCTTTCTGTCCAGCTAGCAGTGATGATTAAAATTAGGTTCATTAATCTCCCCTAACTTGAAAATAATGATAAAAATGAAAGCACTTGGCTCTAAATATTTTATTCTGTTTCAAATTTGATTCTGGAATGTTTGTTTCATGTGTCTCGCAAGTAATGTGTGGACAGCGAAAAGCGGGTCGTGTCATGATCACGTTCGCTGTAAATCTGAAAAAACTTTGGCGGCTGCTAGTCCGCTGGATTGATCACTGCAGCTCATTCCTGTTTTCTGTTGAGTTTACACCCTTGTCTGATAGTGGAGCCAACTGTGCACCAAACTATTTCCATTTTACTGTGAAATCAACTAACTTCAACCAATAAAAGGCTACAAAATGGCTTGTTTTGACTAGCATCAATGGATTTTCAACATGTGTAAACAGTGTTTCCACCATCTGTAATGGCAAAGGGGGTGGTCCCATGAGCGGCGTGACATCACATGCAAAGGGTAAATCATCAATCGTGTAATTGTTTCTGAAAAGAACATTATTGCACCAAATTATCAGCACCGTCTGACCACTAATGACCAAAAGCCCCCCGATCACAGCATCATCTAAAAAGGAAACGACAACAGAGCTAAATGTAATTTAAATAATCTAAAAGTGCCCCGCCCTTTTGGTGTTTTGAACATTTCAAACAATATAGCAAAAAATTCTCCAGAAAAACATCTGCGGGACTTTTAAACCACATAAATACAGTTTTTAAGTGTCTGCATCCTGAATAGAGGGAGGAAATGTATGAACAAAGTAAAATCTGAATCAGGAGCACGCCGACGATCAGCGTGGCAGGATGAAGAGTGTGATTTGTCTTTAATAGTCTTTGGTGTACAAACATGTTTGTAAAAGAAAAATCGATACAACCTGAGCAATTACCCATTTAAGAGGAAGTTATTTTCTTCAGTCAATAAAGAAATGCATTGACATTTATAAGCCCGGACTTTAGATCCATGTACGCGAGTGGAACTCGGTCAAACACATCTGCCACTGTCAAATGACTCAACTGAGAAAATTAACGCCGTACGTGTTGATGCCTGGAATACAAACGACACAATCTAGTCAGAAGTAGTTTTCTATAGAACGCGACAAGGCTTTCATGTAACTTAATTTTTAAAAGCAGTATAAGACTAATTGGCGTGATTCGTTTTGATTTGAAAAGCAGGAAATTATTTTTGTTCTTTAGGGTTGCTGCTGCACGCCGAGTCAGCGCCGTCTCCGTGGAGGCTTTCTTCATGCACAACTATTTAATTTAACCGTTTCTGTCTCCTGCAAGTTGTAATAAATTATACCCACTTTACTCTTCATTAGAGTCATATCACCACTGTGAACAAATAACACAGGTAAACTTTCTTCATTAAGTGAAGCTTTCTGAAATTAACGGCCTCCATCAAGATCTGAATAACAGTTGAGATGCAGAACCTTGTTCAGTCTTGCCGTGGTGTTTAATGCACAGATCAAACCAGTTTAACATTACAGGTAAATGCTTGTGAGACGTAAGTTACCTTGTCTCCATCCACTTTGCCCCTTATGAACTCCGACCTCCAGAACTGTAGAGCCTGCTCCAGAGAGAGGCCGATGCCTTTGAGGAAGAGACCGTACTGCATCCTCCCTCCGTGGCGAAGGTGGTGGTTCTCTCTAAGGGCCTGGTGGAGCTGCCTCATGCAGAGCGGGAATGATTTTCCTGAAAGCTAAAAGCCCTCAAATGTTAATGATTTGCATAAAGACATTTGCAGCAAACATGAATGTGTGCCTGTGAATGATTAGTAATATTAATAATAACACTGCTGTCATGGGAGGCACGGAAATCAATATTTTTGGACCACCTTTGGCTTACATTGCAGCAACATTTTAATAGGCTTATGAAATGTCTTTTTCCATATCTGGGATACAAAATGAACCTTGAAGTTTGCGTTTCAACCAGAGACGATTAGTACAACTTACTGAATCAATCTGTTCCAAAGAGATTTTCCCAACATTCTTCTGGATGCTGTAATCCTGTCCCAAATATGCATGGCTGCAGGAAGATATGAAAACATCAGCACCATGATAATGAGGCCATTTCTCTGTGATAAATGACATTTTGAATGCAACCAAAGTGGTTCAACAAAGCTGCATTGTATAACAGTCATTTAAAGAGAGATAGATCTATATTGCTGCATTCGATATTGCATGTGTGCTTCAAATCAACTTTTTATTTTCAACAAAGCAGCTCTCGCTGTCAGAATTAGAAAACCCTTGCAAAATGTGTTTCTGTAACTTGCCTAATTTAAAACCTGTACATTTATTATGTTAATTTAAAAAACTGCAAATTAACTCATTAACTGCCAATGACGACTAAAGTCGTCATTTGCATTTTTTTTTACTGTGTGGGCATCGGAACGAGCCCCCGCATCGTGAGAACAAACATCTCAGCTCTAAAGCCGATCTTTATCCGCATACGTCACACGTCACGTGATCAGGAAGCAGAAAATCCATGTGTTAGGAGATCATTTTGGGCCGCTGCTGTAAAAAAAAGTGAGGCGCGAACCGGAAAAGCGTCTGCCGATCACAATTCAACAACGGATTATGAAAGAACGGATAAACCTCGAAACGCACGGATTCTTCCTGATGTAAGAGGTGAGTCTCCGCTTTGTTTTGGTTGTTTTGGCGTCGACATCATCCTAGCGTGCAACGTTCTGTGACTCTTAAAAAAACAGCAAAAACGGAGAGAAACGCTGGCAGCGAAGGGCTTTAGCGATCAGGAAATCGCTGGCAGCGAATGAGTTAAAACAAAATTACAGTAACTAAGAAGCCTAAACATTTTAAATAAGTCACTATAAAATTGTAAATTAAATTTTAAATTAAAAAAAAGCTATAAATGATGTAAAACAATAAGCTTCTAAACCTGCAGAAAGAGAGAAAAAAGGGGGGACACACAAAAATACAACAGAACCAAAATGTCATTGCGCCAGATGCATGAGGATTTACAATAGTGACAAATTTAAATGAAAAGCACACGCTAATAACTCATAGTGCATTCTGCACCAACCACAGCAGTGGGGTATGTGTCACAAACACCCAAGTCCATACTTGTGCGAGCACCATGTGAGCACCTGTGTGTGTAGATGGCTGAAAACTTTCTCCAAATAAACAGCAATAAAACTGAAGCCATCATTATTGGCACTCCACATCAAACACAGTCTTTCCCCCTTAGCAGTATCCCCATTTTTGGCCACAACATTCCCCTTTCCTCTTCTGTAACAAATCTCGGAATCAGACTCGACTCTAATCTCACATTTGACACCCACATCCGCCACCTTGCAAGGACTCCTTTCTCCACCACAAAAACATTGCCAAACTTCACCCCTCTCTTTCCCAGACAGATGCAGAGAAGTCAATCCATGCATTCATCTCCTCCAGGTTGGGCTATTGCAACGCCCTCCTTGTTGGAACCCCTGGCAAGAGCCTACAAAAACTCCAGTACGTCCAGAACTCTGCTACCCAGGTCCTAACAATGAGGCGCACATATGATCATATCACTCCTGTCCTGAAATCCCTCCATTGGCTGCCTATCCGATATCAGATTCAGTACAAAATTTGCCTTCTCACCCACCAGCTCATCTATGGAACTGCCCCTGCCTATCCAAGCGAACTTCTCTCCCCACACACCGCTACAAGATACCTCCGCTCTACCACCTCTTCACACTGGCCGCACCAACCAGGTCCTTCAAGGCAGTGGCCCCTTGACTTTGGAACTCTTTTCCAGAGTCTCCGAGGGCTCCACAAGACATTTTTCTTTAATAAGGCTTTCTGGAGATATTTTTTATGACCTACTGTGTGATCTATTGTATTGTGTTGTTTTTAGATATAGCCTGTATTCTGCTGTAATGGTTGTGTTTATCTATTCTTGGATTGTTTTTATCCCAAACTTTGTAGCACTTTGAGATTTCTTCTGGAATGTAAAGTGTATTATAAAGAAAATGTATCCTTATTATTATTATTAACTCATTCACTGCCATTGACGACTAAAGTCGTCATTTTAGATCCAACCGTGCAGGAAGACATGAAAACATCAGCACCATGATAATGAGGCCATTTCTCTGTGATAAATGACATTTTGAATGCAACCAAAGTGGTTCAACAAAGCTGCATTGTATAACAGTCATTTAAAGAGAGATAGATCTATATTGCTGCATTCGATATTGCATGTGTGCTTCAAATCAACTTTTTCTTTTCAACAAAGCAGCTCTCGCTGTCAGAATTAGAAAACCCTTGCAAAATGTGTTTCTGTAACTTGCCTAATTTAAAACCTGTACATTTATTATGTTAATTTAAAAAACTGCAAATTAACTCATTAACTGCCAATGACGACTAAAGTCGTCATTTGAATTTTTTTACTGTTTGAGCATCAGAACGAGCCCCCGCGCTGAGAGAACAAACATCTCAGCCCTGAAGCCGATCTTCATCCGTATACGTCACATGTCACATGATCAGGAAGCAACACATCCATCTATTAGGAGATCATTTTGGGCCGTTCCTGTAAAAAAAGTGAGGCGCGAACCGGAAAAGCGTCTGCCGATCACAATTCAACAACGGATTATGAAAGAACGGATAACGCTCGAAACACACGGATTCTTCCTGATGTAAGAGGTGTGTCTCCGCTTTGTTTTGGTTGTTTTGGCATCAACATCATGCTAGCGCGCAACGTTCTGTGACTCTTAAAAAAACAGTAAAAACTGTGAGAAACGCTGGCAACGAAGGCCGTTAGCGATCAGGAAACGGCTGGCAGTGAATGAGTTAAACAGAGCGCACATTTTGAGCGCTTGTCTTGGCTAGTAGAAGCTAACTAATAGCAACAGCATCTCCTCATGATGGAATATGTTCAGGCATGTGTTATTTGTGGAGACAAATCAATGTGATATTTTTTACCCAAAAAATAAATGTGCAAATGAAGGCAGCAGAAAATTTGCGTTGCTCTTAGCCAATCAGACACATGACATTTGCATATTATGAATATTAACGAATTTCAACCCCCTGAAACAGGAGTGCCATATTTTTTTTCCTGACAGGAAAGACTCACAAGGCATTCCTTCATAATAGACCACAAAAAATGGAACCTTTGGGACAGAAGTGTCCACTTTAGTCTTGGCGTTTCTCTGATAAGTCTCTCTAAATGGAAGCCTTGCAAAAGTTCTTCACAATAATATTCAGAATGGTTCCACACAACCCCACTTCAAAAGGTCTCTGAACTACGGCTTTAAATCTCCAAATTTTCTTGGTGCTCCACCTTTTAACTTTTCAACAAAACCCTTGCAAAATGGCTGTAAAGTTCCTATTCCTCCTGCTTACCTGAGATGGTTGAGGAGTGGCTGGAGACGCTCATCGGAATGCACCGCTGGTAGCGAGCGAGCTGTCAGCTGTAGAAAAAGATGGGCATCACATAAGTAACGGCACTAGGTCTTGGTGAAAGGATGGCTTGGCTTTACAGGTCAGTGCAGATGAAGCATTTTAAAAAACCGTTCACTTCAAACCAGCTCCTAATTACAGCTCTAAAGTGTTTAGGACTACTTTATTCAAACTAATTAAAAACATTTCACCGAAGGGCATTCATGCCAGAATATCTTTAATTAATTTACTTGACTGTAGTTTGTGCAGTGTTCTCGCTAACAAAATTGCACTTGTAACTTCTTAGTCAGCTGATAAATCCTGCATCTGATGTGCTTATTCACACTGACAGTTTTTTAAAGTGAGTGGAATATTCACACACCTTTTCTGAATATCTGTTGGCAGTAGCAGGGAGCAGACTGTTAACTTAGTGTGAGAACGCCTTTAAAGTGCTCATGCTCAGACAACTGCATAGAAACCCGGCGCCACAGTGCCATCCTAAAACATATGTAGCATATAAAACAACCGTTGGCTAATATTTCACAACCCATGCATTTTGCAGCTGTGACTGGTTAAAACTTTTGTTTTAAAATTGATATTTTTTCCCATTATTGTTTCAGCTAAGGGAAATAACCAAAACAGGAACAAAAATTGTTTTGGAAAATTGTTCAATTCCAACAGTTAGTGGTCCAGATAATTACTTGGGAAGAGAAGAATGGAAGAGCCAGAACCAAACTGCTCTTTATATTTTTGTTTTGTTCTCTCCTCTCATTCAGGCCCAGCCTGTCTAATGTTGGAGGACACGTATTTAGACCAAAGCCAATCAGAAAGTCTGTTTGCCAACATCAGTCAGGATGCAATTAGACTACCAAACAAAAAGAATGTCAAATTATGACTGCAGCCAAAACTGAATTCAACAGCCAGTCTGTTGTTTTATTAAAAAAAAGAGAGACAGGAAGCATTTGTCAACAAAACATCTGAACTTTTTCTTCTCAAAATAAATAAATAAATAAAAGAATACATACATTTTTTTAAAATGCAAAATCAGAGCAAATAAAGGCGTAGAGCAGAGCTACTCTGAACCCACTCCAAGATTAGATGGCACATGAAAACCACACTCTAAAATCACACTTCTGTAATTCTAGTAATCACACTTCATTTAACCAGAAGTGAGGTGCAGACGAGTTATTCAAATCACCAAAAAGCATTTTAGATCTGTGACTGAGTGGAGCCCAAAGTTTGACAAGAACACATACATAACGTGGAATAACACTGATTGAAGGCGACTTCACTGTTAAAGAGCAAGTCACATCAAAATCAACTTTTTTTTAGCTGATAACTAGTATAAATGAGTGTCTAATAGTGTTGTAGACATGTGCAGTTATTAATTTTGCATTTTGATGCATTTTCTTTGAAAACACTAAATTCTGTCTAAAAATGTCAGTCTAGTGCCATCTTCAGCTCAAAAGTATAGAACACGTTTACGTTGAGTCTGTTCTAGCCACTGGCTAACAAGAATGATGCTAAGTATCCAAGAACAGTACTACGTAGCAGCTCTGTGGCTGTAGGTTATAAAAGCACAGCGGTCTCAAGCAGCCTTGTAGCAGTCGGCTCGGTTTAGGGGCAAGTGAGTTGTGCTGTAGTTAGCATTAGCATTGTGTCAGAGTCCCAGCAAAGCTTCTAGTATTATAGTTATTTAGTTCTAGTAGCTTGGCTGTTAATATTGTAGTTAAGTGTTTTTTACATGTTACACTTTCACCAACTTGATGTGAATTTTAACTGGTTTGAAGAGCATTTCACATTAGTCCAAGCCATTCCAGTAATTAGCCGGATCCCACCAACTGCTGCTTCCTCAAAACGGAGATTTTAGGTCCAATTTGAGGTGAGTAAGCTAAATAATTCATTTTAACAGCTTCTAAAGATCGTTCCATACCTGTAATTTTGCAGCTATATTTGCTATATTTATAATTACAAAGTAAGAGAGACGTGGACATGGTTCACGTAATTTAGACAATCAGTCCACACTGCTGCAGGCTTGGAGCGAGTGTTGTGTGTGTTATAATGTCACAAACTGGTTCGGGTTAAGTTTTTGTGCCAGTTAGTAATGTCAGTGCTGATGCAGAGCAGGAGGGACACTGGAGTAGCTCCTCCTGCAGCAGACCTGACCCGGTTCTGAACTGGTGCTGAGTCCGGTTCTCATTAGAACATGTCTGATTCTGGACACTGAGTTAGCTCTGAGAGCAGTCCAACCACTCACCAGCCGTGTTATAAAGCACATTTATGACAGTTTGTTTTGTACATGATCTAAGTTACTAAACTCCCACAACAATGTGATAATATTTTTTCTGCCCAAGACTGATGTCATTTTCCACCAGCCTGGACCGGTCCAGGCTAGAAGTCTAGCAGGTGAGTTATTTTTAACCATCTGTCTTTCTTTACCTTCTAGATTTAACAATATGTAATAATTTTAGCTTATTGTTACACACGTGTGTTGCTGCTCTTAAAAACAACTATAAATATATTTGCTGTTTCTTTATATTTCACATAACCTCCCAGCAGCAGTATGTTGCGACACTGGGACCATGATGGGAATTCCACCCAGAGCAGCTTCTACACTCCTGAACAGACACACTGTGTGGTGGAGCTTCTGAGCAGCTTCCATCTGAATGACAGGACAAGCTCCATGAACTGATCCAGGTAAAAACATTCTAAATAATAATATTGTACTCTGTATTCTGTTTTTTTTTTCACACATCTCAGCCTGGCTGCTCACCACTGGAGAGGAGTAGCTTCCCAGACTCACACTAATGGGCCATTCCCATCTGTACCGGGTCGGCCTGGGCCGGGCAGCCCCAGTCGGCCCCAGCCTGGCCCGGTTGATTCCACACATCCTTGCCTTAAGCCCATGTGGGCTGATTCTACCCACCAATCAGAGGCTTGCTCTAATGGAAGGTGTGAATTTGCTGTCAGCAGTGGGTGTGTTGGCCCTGGTCGGCCTGAAGCAGACCCCCTCGAGAAGAGGGCTGAGAATGAGCCTTGGTTGGCCCGGAAAAATACCAGGCCACCCAGATATGCAAACAACCTACGCTACCCGGCCCGGGCCGACCCGGTACAGATGGGAATGGCCCATAACATCCTGTTTTACCTCAGGGCCTCCTGATCCATCAGAAAAACATGTAGCTCTATCCTCACTCCGCTCTCCACGTTTCTCATCATCTCTGGAAGCTACCTCCCACAACACTGTGATGTTATAATTTTTTTCAGGTTAAATTAACTCAAGTAATCTGCTGTCAGACTGACTGTTGCAGCTACAAATGGTCCAGACTAACATGAAGCCTTGCAGGTGTAGTAAAGGTGAGTTGTTTTTTATCATGTAATCTTCATTACAACCTTTGAGTTTTAACATTTACTATGTTTTTGTTTCATAGCTTATTGCTACACGTGTGTTGCTGCTGTGAGCTTGGAGCTAGATTACATCATGACATCATGAAAGAGGCTACCGATTCTGGCCCTGTGACACTTGGTATCGCGTGAGCTGATTCACCTGGTAAATACATTTTACATTAAATATTTTGGTTTTTGCTATCAAAAGTAAATTAACTAATAACCTGCATTATTGCAGGACACTCAGCAAAATATGGACTCTACACCATGAGGCTGGCACACGTCAAGATTCTATAAGAGCACATAAGGTGAGCAACACCACAGGTTATTATTATTATTATTGTACACTGTCCTGGATTTGTTTTCTTTCTGCATCTCATCATTAGCCTGGCTGACCACCTGATAACTCCAGTCATCTGGCTATGACAGCATGAGTGTGTCCTCACACACCTGTAACCTATCAGCTCATCTGGCAGAATAGAGAGAAGAGACAACACCACATCTCCTGTTCCTGGAAAGCCTTCAGTCATCCTTCGATGACTGAGAACCTCCATCAGCTCCGTCTCCTGTCTGCCTACAATTATTATAATAAATATTGTGTTTGACAAGTTCTGTATGCTGCCAAAATGTCTCATTTTAATTCCAGTTTTTATATTTTAATGGATATTTATAAACTGCATTAATTGAATTATCACATTGTTGCATGTTTAACTAGCTCTATTGTGATGAATTAAACTAGTACCTCACTGTTAAAAGCTTGTTTAAAACTCAAGCGTGTTTAAATATTTATGGACATGAACAAAAACAGGAAATATATCAATTGAGATTTATTTGCATAATATAACAAATAACTGTTTTAAGGGGGAAGGAATCATTCAAAGGCACAATCTTCTGGAATCTCCTGATCCTAACCACACCACCAGAGGAGACCCAGCTGCAGACGCTTGAGGATCACCTACGACCAAGAGAAAGCTGGTATCAGTAATGAAATCAGGGCAATTTTAGGTGGATGTTTGTGATTGTGTAAAATAAATGAACACATTACAGAATTTTCTCATGGGGTATTTTTATAACTTTCTCTGCAGCAGACTGTAACTTGAGCCCAGGGCTCCTGGAGAGCTGCTATCCAGCACGTTTCAGTGGATTTTCCTGCTTTAACAGGTTAGATTAGCTGTTAAGCAGCTCAGCTATTTGCCGCTGATTAAAACCAGGTGTGTTGATGCAGATGAACCTCTAAAACATGATTGATACTAGCTCTCTAGGGCCGTGGAGCCAAACCCTGCAGCTAACCTAGTGCTATGGCTAACGGCTACTTACCATTCATAGCTGGTTCTGTTGGGTCGGCTCCGGTGGTTTCAGGCAACTCAAAAGCTCAAAACAATCAGGCTCGGGTCCGCTTGTCTCCTCCAAATGGACTTAGTCCCTTTCTTCTCATCGTCTTGGTAAGGAGGGGGAGAAACGTCCTCCACTTCTAATGACTGCTCAGAGTGAAAAAAGCTAGCTTTGTCTCGTTACCCATCCGTCTTCGTCACTGCCGTGGCTCCGCCCTCTCGGTCCGCCAGGCAACGCCTACTAAAATTGCAATTTTCAAAATTGATATGTGGGTGGAGAAGGACTCTGAGGCAGGGTTGAACTGCCCTTTAAATACAAGAGGAAGACAAGAAAATTCAGTGTTGTCACTGAACAGAAATGAACCGTTGTTTACACTGCCAAGGCACTTCCAAAGTACAGACAAAAGGAAGTGACAGTTTTAAGACTAAAACAACTGAATCTGATGTCTACTGACTCGCTGCTTGTTTCTCTTTTTGGTTTTATACATACAGCTAGAATAGTGCTAATTATTCCAGAGCTCCATTCAAAAACGTTCAATTCTACATATCTGTGCCGGCAATATGGTAAATGGTCTGTATTTGATATAGCAACTTATAGGGTCCTGGAACCCCCCCAAGGTGCTTTACAACACAATCATTCATTCACACACATTCACACTCTGGCGGTGATGAGCTACAGTTGCCCGGGGGCACACTGACAGAGGTGAGTCTGCCGTCCTTCTGAACACCATCAGCAGGAAAGGTGGGTTAAGTGTCTTGCCCATGGACACAACAACAGCATCAGATTGAGCGGGGCTTGAACCTGCAACCTTCTTATTAGCTCCTGTGCCACTGTGCCCCAATAGAAAAACACCTATCTGTTAATCTCTAGCACGTACAAATATCTGAATGCTTGAGCATCCCACCCACTCTCACCTAAATCAGCTGTGAAGCAGAGACAATCTGCTATACTGAGAGAAAAGCTCAACCTATATATTAGGGCTGCAACAACGAATCGATAAATTCGATGAAAATCGATTACTAAAAGCGTTGGCAACGAATTGCGTCATCGATTCGTTGTGTCACACAACTCTTCCAAAAGCGCCCCCCCCCCCCCCTTCCCGCCCGCCGTTGCGCGCAGACCAGAGCAAGTCAGATCAGCGCGAGGGAGAGCCGCAGATCAGCGCGAGGGAGAGCCGCAGATCAGCGCGAGGGAGAGCCGGCAGATCAGCGCGAGGGAGAGCCGGCAGATCAGCGCGAGGGAGAGCCGGCAGATCAGCGCGAGGGAGAGCCGGCAGATCAGCGCGAGGGAGAGCCGGCAGATCAGCACGAGGGAGAGCCGCAGATCAGCGCGAGGGAGAGCCGGCAGATCAGCGCGAGGGAGAGCCGGCAGATCAGTGCAAGGGAGAGCCGGCAGATCAGCGCGAGGGAGAGCCGCAGATCAGCGTGAGGGAGAGCCGGCAGACTTGCGCTGCTGCGAACCGGTTCCGCATTGTTGCACAGCGATCCAGGCAGCTGCTTCCAGCGCACGGTCCATTCTCAAAGTGGCGCAACCAAAAAACTATAATTAGCACACGATCATTCTTGTCTGCACATGTTCTCTATTTTCTGTCTTATTTGTGCCTGAAGCGCGCTACTGCGGATCTCATCACCTGTGCTGTGGTGATGTCACCTCACGCAGCATCGAAAACGCGCTCTGCGCTTTTCGGTCAGGAGATCCCTTTGACCTGCTCAAAAGTAACTGATGAGGTGAAAAAGTAAGAATCCAGGCAACAGATTTTCTGGAGAATTAAGAGGAGATGCAGGAAGATGAGAGACAGACAGGACAGGAAAATAGTTCAATAAAAACAAGAAAACAAAACAAAGTGTTGAAAAGTAAAATGTAGGTAGATTTATCTCCACTACACGTTTTTACCTGTATAAAGCAATAAGTTATACACATGTCATATTTATACATCTGATACGATTCAGATCACCTTCAAAACTCAGTCACACACCCAGGGCCGTTTCAAGACATTTTGGGGGCCAAGGCAAAATGCCCCACCCCCCCCCCACCCCCACCCCAATAACTGGGCTCCCCAGAAGCCTCTGTGTAATTCATGCCCTCTCCAGTAGTGTTAGTTATACGGTGTTTATAAAAGCCCCTCAGACATTACTGACATGTTCTAATATTATCAGATGAAAAACTAAATTATCAGACATGCTGTCTCATCTGCTTCTTTTAAAAACTTGCAAAAAGTAACAAAACCATTTGAAAGCCACTATTTGTGGATTCTCTGAAAGTTTCCATGGAGTGTGTGACAACTTATTTTTTCATTGATCCTATCGTCTAATCTCACAGCTGAAACAAGCATCCTTAATAATCTGTGCACAGGAAGCTTACCGATGCTGTAGTAAAACAAAAGGTATAATAATTTATTATTAATAAAACCTTGTTGCAGCACTAAAGCAGAAAAATTAGATTTTGCATTAAATATGCAAAATATTTACATATGAATTGTTTTAGAGCCCTTTTATTGGCAGAATCTGATATTAATTTAGTTCTTACAAAAAATGGGTCCCAACGTGGTTTGTGTGGTGCTGCCATAGTGTGACATCATAGGCACAGATCCCCTGTCCTCCTGTTTGGAAATGGAAATATGGTCACCCTATTAAACAAACTGTCCACCCGGGCTTTTGCGCCGCACAGAGACGCTTCGCTGCCTACGACTGAACGTCAGTTGAGAGTCAGTCTCATGCAGACTGACCAATGAAGAGAGGGCCTCAAGTTAAGACCCTCTCCTCATTGGTCAGTCCACACGAGGTGGGTCAAAGGTTACTCTGGGCGGGTTACGTGTTGTCAGGCATTCAAGTATTGAGTATATTTACTGCATATTACAGTAAAATATTCTGTATGTGACCACATTATGGTGATCCTTGGGTCGTGATGATGGAGCCCTTGAATATTGTTGCCCAGGGTACAACAAAGTGTTAATCTGGCCCTGGTTCCGCCGTCACATTCCCGCAGAAACTGGTTGATCACACCGTGGCCAGACTACTAGCATGTGGTTTTACAACCACAATGTCCTCGGAAGCAAAAACGCTTTTAAAAGGGAGGGAGGAGTCCTAACTGTTGCTGCAGGCGTGTTGTGTGAGAGTGCAGTTATATACTGGTTAATATATTTTTGGGTTCAGTTGCTTTCATGTGGCCTGATGTGAGTCTATTTGGGATCATTGGAATGATCAGCAGCATTTCTTGATGTGACTTTATGGCAGTTGCCCAGGGCATCATCGCAAGGAGGATGGCATTCATTTACTTTTGTTTTATTTGGTATTTTTTCAGTCATTTTTGGAAATAGTGATCAATTTTGATTAATTCACAGCCTATGTTTAATTACATTTAAAATAAATGTCAACAGATGAGATCAAACAAAACAGATGAGAATTGCCCTTAAGCTGTTTAACTTGGACTAAGCATTTTAGGTCACAGATAGATGTAGCTTAGGGTCTCTGTCTATACACCTTATAAGACAATTTAGGTGATGGCATGTTGTTTTTCTGCTATTGAACTGTTTTCTAATAATGTTGTGTTAAATAAAGTGAAGGAAGGAGAGAAATAACGTTTCCCTAGCAGTTTTTAAAAATTTCCCCATGTAATCCGATTAATCGATTAATCGTGTCGAGACCCCATCCGATTAATCGATTATCCAAATAATCGTTTGTTGCAGCCCTACTATATATAATAGTTTAGAATCTATTGATGCAAAACCAGTTTTTTGCTAGATTTATAATGCAGTGACAGTACATTTTTAACACATTGTGCAGCTTAAAGTTGTTTTTCAACATACTGGTGTGTGTGTGTATGTGTGTATATATATATATATATATATATATATATATATAATTTTCTTTTTGTGAAATTTCCAGCAAGTCACCCATCATCGAGTGCCTAATTAACTGAACAAGTCTTTTCATGTATGGTACGGTGCCGCTGGCTTCGCCTGTTGATAACGCTCACGCCACTTCTGCAGCTTGGACTTTTCGCTAAGACAGAGCTCAGCCACAGTTGTCCCCTCGCATACGTAATGAGAAAGGCCTCTGGTTCTGAAAACACAGCGTTTCACGTCCCTCGGGGTGTTCGGTTCTTAACATGAGCGTTTCGATACCGCGCCTTCGTGGACCCCCTGCCACGGCTTTAAAAAACATGGTGCCTGCAGGGACAATGAGCTCTTTCCTGCTAGTTTTTACCAATCACCCCTCCAGACATTTTATGTCATGTGTGCACACTTACTTCCCTTATTTGAACCCTGCATTTCTCCAGTTTCCCTCAGGCCACTGAAGGCAACTGCTGCAATTTAACAATCTGTCTAATGGAACCAGGCATTTTGGAAACATAAAACGCATTTGAGTAAAGTGCACGTACACAGAGAGGCAACTTAACTTCAAGTGTTGAAGGCATTATACTTCTTTGCATCGTTTCTAGGACACAGTAAGTTGGTGATTTTTCAAGTGACTTAAATGTTGATTTAAACTCCTTAAAATGCAATTAAAATAGCCGTGTTTGTTTCTTATTGGTGCCACAAAAATAAAAACACAAAACCTGCAACTACTTACTGCCAGAGCTTTGGACAGCCTTGTGCGGAAATCGTTGAGAACAATGGTGACGATGTCCTGATGAGGAATGTATGCGTAGCCTTCCTTGAGGTACACTTTCCTTGTTCTCACAAGATCAAGGGCATCTTGAAATGGAACCTTTTAAAAAATAATAAGAGTATCACTAATCTATTTGAATTTAAGCAATGAATTAAAAAATATGAAGCACAATGAATTTCAGGATTAAAAGGCTACAATCTCCCGTTGTTTGAAACCAGAATTTAAGCTTTAAGGTGACCCATCAATCGGGCTCTGAATAAAGATTTAACATGTTTCAACACAATCTAAAGACAAATAACCAATGATAAATCCTGCTTAAATGCAAGACAATAGTTACCTTTTTAAATATTTTTAACCAAAAGGCTAAGAACAAGTATTCGGCATATTTCTAAGTGAACGTCTGATTCAATGGATGTTCCTGACCATAAACGGATCTGCTGTGCTGTGCCACTGAAATATCCCGGTCAGGCGACTGTCTGGGTAATTATATCGAACCGTCGTGGTATGCGCGTGTCGTTTTAGGAATAAAAGGAGTACCTGACCTGGGGTATGATTTTGTTAAAGGCTCGGTAGAGCGGCTGGGTGGGACTTGTGATTAACACTTGCTGATTGGTTGCAGCTCAGTGGGAAATGACATCAGCAGACGTCGCCAATCAAACAGCATTTGTAAAATTGGAAGAGTTGCTAGTAAAGCTAAATGGAAGGAAAAGAAAATGAGCAGTCGACGCTGCTTTAACATCAGCATTTTTAAACTTTTATCTAGGGTACATACATCGCCCAACCGATACACTGGGCCAATGTTTAATATTGTTTACATACCTGCATCGACCGATGTACTTTTTTAGTTCGACCGATTTAAAGTCAGGCACATCCCCGGGCATCCCGGTGCTGCTGCCGTATTTAATTTAAATATATATTTATGTTCCTGAATAACATCTGAATAATAAATGCTCCCAAAAATTATTTTCAACTCAAAATGTTTTTATTGACCAGTTTTGAACATTTAATAGTTGTTAGATGTCTGATTTCAACACTGAGCAGTGCACAACATTAATATTTAACAGTTGGTGAAATTCTGTGAATTAAAACGGATTCAGCTTCAGAAATGTGGTGCATCAACTGTTGTTAGTAGTGACATTTTAGCATGCAGACAAGGTGGAAAACGTCTAGATTAGGGTCATGAAAATCGTCCCAAAAGAGCAGCATATATCGACCACCGGCTGACCATGACCTCAACATATCGGCATTGGTATCGGCATAGCCAATATCAGTCGACCTCTACTTCCGACGCCAATAAATGCAGCAGAAATCCCTCAACAACGCCATGATTTTTACTGCTTTTTGTCTCCTGCAAAGCCCCATTAAACTGTTTCTTCTGATCACTGAACACTGCTTTTTACATCACACAGGCACTCTCTCAACATGTCCCCTGAATGCAATAAAATACAACGCGCTTTGACAGAACAAAACATCTTTAATGTTATGAATGTCCGTCTGTAGCTTGGGCGCTTTTGGAGGCTGATCAGTGATGTCACTCACTGCCGAAGAAGTAGCAATATGCTGACATCCTAGCAAAGTCCTAAAAGGGGTGATTTTGCATGGAAGCCATTAGTGTTTCTCAATGCCAAGAAACCTCGCATTGATGTCTTGGCCCCGCCCCGGTTGCCTAGGGCAGGGGTCCTCAATTATAATGGTCCAAGGACCACTCACAAAAAAAAGACTGGGGGTGGGGGGGGCTGTAATGCACATAACACACAAGCTTGCACTATAAAGCAGGACAACACCTGTCCCCCTCCAGCTCGGCTGTGTGACTGCACTAACCTGTCCTGTGGGACCCTCACCATGTGACCCTCATGTCCATGCTGTCTCTGGAGGAGCAGATAGGAGACAAGACCTCCTGTAACTTAAAATGAACCAAAGCTTCCTCCCAGTTTCTCTTTAAGCTGAATTTAACATCAGTTTATCATCATGGAACAAAAGAATAAAGTGGAACAAGAACTTCCATCTTCTATTTCTCTCTCCTTTTAACTTCTCCGTGTCCCTAAACAAAAGAGACAGGTGAACACGCTGCAGCCGCCGTCACTCACCCCGCTCCCTCCCCAAGATCGGATCTCCCGACATCAAAGCACTCGGTCTGACTGAGCGCTTCCAGGAGAAATAATATTGAAATTATGAAAATAATAATGCGTGTTTGGAGGAGTGTCCTCCGATCCTCTCTCTCTGTCGCTGATTGAGCGAGCGGAGCGCGCCACTCGACAACCCGCTCAATTAACATAATTCACGGCCCTAATCCAACAGAACCGGTCGGGCTGGGTCTCAGGTTACAACTCTAGCGCTCAGCCCTGCAGAACCACATAAAGGCAGACCAAAGTTTCCTACCCGGTAAATGTGGGGAACACCCGCTCTGACAGATCTGGATGCTCCGCTGGTGCCGCTGTTAAAATAACAAAACTACGTTCCACTATAATTGATTATGGTACTCTTCTATGATGCAGAATCGTTTATGCCTGTATCTCATGCATTGACTATTTGATTATTTTCCGCAGCTCTGTCTGTCCTACACCTCCCGGTTGGCCGTCGGAGGTGTGGGTGGGGGGTGCAAACAACACAGGACAAACAATCATGCACACACACCTAAGGACAATTTAGACAGACCAGTTAACCTAACAGTCATGTTTTTGGACTGTGGGAGGAAGCCGGAGAACCTAGAGGAACCCCACGCATGCACAGCGAGAACATGCAAACTCCATGCAGAAAGATCCCAGGCTGGGAAGCGAACCCAGGACCTTCTTGCTGCAAGGCAACAGCTCTAACCACTGCGCCACTGCGCAGCCCATTTCCTGGAACTCATACAGTGGAAATGCAACTACTGTAGTTTAAGACCCCCAATGCCTGAGGGACGCCGACACGTCAATCTACAAATGGACACCAATATGTACAATTTGGCAAATTGGTTGCATGCCACAGTTTTGCATCTTACAGTCACTGCACTGAATCTACAGAATGTACCAACATTAGATTTTTAATGTGTATTAAAACATGAATCATGGTAGTGAGCAGAGTGGCATCCATCTCAGTGGAAGGAAATGAGTGACTCACTTTGTAGAAGTCCTGATCCTCTACAGTGATTCCACTGACGGCGTAAGTGGAGCTGACAAGTTTCTCCTTTAACTCCTTCTTCTCTTTGAGACTAATCTGAAAAAAAAAAAAGTTATTGATGACTTTCAGCGAGGAGCTTCAAAGACTAACCCATCCATCCATTTTCATCCGCTTATCCGCAGTCGGGTCGCGGGGGCAGTAGCCTAAGTCGAGAGGCCCAGACTTCTCTCTCCCCAGCCACTTGGGCCAGCTCCTCCGGGGGAATCCCAAGGTGTTCCCTGGCCAGGTGAGAGACATAGTCCCTCCACCGTGTCCTGGGTCTCCCTTTAGGCTCCTTCCCGGTTGGACGTCCCCAGAAAACCTCACCAGAGGCGTCCAGGAGGCATCCTGACCAGATGCCCGAGCCACCTCAACTGGCTCCTCTCGATGTAAGGGTTAATCCATCAGCAGCGAGGGCTCGCCGAAACCAAATAGTTAGAGACTAGTACATGATTTGCGTCCATGACCGGTTCAAAACGCTAATAGACGTTTTATAAAGTTTCAGTATTTTTGTTCATAGATATTTTATAAAGTGAAACAAATCCTGCCTAATAACATAATAAAATGTCAGAAGAGCATAAAAATCATGTCAATAGAAATAACTGTTGCATAAAAATCATGTCAATAGAAATAACTGTTTATTTAAAAACTATCACATATGAACCACTTTTCCTTTTAAATAAGAACAAAAACAGTAATATTTAAAAATGAAATGAGATTAAGCTTTTAGTTTGAAGAGCTCTAATGTGGCCAAACAGCGCCACCCAGTGGAGAAACAATTAAGTATCCATACACTCATTTTTCTGCTTCATAATTATTACCCATCACATTATTTAAAAATACCTTGAGTGTTTGTTTCCTTTGCCAAATACATTTATGTGTTGATCAAAATTTAATTTAAGCTCCCACAAAACAATTGATCAACATTTGACAATTAATAATTCAATTAAATGAGCAGAAAACCAGGGTTTAATGACTTACTGCGTCATACTGGAGATTATTCTTGTGAAGAAACTCAAGCTTTTGTTTTGAAAGCAGTCCATTAAAGCGATAGCGGAAAAGATCAACCTCCTGCTGAATGAACCATCGCCGCAGATCTTCCCTTTAAAGACAGAGTAAATTTAAAAGTCTGTTTTCTTTTGTTTAATTAGGATTCCTCAACATGATTAAAACCACAAACTTACGTCTGACAATAGGCCAATCTGAGAATGAAGTGGGAGATATGGTCCTTTCTTCGCTTCTCACTCTCACTTGGTCCACCTGGAAGTTTTCTGTCATCCTTAAAGAATAAAAAGATGTTTATAGTAGTGAAAAGTCTCAGAACAGTACTACTAGATCAACATGATTTCTTCTTTTTATGTGGCTGTTGCTTATCTTATAATTTCTCCACATCTTGAGAATCTCAAAAGTATTTTCTAAACCTGAAAAGTTTGTGGATTTTAAAAAAATTAGAGGATTAATCAATCTAAAACAAAACAAATAGCTCAATCTAATTCCTAAAGTGTGTACTGGTTTCAAACTGCCCAGTCATAAATAATAAAGTCACAAAGAAACATAAGAAATTGTATTTATTTCTAATAAATCCTAGCCCAATACAGTCGGTGGGACTTAAAGACCAAGTTCACTTGTTTTTTTTTCCCCAACACAGCTGCAGCGGTCTCAAGTAGAAATGAGTGCCTTGTGAGTCGATGTGGTGGTAAAAAAGCTCGGGAGCTCCTGTTTCAGGAAGTAGAAATAAGCCAGAGCAGAGGGGAGCAGAAAATGGCAGGATCAAGAGTTGGACATCCCACCTATGACTGGCTAACAGCAACGCGACTCTTCCACCGACTCACCGTTTGCTTTGCTACTTTGATGTTTTATCTCCACAAATGACACGCTCCGGAAGGAGTTCTGCCATGTTGAGGAGAAGCTAATGTTAACATTTAGACTCTGCTCTCTCCTGGACGCTAAATCAGCCTTCCCTGTCGCGAGTCAAGATGGGTGAGTCCATAAAACCTAATTTGACAGCGTGATGTGCAATTGTCACTGGATTTCCCCATGTATTTTCTATAGGTGGCTAATGCAGGACACTTAGCATGCATGTTAAACTCTGAGTGACCTATCGTACTTCAAAAATAACAAGTAAAAAGTGGTTTCTCGGTTAACTTGGCCTTTAATGTAGCTTATAGGCTTGAATACATGAAGGTGGCAACTGTTGTTAGGTGTACTTTCTGTATTTTAAGTACAACGAGGCCCTAAACTAGTCAGTGTAAACGTTAGAGACAGAAAAGTGATTCTATTGGCTTGACTAAGTCTGCACCTTGAACATAAACGTCTACAAGCTATGTTAGCTTTCTAAGTCCACAGATAAAAATAGAAAATTGCTGTTTTATATTAAAAGGGAAAAAATAAGGATAACTTAGAGACCAAAAACATGAAATAAAGTAGTAACCAGACTAAACAATTTTGAGTTACCAGTTATTGGTTGTGTTTACACAGCATATCCTCATACTCAAGATTAAAACAAACAATAATAGAACTCAAATGTTAAGTATTTGTGGGAACTAGTACATTTTGAACTCTAAATAAAAGCAAGGATTGACACCAGACAATGGAAATATACCATGCCAAACTCCAGTCCTCGAGGGCCACACTACCACGTTTTATTGTGTTCCCTGTTCCAACAAATCTGACTTCACTCAGAAGATGACAACAGACTTCTGGAGAGCTTGGTGAGCTGCTGCATAGGTTAATCAACTGTGATGGAACACGGGAAAAAAACGAAAAGGTTCAGGATGCCGGCCCTCGAGGACTGGAGTTTGACACCCCTGTGCGAATTTAACTCTTAACATCAGAATAGTTTATATTCAAACAGCAGAAGAATACTCACAACTTCAGACCTGTAGGGAAAGTTCAAGGTCTTCAGCTCAGAATCCAGTTTCTTCGAGTACTGCTCTGACTGTTTCACATAACTCACTCCCAGGTTCTCAACCGTCTTCAACACTGCAGTGGCACCAAGAAAAGGCAACATTAGGGACGTGAATCTTAGAGCAACTCACGATTTGATTCGATTCCGATTCTCTGGGTGTCGATTCGATTCAGAATAGATTCTTGATTTAAACTCAATTCACAATCAATTTTAACAAAGAGTGTCAGTTCCAGGATTAACCACTTTGTTGTACAAGTTAGTTAAAGCTATGGGACATTTTTATTTTACTTTAAACTGGTCATGCTCAAAAAATGCAAATTTACAAGGTAAACTAAAGTGATTCTAAAACTGTAAACAGAAGCAATCTTTTGACCAAAAGGCAACATTTATTTTTGCTTATCTTGTATAATATAACAAATCTTTAGTTGCCTAACAGTAGCTTTGAAAGTATTACGGTCAAATACTTTTCAAGTACGTGTGGAAACAAGTTTAACGTTTGAGTCCTCAACCTGTTAAAAATAAGTGCCTCAGATTTATTACAAAGGAAAATGTTTTCTCTCATTTATCAATAACTTCAAATAAACACATGAGTAATCCTGAGTACTCACTCATCAACTTAGAAACTAAATATGAGAATACCTCAAATTAACGAGTATGGAAAAAATTACATTCTAGTCCCCACTTATCAGCAGATTCAAACATAAATCATCTCAATTTATGGGACCACAAAAGTAAACGGAGTACTGACTCTCCTAACAAAGATTAAAAAAAACAGACAAAAGTGCATCTTAAACCTGTAACGTGCCAAACATTTGAGTTCTTGGAATCGATTCGGAACCTTTGTGAATCGATTCTGAATCTTTATAAATAAGAATCCCGATTCAAACTTGAATCGATTTTTTTCAGCACCTCTAGGCAACATTGTTACCAAGCTCTTAAAATAAAATGCATCTTGATATAATAAAAAGTAAACCTGCAAAAAAAATAGCTAAACAATTTAAATAAATCTAGATTTTGTTCACGAACACTGAATGGTCTTACATTTCAGTCTGTCCACAGCAAAGGTCTCAAATTCAGAGAGAGAGATGTTTTCCAGAGGGGGCTGCCCATAGAATTGCAGCGGCTGCACGTAGAGCTCAGTCTGGATGCTTGTCCCGAACTTCTTTCTTCTCCCAGAAAACAGCATGGTGCTTGCTGGATTAGGAAAAATAAATACCATAACTATAAAAGTTAACAGATCATGTTTCATTCAGATCAGGTGTAACTGCATGTTCATTGGTTCCGTATATGAACGCAGTAACAACACAGGAGGGAAGCATAGGCAAATAATTGTTTTTTATTCTTGCTAAATTTAACACCAATCCAGGTTATACCTAATCTGTAAAGGAGCTGCTTCATGAAAAATAATAATGTATGTAGAGATTGATTGGGGCACCAAATACAGCTCCCTCGCTGCATTATTACAAGTTTTAGTAGATATTGTAGAAGATTACTGCCCCGTTTTTATTTTTAATAAATTATAAAGAATGAAAACAGAACGCAAGAACTATTTTTAGGGTAAAACTCAGCAGCTCAGAATGACTACGTCATCAACACTCGCCTTTTAACCTGACAGCGGTTTTAAGATGCTAAAAGTATCTACGCAAACACTTAACTAAACTTTGACGGCTAATTTAAACAAAGTGTGCACAAACCGCAAAAAAATAGCGGTTTATAGACCAATGAGGAGACACTAAAACTCCTTAGACCAAAACAAACCGACTTTCAAGTGTAGAAACGTCTACGTTGACACGGTGCTCGCTAACACTGAGACAGAAACGAGCTAGCTAAACTTGAGCTATCGGAATAACGTTTAAACTTCATAATCAATGTAACTTTACCGATAAAATATGGAGCTGCTCTTACTGACACAAATCCCGCCAAACAACGAGAGCTTGTTTAACAAACGCGGGTAAAGAATGACGATACGCCCAACACAGGAAGTGGAACGCTTACGTAGAGCGGTGAGCGCTCGTTTAGTTTTTTACGTTGCCCGTCTGTGGCATTTCATCGTGAAATACAAGAAAAAACGAAATGTAATGGGCAATTTCACGTTGAAATGTTAAATCCAAAAGTGTTAGCAAACGTTTTGGCTAAAAAAAAAAGTGATCGTATTTGCACTGATACGTTTTAAGGTATAACTGGGTTACACAGAAACACCTTTAATGCATAACAAACGCACACTTGAAAAATAAATAACAGTAAAAATAAGTTCTGAAGTGCTTTTAGTTAGTTTAAGGACATTCTGATTATTGGACATTTCTGATAGAGATTTTACTTCATAGGTCGTGACTGTAAACACAGATACATATAAACATTTTTCTTTGCTATCTCAAAACTTTCTTTTTAGAACAAATGACAATAAGTTTAGAAATTAAATTTTAAAACCCGTAAAACTTCATGTTAGGTTGTATAAAGTCTATGAATAGTATTAACTAGTTCAACATTATTATTAGTAGTAGTAGTAGTAGTAGTAGTAGTAGTAGTAGTAGTAGTGGCAGTAGTAGTAGTAGTAGTAGTAGTAGTAGTAGTAGTAGTAGTAGAATTATTGTTGTTGTTCTTGTTATTAACTGTATTATTTCCTGCTATTTCAGCTGATAACTTTATTTTTTCTATAAGTGTTTTCTCCCCAGAAGAAGCTACAATGATGTTCTGCTGAGCTGCATGGTGGGGGCTTGAATAATGTTGCTAACCATTTAAACATTCTCCTTCTCCTGATAATAACATTTTACTTTCTTTGACATTGAATGTGCTACTACTACTTTACCCATTTAATTATAGATCCACTAGGATAAATACAATAAAGTTCATCTTCCACCAAATAGAATATTTACTAAGAAATCACGATGTAACCATAGAAACATTACTTGGTATAAATGTTGTGTGTGTGGATGTGTGTGTGGGTGGGCTGGTGTTGGTGTATGCGTGTGTCTGCTCTGTCTTCTCGACCCCCAGTGAGTCGTGGTGGACGGCTGCTTATACTAAGCCAGAATACTCTGTAGGTTTCTTCCTGTTAAAAGGGATTTTTCCTCTCCACTGTCACTAAATGCTTGCTTAGTATGAGGATTGTTGTAAAGTCACTGACACTAGTCAATGACTTGACGCAATCTGCTGGGTTCCTTAAAAAGGAAAAAAAAAATTCCGATTGGTTTAATGAACTGACCTGTATTGGAATGATTACTATGTGAAGTGGCTTGAGATAACTCTTAAGGTATAACTGGGTTACACAGCGCTATATAAATAAACTTGAATTGAAATAGAATTGAAAATAGAATTATTGCTATTATTATTATTGTTGTTGTTATTATTATTATATATGTTTTTGAGACACTTAGCTCTTCTTTACATATTTCTACCAAAATGGAACATCTCTTAACTATACTGATTTAATTCACCAGACTGTAAAAATATTAATATTAATTTTAATATTTTGTTTTCCTAATGAAATACATCTAATGTGAATGACCAAAAATATAATATTCATTGGTGGGATTGTGATTGTAGATATTTTTGTACTTTCAATTCAATGCAATTCAATAATTTTATTTCACTCAAAATTTAAATATACAAACCTCAAATCAGAATACAATTGCCAACCAGAATACAAGCATTCTATTGAATACAATAATTCGAATGAAATAGGGGGAGGACGAAGAAAAAATCTTATATGACCTACCCCCTTTAACTAAGACAAGATAAATTACAAAAAGTACAAAATGGCCTTATGCACAAAAAATAAACCGCTCTCTTTCTTCCACAAATAATATCAATACTAAAACATTAATCCTCCATCCTCAACTCACCAAATCATACGATTTTAGCATTTTATCTTTCTACATTTTTTTAATTGATCAGTAGTTGTACATTTTTTTAATTCATCATCCAGGTTATTCCATAATTTCACACCATATATTGAAATACACATTTGCTTTAATGTAGTACGAACAAATATCCTTTTAAACTCTGGTTTATTTCTACTCTTATCATTTTTTGGGATCAAAACAAAGAACCTTTGTAGAATAGTTGGCAGTAAATTATTTCTAGCCTTAAACATAATTAGTAAAATTTTCAAGTTAACTAGGTCCTTAAATTTCATAATTTTAGATAGAACTAAATATTTGTTAGTATGTTCTCTCGGATTTGCTTTATATAGAATTCGCAAAACTTTCTTCTGTAACACAAACAAAGGATTAGTGTTTGTTTTATATGTATAATTTGCCCCAAACCTCAATACAGTAAGTTAAATATTGTAAGATAAATGAATAATATAATGTCTGAAGCGTTGAAATTTCTAGAATACTTTCGACTTAGTTTAAAATTCCAATACTTTTAGATATTTTTTGTTTTATATATTTTATATGGGATTTCCAAGTAAGTTTATGGTCCAAGAGAACCCCTAAGAATCTGACTTCATTTACTCTATCAATTAAAAAAAACATCAATAGACAACATAACTAAATCATTTGTTTTTCTGTTACCAAAAACCATGAATTTTGTTTTATTCCAATTGAGAAATAATTTATTGTCATTAAACCACTTCATAAGTTTAGACATCTCACAAACCATATTTTGAATAATAATTTCTAAATCATTTCCAGAACAAAATATATTCGTGTCATCAGCAAACAATATGAACTGTAATACTTTGGACACATCACAAATGTCATTTATGTATAGAATAAAAAGCTTAGGGCCCAACACTGAACCCTGTGGGACACTGTGTGTAATTTCTAGTGAATCTGAAATTTCATCATCTAACTGTACAAATTGATTTCTATTGGTCAAATAACTACTTAACCAGTCATGGGTGATTCCACGTATCCCATAATCCCTCAAACCTGGCAAGCCAGACTAAATAAATGTATTATTTACAAACTTTGCAAAGCAAGAATTTGGTCTAGTTCACTAGGCTATAATCCCTCAGCTTGGAGAGTAAAATACTATGATCTATTGTGTCGTATGCCTTTTTTAAATCAATAAACAAACCCACTGTATATTGTTTTTTCTATTGCTGATGCAAGTTCTTCATTTAATTCCAATAAAGCCAGGGATGTAGATTTATGTGATCGAAACCCATACTGACTCTCACTAAGGAGGTTTTCTTCTCAATAAAGTTATCTAGTTTCTGGACAAACCATTTCTCAAGCATTTTAGAAAACCGGGAAAGCACTGAGATTGGTCTATAATTATCAAATCTATGTCCATCACCGTTTTTAAATATTGGAATTACTTTTGCAGTTTTCATTTTTTCTGGAAATGTACCGCTCTGAACAGACAAATTACAGATATAAGTGAATGGTTTAACAACATAATCAACAGTTTTCTTTACAATCATCATGTCAATCCCGTCACAGTCTGTGGAAGTTTTATTTTTACTTTTCCCTACTATCGTCAAAACTTCATTTTCACTTACATCCCCTAAAAACATAGACTGTAAAAAGACTTTAACATGACGAATAACATTGTAAATTTGCTTAAATGGCTATGTAAAATCTGAAAGGGAGGAAATAAATGTGATTTGATTTTATACTACAACGGTCTGCCATACAGTCTTGCCGTGGTTTCGCTGCTTAGCAACAAGCGTTAGCGAGGCGAGCTAGCGGTTTCCCAGTTAGCCAGTCTCCCCCCCAGCGCATAAAGCTGGAGCGTTAGCTTACAGAATGAGGGCAATGCGTTTGTGTACGTATAGTGTTATAGTTTTACACGTTTGAGAAAGTATTCCCCCACTATTTCAAGGGAAAAATTACTTCGTGCCTGGAAGTTAATCAGAGCCTTTCTCAGGGAGAAAAGTGTCTAACCTTAGCACGGTAACCTTAGCACCGTAGTTTGGCGTCTCCACTGGTCACGGAGAGGAGCTGAGGGAGGATGTAGACATGTCCGTGTGGGTTAGCTGGCCGGTTAGCTGATCTAATGTCGAAGGAGAAGTTTTGACAAGATATTGCAGGTAAAACCTAACACAACTTTGTGAATTTGCTGGCGTGACGTTCATTTTAAACCACATATGTTTGCGTCTGTTAGCTGTAAGGACAAACGGCCGACAGCTGCTTTTTACTTTAAGTCCTGTCAGCTGCTATTCAACAGGTCGAATCTTGAGGCGAGGCTAGAAGAATTTTGGGGGAGAACAAAAGCTGCGGAGCAGACCTAAATGCATTTCCTCACATACTGAGGCAATTCAAAAGATTGTTATCTGTGTGCATTATAATGTTTCCAGCTAAGGCCTAAATAAAGGCAAATCTGTAGAAGAGATAGTCTTTTCAGCATCTATAATTTAATCAACTTAGCTGCTTTTTCCTTGTCTCTTAAATCTTATTTGTTCTATATTGGACAGTTAAGAAATAATTACAGAAATCAAATTCTGGTTTTGCTTAAAATGCTTTCTGAGGGAAGTCTAGTCTCGCTTGTGTTGTTAGGATTATGCTTGTTGTTCTTGGAGTAGAAAATGCAGGCAGATTTTAATGAGATGCAACAAATGACTTGTTTAATTTCTCTGTACTTATGTCAGCTGCTTGTCTTTTTTGTGTTTGTGTGAAAAGTTTTCGTGCCAAGGCTTGTAACTTCCTGTGTTTCTTTAATCCTAAAACAATATTTACACAGGTACATGAGACTGCAAGGCTTAGAGGTTGCGTGCAAATCCAAAAGAAAGAGATTCTTCACATGGGTCACTGTTGCACTGAAATCCATAACAGATTTCCTTAAACAAGATGAGCCCAGACTTGTTTATTTTTAGCCAGTTTTTGATGCTACAACAACAGATGAATCATCAGTCTTAAAATTGGCCAGTGCATCTCTAAAGCCACGCATATTGTGATTCAGATTCAGTCAGTCAGGCTGTTGGAGTGCTCAGTCACACATCAGGTTGTCAGAGTCCACTGAGAACGGCTTTGGAACAATATGTTGTTGAGCATTGCACTTAGTCACAGCATGCAAATAGCTGTGGAGGACCTCGTTGCCATGTGGCGGCCAATGGAAGAGTAAACATAAAGCCAGACGGCTGTAAAAATGTACAGCATTTTTATTTTAGCATGCATAAATATTAGTTCAGTAGATAATTGCAGCAGCTCTTTATGGAATAGAAGTGATTTATTCCAAGTGAGTGAATGAGTTATACGGTATAGTTGTTGTTAAGGTGTAGAACACTGAAAAACCTTTCTTCTGATTATAATTGGTTATAACTGCAGTTTTTCATGCAGGCTCAACACGAAAATAGTTTCCTGCATTAGCTTCTGATAAAAATAGACAGTGATATTCTAGGATTTGAAAAACCTGACAGATCTACGTCATGGACTAACCCATCTTAACTTGCAACGAGGAAGGCTGTTGTTATTTTAATGTCCAGAAATCAGTAGAGACCGTCTCGGCTAGCTTAAGCTAACCGTTAGCATTAGCAATTCCACCAAACAGCAGAAACTCCTTCAGACTTGTATTATGTGTGGAGATGAAACATCCAGTCAGTGGTAGAGTTGCATTTCTGTAATCCAATTTGAGGCGAGATGTCCAAATATTAGGAAATGGGACTCCAAATCCTGCCGTCTGACGCTCAGCTGTGATATGGGTCACTACGAGTTCTGGGAAATAGTGCACCGGTTTATTTTCCACCCCCCAGGGAATTACTTACAAGGCATTAATTCCTACTAGAGACCACTGCAAATGTATTGATCAAATAAGTGAACCACAGCTTTAAAATGACGATCTTTATAAGTTAAAGTTTTATCATTGTTGAAATTACATCTTGGTTCAGATCCTGATCAGTGTCTTCAAAGTGTTAAGACAAAGAATTGTCTTTGGCAAAAAGTAAAAATGTCTTTTTTTTTAGTAGACTTCCTTTATTCTAGCACCCTTTTAATTTCTTATATCTATGAAAAAGTAGTACTTTGGAAAGCTGAAAACTTGAAAAAAGGTAAACATTCCTTTCTTCTGGAATATTGTAACCAATTAGATCTTTACATTATTCAACTACAGACGCCTAACTATAAAGCAATCTCTAATAGGGGTGTGTATAGTCAAGAATCTGGCGATACGAAATATATCACAATACAAGGGAGACGATAAGATATATTGTGATACTAAAAGCCAGATGATATTTGCTATTTTTAAAACTGAATTTATTGTAAAACTCAGGCCAGATGCTTCCAAAACAAATCCACTGTTATTGCAAAATCTTGTTCCATCAGAATGAAGGCTGTAAAAACGGCTGCCACCTAGCAGTCCGGTATGAATTTTGCCACACAAAAGAAATACAGTAAATGTTTGCATTGTAATTCTCAAAAAAAAAATCAACACACTGCTTTTAAGTATCGATTCAGCATCACAACACAAAGTATTGAGATATTACAGCTTATCGATATTTTCGTACATCACTACTCTCTAACAGGGCATAAAATAAACCAATCAGAAATCTCAAATATGATTGCGTCATTGATTCTCTAATTTTTCTGTTGGATTCATTTGCTGATGAAATCTTTGTTCGACCTCTACAGTTGGTGTTTGTTCAAGTCACGTTGCTGAGATTACCGAGTGGGGCCGAGAGAACCAGCCGCCATGTTGGAAGAGGACATGGAAGTGGCCATCAAAGTGGTCGTGGTTGGCAACGGAGCTGTGGGCAAGTCCAGCATGATCCAGCGTTACTGCAAGGGTATTTTCACCAAGGACTACAAAAAGACTATTGGAGTGGACTTTTTAGAAAGACAGATTGTGTAAGTAGCTAGTTTCCTAAAAGTTATTTTTTTATACTGTTGATGCTGTTGCATTTGTGTCATTTAAAGGTGGAGTAGTTTGTTTTTATGGAGCATTCTTTACCATGTTGCTTAAAATGCTCTACACATCTATCGTGAACGTCCTGTTCTTAACGATTGGATCATCCATAAAACAGCCCTCTGACTGTCCCTCCCATCTCTGCACATACCTCTCATTGTGCACAAATTACGCATCTTTATTTGGGGCAGCTTAACAGGGGAAAAAAAAAGCCAGAGCTGGGCTAGTTAGTGTAATGGATGAAATGCGTTGTTCTGTTTGCAAATTTAATTTAAGGATTTGTTTTACATGTTCTGTTTAGAGTCTGCCTCCGTTGTTGTTGGGAAACATTCAGGTGATGGAGCTGTCGCCTGTGAATGCAGCCTGTCCTGTCGGCTGGCAGAGCTGTCTGTCAACTTGTTGCCTTTGCAGTGTGTGCGTGAAGCCATCTGAGACAAGAGAATTAGTGGGAGGAAGTTTGGGTCGTGTTCTGGAAGTTTTGACCTGTTGTTTGTTTACCCGGATAGTTGGTGGAACTGAGCTGCTGTACTGCTTCATTTTTCACAAAAAAAAACCCAACACTATATTAGCTAGTATGCTAAATTGTACGGTTCCATTGGTGCATTACAGTATGAATTGAAGCAGAAAGGGTGCCAGCAACAGGTCATAAACGTAAAATTGAACAAGCATTGCGCGTTCCTGTATTTTGAGCAAAGGGGGGCGGGACCTTCAACTGGTGTATTTTTAAAAAGTAGCTTGCTTGTACAATAAGCAAAACAACATTTGCATTTGTAAAATCATTGTATTTGTTCTAGTAATTTATTGTTAATTGTTTAAATTAAAGCCAGATATTTAACATCAGGACTGATAGAATCCTTTATTGCTGTTTGCTATTTAAATATTTATACTGTTTCCTTGCTGACTGCTGCAGTGTAAATGATGAAGAAGTCCGACTAATGCTGTGGGACACGGCGGGACAGGAGGAGTTTGATGCCATTACCAAGGCTTACTACCGAGGTAATATCACAGCTGCCCTGGGCGACTGGTTTCCCTCATTGCTACAGAAAGTTTTTGGGGGGGTTTAACTACAGCAACAGTACTTTTAACCAAAGTAATTCAACTCGTGCAGAAAAAGAACAGACATTTCCAAATAAAAGGTAAAGCATGATTTGTTGTCGTGTTTTTGTGTCCAGGAGCCCAGGCTTGTGTGCTGGTGTTCTCTACCACAGACAGGGAGTCGTTCCAGGCTATTGACAGCTGGAGGGAAAAGGTGGAAGCAGAGGTCGGGGACATTCCCACAGTTCTGGTGCAAAACAAGATCGATCTTCTGGAAGAGACTGTAATACAAAAGTAAGTGATGGATTCTTTTGAAATAGAAGCAGCAAACCCAAGAGAAACTGATGATTTGTATTTATTTTTTACTCTTCCAGTGAGGAGGCTGAAGCGTCGGCTAAGAGGCTGAAACTCCGCTTTTATCGAGCTTCAGTGAAAGAGGACCTTAATGTCAATGAGGGTGGGTAACAGAAAAAGTGCACAGCTACTCTGACACAAGTGAAAGCCTGTTCCATATAATATGTCATTACATTTCTTTTCAGTTTTTAAGTACTTAGCTGAAAAGTATCTTCAGAGACTCAAACAGCAGACAGCCGAAGAAATAGACATGGTTCACACGACGAGCAATAAAATAGGTAAGAATGTGTTTTTTTTATTGTTTATTTCAGCTGTTTTCGTGGTAGGAGTGCTCCACTAACATTTAAAATTTTCCCTAAGGTGTTTTCAGTACCATTAGTAGTAATGTTAACAACCAGAGCTCCAGCAACGGCAAAGAAGTCATCACTTTGAGACCCAATAAACAAAGGACCAAGAGGGGGAAAAATCCTTTTGGAGGCTGCAGCCTGCTTTAGAGCAGACCCTTTCCATTTAACCCACTGTATTTTCTGCACAGACTAGAACATCCATTTAAACATTACTTTGATAACGTGTTGGTAATCTGTATTCAAAGCTCCCAGAATGATGCATGTATCTTCGTTGGCTCAGCCTCAAAACCCCGGCCCTCCCTGTGGTTGCCTTAAGTATCAGCAACAGCTGCAGCTACAAAACGTTTCAAATCTTCCAAAAATGTTCAGAAACTGTAAAAGTATGCGAGTACTAGTGGATTTTCTCCTGATTACAGAGGCTTTTTCAAACCACAAACCTGTCAGAATGTGTTGGAGCGAAAGTTGCACACAGAAATCTTCTCCCACACGACTTTTTCAGCCACTCGTTGCTGCGTTTGACATGTTTATGTATTTAGCAGATGCTTTTGTCCAAAGCGACATACAAGTGACATGTATGCAGTGCAAATAAGTTTGCATGTGTTGTACGATATATCCACATGGTTTTGTACCATATTTTTCTAGGGACCAGAATATGGTTCAAACTGCACGGTTTAACCCCTGAACAGAACTCTATGGTGAGCCACTCTGTACAAGTATTTTTGTATAAATCACAACAGTGTTGAGTGATTATTGTGCCAAATTTACTACGATCGAGTTGAGGATGGATTTTGATGTTAGTGATTTGGATGTAACTTAAAGAGCAAGTCACCCCCTACCAGAGTATTACTCCAATCCCACTTCCTGTTTGAAAAATGCAACAAATGCTGGCGCCTAGCAGACCGAAGGGGCGGAGCCACTAACAAATACACACACACAGGCTCACAACGACATTGTGACATCATATCGTACCAGCTAACATTCTAGGGCAGTGGTTCCCAAACTTATTTAGCCGCGCACCCCCTTCTATGTCCCGACCATGTTGACGCACCCCCCAGCCCCACATCAGGGCATGGCCCTATATGTGCTAAACCAGGGGTCGGCAACCTGTTCCCATCAAAGAGCCATTATTACCCGTTTCCCACAGTAAAGAAAACACCGCAGCAGCCGCGGCGTTGTGGGCGGGGCCTACCCTCAGACAGCTTTAACCAATCACAACAGGTGACAGCAGCCAGTACCGGTCGCTCGTGTACGTCAAAGTTATCTTTCATAAGAAGATAATCAATAAAACGATTTATATAAAGTGGATCCAGAAGTTGTAGCCCGTCTCTGCCTACAATATTTTGATATTTTTCACCCTGTTGGTGGTTTTACTGAGCAGGTGCCACTTTTGTCATACGTTTCTTTTTAAAACATGTTTAGACTGTTCAGAATACAAATCCAGGCTCTGTCATGTTTGATTGTTGTAATTAAACTTTGTAGGTAGGGAAGGTCAGAAAAGGATCCGATCAATTTGTTTTTCCCTCATTTACAGTGACGGAGATAACGGCGCAGTGCGCCTGGCTCTGGTGTTAATCAAGTTTAATTTGTAACTGTTTTCACAAGAAAACAGAACAGTTAAAAGCAGGGCTTGTGTTGACCGGACAGTTCTCGTATTTGGCCGTTTATTTTGACGGAGAAAGAATAGAAAGAATTACCCCGACGCATGCAGACGAACTGACACTTTATTCGTTTCGCAAATCGCAGATGTAGCTAAATCACTCAAGAAAAGATTCCCATCTGAACATCTGAGCTGGACACTGCTCAGCGCAGCTCACGGTCAGCGCGTACATAAGGTGCACAGCGAGCTGAAGATGTGGAGGGGGGCTTGGAGCGCGTTGCAGAACCAGAGCGCATGCGGGAAGATTCCTCCAACTGAAGCAAGAGTTTTCCAAACCCGGTCTCTCAGAGAGACTTGTCACTTAGAAAATGTTCCCTGATGATGAAACTTTGGCTGAATAGTGCTTGTTCCTGTCTCCAATGTGGCGTCTGAGGAGAGTCCCAGAATCTCACATCGTCTTCAGCTCAGAAAGCGCCTATGATTACGCACAAGCGTGACGCGTCAACCCGGTCACACAGTAAGACTGGGTTGGACCTGTTCAGGTTCACGCAGACAATCTTTACATTTAGAATTGACATACAGATGTCAAATTTATGCAGCAAAATATAAAGCATTTTATTTAAATATCCAGTTATTATTTTACAAGCACAGAAAGCTACATTAGATGGATGGAAGAGCCGCATGCGGCTCCAGAGCCGCGGGTTGCCGACCCCTGAGCTAGGGCATGTGCGGAGGACACACACACACACACACACACACACACACACACACACACACACACACACACACACACACACACACACACACACACACACACACACACACACACACACACACACACACACACACACACACACACACACACACACACACACACACACACACACACAAGCAAAATATACTTCTTTTCAATTACGTTTATTGGGCCCACTTACATTTTCTTAGGCCCACCCACAAATGAGTTTCTGGGATTCTGGCTACGCTAATGGTGACTTTTGACAGACTTCTCTGAACTCCGCAGCCATTACACTTTTCACCTCGCTCACACCTCAGCGGCAGCTCGCGCACCCCCAGGGGTGCACGCACCACACTTTGGGAATCCCTGTTCTAGGGTACCTCTTAGCCAATAGCGATGGCAGATTTAAATTAAACTGCAGTGCAGAGTTTTTACCTGACAACGTACAACACTGACAGTTTTAGGCAGAAAATTTAAATTAAAACTAAAATGCACTGAAGTGCAAAACTATTGACAACACGTGTCTGCAGCACGATTAGACATGCATTTATATAGTTTATCAGGGAAAAAGAAGTTGATTTGGGGTGACTTGCTCTTTAATATTTCAAGAATGTGCTCCTCTGTGTTACCAAATGTCAATAACCACTTAAAACTGAGTTATTTCCGATACTTCTGTTTACACTGATTTTTTTTGATTTTTTTTATCTGAGGTTAAACGAATGACCCTCAGCTCCTTTAGTTCAATCTGAATTATAAATAGTAAAGCTATGCTTTTCTTGTTTTCACCATTTTATTTGTGCATTAATAAAATATATTCAGTCATTATTTCTAACATCTGAGAAACTTGGCATGGCTCCAGGTTATTTTACTAACTATTCTAGTAATCGGTACGTGTAAATATCATTTCTGTATACTTTTAATAAAGAAATGGTGTGATCAGGAAGGTAAAATACAACATTCAGTTAGCCCGCTGACATCTGTGCCTGTGGTGTTTGTGTTTAAAGCAGGATCTCAGTGGTTTCTGGCTGAAAGTGTTTTAAAAAAACATCTGGACTGGACATTCAGCTGGTAATGTTTTTGTTTGTGCCTGAATGTGCTGGAAAATGTTTCGAGTTGTTTTTTCAGTTGAGGGCACTTTAAGAAGTAATTTCTCAGTCTTGTTTTATGTCTTTTTCTACTTAAAGAGCAAGTCACCCCCTATCAGAGTATTACTACACTCCCACTTCCTGTTTGAAAAATGCAACAAATGCTGTTGCCTAGCAGACTGAGATGGAGCCATTAACAAATACACACACATACAGGCTCACTACAACATTGTGACATCATATGGTACCAGCAAACGTTCTAGGGTACCTCTTAGCCAATAGCGATGGCAGATTTAAATTCAAATGCCGTGCAGTTTTTACCTGACAACGTACAACACTGACAGTTTTAGGCAGAAAATTAAAATTTAACTAAAATGCACTAAAGTGCAAAACTATTGACTACATGTGTCTGCAGCACGATTAGATACGCATTTATATAGTTTATCAGAAGAAAAAGTTGATTTGGGGGTGACTTGCTCTTTAACTTTTTTTTGCAAACCTCTGGGGAACAAATGGTTGACCAAGCACACACACATACATGGTAGTGTGGAAAAGTCTTGTATTAAAACTTTTGTCTGGATTGAGTTATAATAAGTACTTTATATAATGGAACAGGACTAAGTACACGTGCATGCAGATTTCTAATTGTCAGATTTGTTTTCATATATTATAGAATGTATTTATCCTTTTTTTTAGTCTGAAAATCTAAAAAGGTGCTTAAATTGCTTTCCATTTCAAGCCTTTTCCCCCACGTGGACTGTGCTGTTTAGGGGGAGCGATGGTTCATCTTCAAAGCATGCAAGTCTTCTTCCACATCGGTGAACGTTCAGTCATTGTTGCAAAATCTTGTCTAAGTTTACAACTTGTGAGCATTCATAATCCAGCTTTTTACATTATGGCTGAATGGATTTTGTGCACTTTATCATTAAAATGACATCTTAAATAATTAACCATATACTGTAAATGTGCTGTCTCTCAGGTGTAATAATGTTTTACTTGTATTCCTGCTTTCAGACTCATGATTTTGTCAACTTATTTTATAGGCTGAGATCAGCAGGTGTGTGTACAGACATCACAAACTGAGATGTGCACACTATGTGCGCCCGATGCTGTGTTTGGGAGACAGTGTTGGATAGCAAGCTGATAAATAAAACAAGTTATTTTTTCCTTGACATGTTTGAAGTCATTTTATTCTTCATTGTATCAGTTTTGTTTGTTTTACTTGTGTGTATTCCCACATTTGTCATAAGTTGTTTGATGTGCAACAGCACCACTGAGGTGATTTATTTCTTCGTCCTGCCAAAATAAAGTTGTACCTCTGGATTTAACTACCGCAAAGAGGTTCAACCCTCTTGTTGGCTAATAGCTTATTTGGTGATTATCTTTTAGCTGGAAATAGGTTATTTAACACAAGCTGCTTTGGTGCAGTGAAAAGCTTACTCGCTTCTTTAAGAGAAAGTCACCCCCTTCAAGAGCCTAAAGCCTGGGGCACAGCGGAGGCAGATGCGCCGCGCAGCAAAGCGCCCGCGGTTTTGAGAAGTCAAGTGGTCACTCAGGACGCTACTGAGCACTTCTTGGAAAGTTGCGTGATAGCCACAACATAATGAGGGACTTGAGAACAGGAAGCGGGAAGTGACTATTGTTTATACGTGATCAGACTTTTTGTGTTTTTAAGACTAATTTATTAACAGTGGGTAAGTATGCTATTTATTAAAATATTTTAAGATCAACAGTACTTTAAAGTTATCAAAACTGCAGCTAGTTTTGGGCCGTAAAGCCATTCCGCGTCGTAATGTCTGTTGTAAAATTCTCCACAATGTTGTAAATAGCCACTACGCTTGAGATAGAGCCGGCGACTATCTTCAGCGCCTCGTGCGGCACCCCCCATGTGCCCACTCTCATCAACTCTAATGGTTTCTATTTAAAATGACGGCGCGGGCGCAACACTGCGCGTCCACCTCCCATGTGCACCAGGCTTTACTCCACTCCCATTTTATGTTTGAAAAATGCAACAAATGCTATTGCCTGGCAGACCGAGAGGGCGGAGCCTCTAACAAATACACACACACACACACACACACACACACACAGGCTCACAACAACACTGTGACATCATAGTGTACCAGCAAACGTCAAATAGCGTACCTCTTAGCCAATAGCGATGGCTGATTTTAATTCAAATGTAGTGCAAAGATTTTACCGGAAAACAGCACAACACTGACAGTTTTAGGCAGAATATTGAAATAGTGCTAAATTATTGACTACACCTAGCTGTCTACAACACGATTAGACACCAACTTATTAAGTTTATCAGCAAAAAAAAGTTGATTTGGGGGTGACTTGCCCTTTAAGGGTCTCGTTCACTGAGAAACGGTGTAATACTTGTTATTTTTTAAATACGATCTGGCACTCTGAGTTGCATATGCTGAACATGAAAATTTTCCTCAACCCACATTGCCTGTATTAGCCACAGAAAGGAAACAGACAGAAAAACGATCAGGTTGGAAAAAGTCACTGTGGAAAATTAGTGCACGGATTCACCCAACTTAGATAGGAGAGAACAGAGAATGACCAAGCTAGCTAGCTAGATGCTAGGCAGTAGTATTAGCAACCATAACATGGAACACATTCAGGCTTGTGTAATTTGGGGAGAAGCTCATCCACGTTGCATTTTTTTTACCCAAGAAAGGAGTGAAGGAAGGAAGCATAAGAGTCGCATTGCCGTTAGCCAATTAGAGGCAAGATGTTTGAAAATCATGAATATTAAAGAGTAAAACGTGTAATCCTGTCATTTCCCACCACCCCCTGTACCTCTGACAAACTTCTGTCCTATATGAAACAGGAGTGTGAGAGCTTTTTTCCCCCACAAAATATAACTTGCAAGGCATTCATACTAGACTACATCAAATGTATTGAAAAAAATGAGTGAATGAGACGTTTAAACAACCACTCTGAGCGACATTCTGTGGTCATGGAAACTAACTTGACCGTTTTAAAGGAGTGGGTGACTCATTTAATCAATACATTTGCAGTGGTCTCTAATAGACTTTGGAGCAATGGAAGGTGGTCTTGTGGCCCAATGAGTCCAGGTGTTCCCCGTTCCAGAGAGTACATACAGGTGATGTACCAATCATGCCTAGTGCCAACTGTACCAGCCTTTGACCAAGGTCACTGCAGTTTTGTCAGGTTTTAGTTCGGCAGCATTATCTACCCCAAGAATGAGGTCAGCTGACTACTTGAATAGACCAGCATGTTCAATGGATCCATCAATGGATTATTTCTTCCTGGATGGGACGGGTATATTCCAGACTGATCATAATCAAATTGTGGAACTGTGGTTCAGGAAGAATGAGTCATCATATTCACTGTGATTTAGCCACCAGAGTTAGAATCTTAACCCGACTGAAAAAAGGTGTTTCAAAATGTTATTATAGAGTGTTTTATTACATTTTTGTTAAATACAAAGTGATTTGTGAAAAAATGCACAGCTTTATGTGATTTGTGTTGCCTTCACACAAGGAGGAAGTGTACAAACATCCATTATCCTCTCAACAGCCCGTACATTGTAGATGAGGCTTTAAAAAAGGAAAGTGCTGCACCATTCCTGGCTTCAGATAAACCGGCCTGGACAACAAGTCAGAATCAGTCGTGTGTTTTGATCTTGTTCAAACCTTGTCAGGTTTAAGTAAATTGGTGAACGTTCACAGTACACGCTGTTGACCGTGCAACCAAACAAAATCAGCATAATGGGCGATCATTGAAATCTGTGCATGCTTCAAAAAGATGGACAAAAAGGTGTGCTACCTAAAGGTGAAAGGTTAAAATTCGGTATGGCATTTTCCCATAAGACCTCTCCTTGCTGCTTCAAGCAGAGTCCATCTGAAATTAATTAAATGTGTAAAAGCTAACTATAGCTTTCTGTGAGGTTAGTGGAATTCAAGACACCTCGGCAAAGGGTCTCAGTGACCCCCGTTAGCTTTTGTGCCCTCCAGTTTTTGGTGATCCATTATCTTGATGTTCTTTTCGGCATTTTCAACGTTCCTCAGCAGAGTCTCCAGCCTTCGCTTTATCTTCTTCTGGTCCTCCAGAGCGCAGCTGATCACCACGGTCTGAAACTTCTGGTCAATAGGGACGAGCGGTGCCTCCGTGACGCAGGCAGCGTGCAGGGCCAGCAGCTGCTGACGGCCACCTTCCATGTCGCTCAGCAGCTTTTTCACGATCTCGTCTATCATAGACGTGGCCTTGAGTAGTGCATCCTCCTGTTGGGGGTTTCTGATTGTGCCAACAGAGATCTCCACAGACAACGTTCGGCCCATCAGACGGTTCGCAGTCAAAGATAACTCTTCCCTCTCACCTAGAAGACATGTAAACATATTACTAAATCTTTATAGGAAAGAAACTGCTTTTAATGCAGCTGTAACAGCACATTAATAGTCATTTCATATTTCTAAAAGTTTATTTCAATGAGTACAAGCTCTGATTTGTCTGAGATCCCACCCCACACCATAATACTGCCCCCACTGAAACCTGTTAAGCAATATTCATGATGTTCTCCATGATTCTGCCAACTTGTCAATAATAACAAGCTGACACCAAAATACCACTGATATTAATTGGAAGAAATGAATGCAATAACATTTCCAAACATATTTTTTATTGGGATGGACGATGTTTCTCTGGAGCATTTTTTGCCATATTGCTTGTTATGGTCATCACATCGTACAGCAACCAATAAAGTAAATGCTTTGTCGAAAAACTAATAATTTTCATTTCCTCTGAAACATGCAATCCCGTTCTTAATGACTGAATCATGATCCATCCATCAAACTCCCCTCTGACAGTCCCTCCGCTGTATGCGCATACCCGTATTTGTGGATGTATTGCGCATTCTTGGCTTAGAGTAGTTGAACAGGAAGCAAAGTCGGAGCCGGACTGCCTAGTGTTTAACGGACAGAATGTTCGGTTATGTTTGCAAATTTTATTCAAAGATTAGGTTATAACTCATCTTTTCTTGTCATCTAGAATCTTCTGGTGCTGATCTGTAACAGGCCCTTTTGCGCCATGAGAATCTATCGTGGCTGCAGGAACTGAAGTAGGGATAATCCCAACCCACCTCCCCACCTAGTGGACACTTATATTGTGTAATGCCTGAAGTCTGTTGCATCTCTGTCGGAGGTGGGTGTTTTTTTTTTTGCATAGCAAAGCTGCCTTCCCAGTGGAGGGTAACTCTGAAGTGCCTTTTTTTCCCTCCACCTGAACCAATCCTCATGTAACCCTCTGATCTCAATTAGCACGACTCAGGGTTGCGAATGACCACAGTCACCAATTCTTGTCATATGTCTTGCCCATGTATGTCTGATCTCTGAATTGTGTGTACTGAAACTCTAATTTCCCTCTGGGATTAATAAAGTATCTTTGATTTGATTTTGATTGACACTCACGGCAGTGACTTTTGCTTACAAATGTGGTCTGCAGTAACCAAATTTGACCACAGGATGTCAGTCTTACATAATGCACCTTTACATAAAGCCCTTCTTTCAAATCCCTGACCAGTTGAGAGGAGTTTCTAGGTGAACCATGGAGCTCGTGTGAATCATACTAACTTACATTAATGAGGTTTAATGGAGCATAAACCAACATGACTAGACGGTCTACCCTGGTCAGACTCTGGATTTAAATAATGAGCTTTAAGGGTTAGGCCTTTTTGTCTGTTTACAGCGGAACCAAATCAATAAACCAGATGTAGGCTATTGACTCACACGATCCAGAGGTGAAACATGAGCCTGGTTCACACAAACTGGGTCTGGGTGAGATCAGAGGAGATGGGATTCTGGTAGAAATACATTAACCGTACTAGTTCCCCTTTATAACCGCGTATCTTCCCTGGCATTAAGCCGTGCGTGACTTTTGCGCTTATGTAAGTTAAGAGAGAGTTAGCAGCTTCACCAGCACAGATGTTCCTCATTTCTTGACTGTTCTGTATGGACTGAATCATTTCCAGGATGCACTCCCTTTCCTGCTCCATGGCAGATGCTGCTTCTCGTAAAGCCTCCACTCTGACACAGAAAGAGAGACAGCATATGAAATAACACGCTGCAAACCAGTTATGTTTGTTATGAAAAACATTTATTGTCACATTGCCCTGTTTACAGTGTTTATAAAAGGTTTATGCCAATAAATGTTAGCGGCCGGGGCAAATAGCGGCTCCGTAGCACACATGGTACAACAAGGGCCTGTTACCTCGTTTCCAGCTGATCCAAACTTTCCAGGAGTCGCCCCGAGCGGTCTGCCATAGAAAGCGTCCTGCTGAACTTGCTGCAGAGGGCAGCTTCGTTCATTTTCGCTTGTATTTTCGCTTGAGCCATAATGAAGACGAAGATGATGGCTACAGTGCTTTCCCTCGGTGAGCGCAAAATCCAGTGTGTGTCCCTCCGAGCCGTCCAGCTGGGTGTAAATCCTCGGACTGAGGCAGGCAGCAGCAGCGCCCCATGGGGGGAACATTTCCTAACATGGACTTCCTTCACTCCGGCAGAAAGTTCCCGAGGAGACCAGAGCTGGAGCTCCCAATCGTAAGGAGCGTGGACCAGCAGAGGTCCGTGAGCAAGCTCCTCCAGGTCCACGGAAATAAAAGACCTATAATGTTCCAACTCACTTTGCAGTTTTAAGTAATGTGTCTTGATTTATTTGGGCATAATTTTTTTTAGGCAGATTGGTAAAGTAATCAAGTTATTCTGATAAACTTATCCAGGCCTATATATATATATAATTCATTTTCACTCCAGACTACAGATGAAAGCCTGTGGTGGTCTGCAACCCGCAACTCTGGAGCCACAGTGGACCTTCCAGAATGGCTTTTACTTTATAATAATCATAGATATAATAGAAAAAGTGAGATTTAAGCAGCCTTTTGTTATGGATTAATTGAACTGAATTCCCACAACGCAGTGACACCTGTCATCTAGAGGTGAAAACTGCATTACACCCCTAGGCCTCTCAGTTTCCATGATTATGGCCTTTTTATGAACAGTCATGTTGTGCTGTTTATCATGTATATTTTAAAGACTTACTTGTCCATAAGAAATGTTACCAACTCTGCATCAGTCTGGGCTCGTCTTCCCTCTGATCACCTCTCCGTCCAATCTTCTTTTCGAGCTCCCCATGTGTATGTCGTTTGATGGCTTCCGGGGGAGCTGATTACCCTTTTGGGGGAGCCGTGATTTCAACCTCCCCCAAAAATCGCCAAGAAAATTTCAAAAAGATGTATTGCCTTGGTTATCACAGTACAGGCTTTTATGGATTAAAAGAAAATCATAAATAATTCTTGGAAGGGGGGAAACTCCAGGTTGCTGCTTTAAAGTACCCATGAGATTTTTACATCTTTTTTTTTTTAATAATTTCCCTAAATATAAATATCTGGTACAAAAAATACATTCATACACTTTTGGCAAAAGTTTTCTTCCTAAACTCAAAATCTAATAGGAACAAAATGGTGTAAATATTTATGAGACGTCTAACCTTAACCTCAGAATTCTGATTATTTTTCCCTCAGAAAAGAGAAAAAGAACTTCTTCTTCAGTGGCCCTAATCCTTTTATGTAAATAGTTCAACAATTATAAAGATCTTGTTTCAAAAGGTCCTGTAACAGTTACCCATGGTCCAGAGAAGCTGTGGTGGACGTCCCTTAAGGTGGCCACCCTAATGCGTCATTCCCTGTTTTGGGGACATTTATAGAAATGATTAAAAAGAATTATTTTGGGGAAAACTACATCCACACAAACAAGGTGATCCCAAACCGACACAAGCAGATTTCACAAGCTCTTGAAAAAAATTCCATCTGTTCATTAGAAGTTACCTGTTAAACTGTAAATCAGCACAAGTGCATAAAGGCTCCATCTGAAAACTTCACCAATATCTGAATGAAGTGTAAATCAAATTTAATTTACACACACACAACTACCTTTTATGTGTTAAAAGTTACAAGACATCAACACATTTATCTGAACAGCAATAAGACAGAAATTCTTCTTGTCGGAACTAAATGTATGATTACTAAATCAGTTTTTCCCTCTTTTCCATTCGACAATAGCATCCCATCTCCTTCATCACAGGTTAAGTCTGGGTGTCAATTTGGATACAACTTTGTCTTTCTCTGCTCACATCAATGCTCACATCAATGTGGTTTGTTTAGCCTAACTGACTACTGCAACTCTCTGCTTTCTGGTGTCTCACAGAAACTCCTGCAGAAACTACATCTGGTACAAAACTGCAGCTCGTGTCATCACCAAAACTCCGCTCTCACAACACATTACACCGGTTCTGGATGAACTGCACTGGCCGCCAGTTGCTTCTCATATTCAATTTAAAATTCTCTTATTGACATTTAAAGCTCTGAATAATCTCGCACCCGTTTACCTAACAAGCATTCTTCTACCTTATATCCCATTGCGTACTATTCGTTCATCTACCAGCAACTCACTGACTATACCGCCTGTGTCGCCTGTCAGTGCGCCTCAGGGCAGCTGTGGCTACATTGTAGCTCATCACCATCAGTGTGTAAATGGAAGAATGATACACTGTAGTGTAATGCGCTTTGGAGTTCTTGAGAGGCGCTATACAAGTGCGGGTCATTTATCATTTATCATACTACAAGTTCGCTTGTCATCTATGGGTCTTTGGTCCTTCGGCTCACAAGCCCCTCGGCTTTGGAATAAACTCCCACCCACAATTCGCTTGACTAATGATGTGACGTTCACGAACAAATCAAATCTTTTGAACAGGTTTTCAAAGTGAACGATGAGAGCCGAGTCCCTGTAGAGAGCCGTTCATCTTGTCTTCCAGTAACAAACCTCCCCGGAAGTGGGTAAAGCACGTCCGCTCAAACCTCACCCACCGCTGACGGACGTAGGAGGAACCAACCCTGTGCGCCCTCACGGACACCGCAGGAACACGTTGCTCTTAATACCCTCCCGACTTCACTTCGTTCAAAGGAGCCAGTCTTTTGAACGGCTCCCATGCACCCCATCCCCAATCCCATCACTACGCTTGACCACCTCTGTGCAACACTTTAAATCTCTTCTCAAAACCCACTTAATTAGGCAGGTGTGTGGTGTACTCTAGGTGATTTTATCTTTTTATGTGATTGTCAGTGTTAAATTCTCTTATTTCAGCGTTGTTCTATTGATGCTATTGTTATCTTAGTTTTTATTGACCGTTTCATTTTGCACTGCTTGTACAGTTGGTGTACTGCTCTTAAGTCTGTTGTTCAGCGACCTTGAGGGTCTGAAAGGTGCTTACAAATAAAATGTATTATTATTATTATTATGCAGGCCCATTTGTGCCATCATCTAATGCACATCTGTTTTAGTAAATCTGGCTGATGAAGAAAACTTAACACAGATAAATAAGTTTAAGTGCCAAGTCAGAAATAAGGTCTTGTATTAACACCAGTGCTGCACCAAACATACAAAACTCATCATTCTGAGCCGGTTATGAAAGCAGAAACCTGAGTAGGAGACACACTTAGCAGTGAGGTCACAAGGTCAGCGTCACGGGTACGATCGTGTGTCGACACACCCAAGTGTTTCTGTCTCTTCAGCAGAAGAGTTGGCGCAGGATCTGGGTTTACTGCTCCGAAAGAAGAAAGAAACTGAAGAAGAACAAGCGCAATTTATTTGAATACATCTGAACACAAAGACCTTGTGCAAAACGTTCCTATGTGAGCGTAGAGCAAACTAAAACTCATCAGAACTCCAGAAGGCTTCTCTGGAGAGCTTCTTCCAGCTCTGTGGGGACAAACAAAAGCACACATAACACGATTTTAGATGACATACTTTAAAGAGCTGCATTCTTACCCAGCCAACAATCACATGGAGCTTTAGCTGTAAATACAGGAAATACAAAAATCACATCTTCCCTGCCTGCATACCTGCCAACTCTCTCGCCTCCTCCGCGCTCAAAGACAGCGCGCGCCTCATTTCATCATCTGAAACAAAAAAAAAGGAGCAAAGGATTATTTTAAGGCTTTATTCAAAAGTATAAACAAGTCATGTGGTCAGAATAAGCGTTACTCTCCCATCCTGAGCTCTGGCTCTTACGATGAGAAGTATTTGTTTTTCATCGCAAACATTTTTGATGGTCCCCAGCAGGCAGCCAGGCCTGCACACACCAGGGGTCACAGCTAACAGTCCTTATGAAAAAGACAAGAGCAACTATTGAGAACTGCATGTTTCTGATGCTGTCAGTCAGACGCGTTGATAAAACTTTGATTCAAATTGAGCTGCATTATAATTTTAAAGAGAGTTGTGATAAGTTTATGGTCCGGGGCATTCAAACTTTCCGAGGCAAAGGGCCAAAGTTGCCACGTTAGAAGTCCTCGTGGGCCTAAAAATGTGATAATAGTTATTTCATGGTCTTTTATTTACTGCTAATAAACTAACATATTAAAGAAGTCCTTTAATCACATTTATAAAAATAAACAGTTCCTGAGCGCAGCCTCAGCTGCAGCTCCCCACAGGGATGGGTCAAATGTGGAGATGTCATGTCACCAGTGTGTGATGATGACTAATGGAACTTGACTTTAATACGTTTGCAGTGGTCTACAGTAGGAATGAAAGCCTCGAGGAAACAAAGCTCAGTCACGCCTGTTTCAGCACGGAGACATCAGCCAGAGGAGAAAGTAGCTTCAGACGGCAGGAGTCTTATGTCCTGATATTCAGACATCGTGCCTTGGATCGGTTATTCATTTCATCTCCACAAATAACCAGAACCAGGAGCTTCTGCCCTGTCGTGGTGTTGCTAATGCTAACTGTTAGCTTCTGCTAATCAAGGTGTTCTTTGCCATTTCCTGGACGCTAACACGACACCAGCCTTCCCCGTCATGAGCAGTGTTGGGCATCTTATGTTAAATAAGCAATTAGTTCTAGTTACAAATTACTTTTTCAAATAAGTTATTCATAATGTTATTATGGATATCTGGAATTTTAATTTCTACTAGGAACAATAGAATTACAGATATTTGGAAAACATATCCAGTCTGCCTAATTAATGTTAAAAAGACCAACTTATGTTTTTGGGGATTCTGAGATCTCAAACACTCGTCTCTGATCTTCAAACCAACACGGTCTGCTCATTTTTGCCATTTGTAACACCGGCTCGAGGTGGGGTGGCGGGTGCAGGTACAGTCGGTCCGGCTTTGATCGGCTTACTTTCATGCGTGATCAACACAACACTGGTGCAGCTGTCAGAAAGCCTGACAACCGCTGTGCTTCATTCAACTACATTATAGTAACGGAGTAACTTTACATGCTGCAACCATGGGAGAAGTAATTAATTAATTACTCTGCCACCTAAAAATAATGCTGTTAGTAGCACCGCTATTCTTAAATGCTGTTACTCCCAACACTGGACACGAGCCAAGATGGGTGAGTCCATGAATGTTAAGTTACAACGTGACGTAGATCTGTCAGGCTTTTCGAATCCTAGAGTTTGACCATCTCTCTTGGTCAGCTTGCTTCTCACACCAAACCCTCTATCAGGAATCTTGGTGTGACCTTTGACCCAGCTCTCACCCTGGATTCTCATGTCAGTTCTCTTGTTCGCTCTTCCTTCTTCCATCTCAGGAACATTGCTAAGCTGAGTCCCATTCTGTCCCGCTCTGAACTTGAGACAGTTCTCCACAACTTCATCTCCTCACGCTTAGACTACTGTAACTCTCTTTTCACGTGTCTGAGCAGAACCTCCCTGAACCGTCTACAGGTGGTTCAGGATGCCTGTGCTCGGCTTCTGACCACGTCCTCCAAACACACCCACATCACCCCGCTCTGAACATTTTCTAAGGGACAAGTTTCTCAGAGAGACAGGGTTGGGAAAACTCTTGCTTCAGTGAGAGGAATCCTGCATGCGGTCTGGTTCTGCGACGCGCCCCAAGCCCCTGATCTACACATCTTCAGCTCGCTGGCCGCCTTACGTGCGCGCTGACAGCGAGCTGCGCTGAGCTCAGTGTCCAGCTCAGATGTTCTGATGGGAATCTTCTTGGTTGATTTAGCTACCTCTGCGATGTGCGTAACGATTAAAATGTCGGTGTATCTGCAACCTTGAGGATTCTCCGTCAAAATAAATGATCAAATACGGGAAATATCCGGTCAGTGCAAACCCTGTCATTTAACTGTTTAGCCTTCTTGTGGAGATTGTTGCCAACAGGAACATTAAACGTGATTAACACCAGAGCCATGTGCACTGCGCCGTTCTCTCCGTCACTGTAAATGAGGAAAAAAAACTAATTGATCGGATCCTCTTCTTACCTTTTCAACATCGTTTAATGTAAACTTTTGTTCTGTACAAAGTTTAATTACAGCAGTCCAACGAGACGGCGGGTTGGGCTGGATTTGTATTCTGAACAGTTTAAACATGTTTTAAATGGAGACATGAGTGACACGTCAAAAGGCAGCACCTGCTCTACTATTAACCCCACTTACAGGGTGAAACATATCTAAATACTGTCGCACAGACGGGCTATACAACTTCTGGGTCAGTTTTATACAAATTGTTTTATTAATTATCTTCTGTTGAAAGATAACTTTGAGGAACAAGAGCGAACGGTATTGGTTGCTGCCACCTGCTGTGATCTGTTAAAGCAGCTTTCTGCTGCGGCTCCCAGTGTTTGCTTTACTGTGGGAAACGGGTGATGATGGCTCTTTGATGGGAAAAGGTTGCCGACCCCTGGGTTAGGGTTAACCTATAATTGGCCTCTCCTTCCAACGCTTCCCCTACAGTTTTTTCTGCTACTTAAGTTTTAGAAGGCAGTAAATAATAATAAACAAATAGATAAATAACAATAAAACAGGCTTGAACCTAACGAGAGAGTGCATTTTGCTGACTGCAGTTCCTGTAATGGCCACACTGCACTTTCTGCTCTCTGGAAACGACGCAGTGCAGGTAAACTGTTAACAGTGTTGGGCAAGTTACTTCAAAACTGTAATGCATTATTTATTACTTGTTACCCTCATTTTAAAGTAATTCATTACATTACAATATTACTGATTTTAAAATGTAAGGCATTACACTACTTTTGCATTACTCTAAGTTACTTTCACCAAAACAACTTCAGTATGAGTTTGGTAATCTGATGCCTGGTGAACTCATGACACATCCGGTGGAAGGTGATGTGGTGTCTGAGCTAGGATTGCTGTTAAAAACAGATCTTTAGAAGGATTGTTTATGAAATAAATGAAACAACAAACTGTACTCTCAGCACGCTGCCATCTTAGATTAACTGAGCAGGGAGTGAGGTGGTGGGGGCTCCAAGTCTATTTAGCCTTGGTCCCCAAATGCCTTGACACGGCCCTGGATGTGGGACTGACTTCTGGGGTGATCTGATTCTATCACATGTATAAATATTAAAAGCGTATATATTATTGCTTTTCACTGGTAAAAATGTGTGTTGGGGATAAATCTACCTACTTTTTTCTTTTCAAGCACTGTGTTTTGTTTTCTTGATTTTATTTGAATAATTTCCTGCCCTTTCTCTCTCTAACCTTCCTGCATGCTGCACGTTCTCTCCGTCTTCCAGAAAAAACTGTTTCCTAGACTTCCTACTTTCTAACGATCAGCCAAAGGGATCTTCACATGTGCGGCACTCCAGCAGCAATGAGTTAAAATCACCGGGGCCCAGATTTACTCAGATGAGGCAAAGCACGTCAGAAAAGTACAGAATACCAGAGAACATGCGCTGATATGAACGATCGCAAGTGAATTATTTTGTTTTAGTGGAGCGATTTTGTGAATGTTACAGCGGATGCCGCTGGAGTATTTGAGCCGGTACCGCTGCATCCTCTCTGCCTGCAAAGCTGAGTCCATAAATGACGTAATATATGCAGATACTGGATCTTTCTTCGGGTTTCCCGCAATTTGAATTTTTAAGAAACGCATCTTGATTCTGGGTTTAAAAATGCATTGTAATTACCGCGTTACTGACAATTGTACCGAGTAAATATTACCATTTTCTTTCCCTGTAATGCCTTACATTACCACATTACAACAAAAAGCAATGCATTACAGTAATTAATTACTTCTGTACCGCATTACTCCCAACACTGACTGTTAACCACCGGTTTCTGGTTTAACACAATCAAAGGAGTTGTGTAATGTGACTCGTTTCCTACCCAAGTCTTTCTCACTGCTGGTTTGGTTGGTGTCCGTAAGCTCCACCCCTGTCCCGTCTGTTTCTGTGTAATAATTTAAAACCACAATCAAGCACTGCAAACACAACAGAAATAAAAGATGATTCTCATTTGAACTGATTCACCTTCCTGGGATGGTGTGATCTCCACGGCGTGTTTTATTTCAGCAGCGCTTGCTTCCGTCTGTACGCCCTTCCTGCAGGGCTCCAGCGCACAGTGCTGCCGATGGTAGTGTTTATGGAAGCTTGGCACGCCGGGAAAAATCTCCTGGCACTCTTTGCATTTGACCACAAAGGTCTTGTCCAGGTTCAAGGCCGCGTGCGTTGTGTGGATGTGCGTTTTCATCTGTGCGTAAGTCGCCACAGACACGCTGCAAGGAGCGCACGCGTACCGACATCTTCCTTCTGCAGACAGCCGTCTCATGCAGCGAGTGTAAGCAGCTTTCATGTCACCTTTGCTTTTTTCGGAGCCCATGCATGGACAGGTGAGCTGAGCGGTTTCCTCGGCGACGGGAAGCTCAGGGGCGTCCAAGCAGTAGTAGTCCCTACTGTGAAGGCTCCTGTAGTGTTCCATGAACTCGGCTTCAGACTCGAACTGCATGCTGTCACAGAGGCCGCAGAAGTGGGAGCTCTTCACGTCCCCGCCGTGCTCGTTCACACAGTGCCTGCGAACCGTGGACTCTTTGAAGAACTTCTGCGGACAGTGACCACAAACAAATCTCTGAAAGCTGTGGCTGCTCGTGTCGCCGCAATGCTCGAGGACAGCCGCCTCAGAGTCAAAGACGTCCTCGCACATCCTGCACATCCACGTGTGTCCTGCTGTTGGAGACGTCTCCACTGCGTCCTGCTGGGCTTTGGACGCAGAGAGCGAGGTGATGTTGCTGCTGGTGGAAGGCTTAGCTTCGAGGGCTGCGGCAAAATCATGCGGCACTTCTTTCTCTGTGAGGTAGGTGTGTCCTCTGTGGGCTTCCGACACGTGGGACAGAATATCTTTCAATCGGGGCTTTTCCACTCGACACTTTCGGCAGAAGAACAGGAAGTTGGAGAGGTGTGCTCCGCCGTGAAAGCGACTCATATGCAGACGGGCAACTGAAGACTCTCCCATGTGTTTGTCGCAGACGCCACACTGGTGGAAAATCTGGTTCGCAGCCAGAAGATGCTTCGAGGCTGTGGCCTCTTCTGAGAACTGTTGACCACACTCACAAAACCACGCTGACGTCGAGCTCCTGCTGCTGCTGCTAGCATTCAGACCTGAAGCTAGTCTCTGTCTTTTAGCCGGAGATCCGTCGCTTTCACCTCTATCATCGGTTCTCCTTTGCAGAGACGTCTCAAGACCCTGCAGCAGCCTTTTCTCCCGCGCTACAGCCGTGCTCTGCTGAATTTCACTAATCCTGCTGAACTGGAGGAGAGCTTCGGCCATGGACGGGTTGACATCAACGTTGTGCTGCGTGGATTCTTCGTGACTCTGGATTTCAGCCTGGCTCAGGAAGACTTTGGAGCAGAGGGAACACTGTCCTCGAGCTTGCAGCTGTTTCATAACTTCCACTATTGTTGTGTCAGCTTTGGCTACAGCACAGCCATGCCTGCACTGCACACTAAAAAAAAAAGGTAATAAACCGTTAAAAGTCACTCACAAATAAATAATACTTAATAGGGATGCTCCGATCTGATCAGGTGATTTTGAAATGATCTGGATCAGGTAGAAAGGATCGGGTTTAAAGCTGCTTTAGCGAATCTACTGAACAAGCTAGGTTTTGAATGCAAACACGGTCACTCACCCCTCCGTTGCAGACGGGGGATTCGGACATCATCACATCTAGCTGTTAGCTAGCAGGCTAATGCAGAGCTAACGTGTTGCCTCAGAGTGAAAATGTCTGCAGTTTGGACGCATTTTAAACCGGACAGCAAAGGCAGGGCAACAGACACGCGCATACTGGGCACAGAGCTGCGTTCAACACTACGAATCTGACACGCCACCTTAAAAACGAACATTCTTGTCTTTTGGCTTTTCCCTTCAGGCATCAACACAGCGGGTCATCTGTGTCCATTTAGTTCTAGTCTAACACACCTGCTCACTACACCCAGATCACTGAAGCAAACACACGGAGGCGGCGGACACTTAAAAATACGTTAATAAGCTAAAAGAAATTGCCTACAGACAGCAAAAAGGTCACAGCCGAGACGGCTGAACTGACCACACGGGATGACTGTTGCTGGTTTTGCAGCCTCCTGGAGCCGCGGTGTGACAGAGGACGCTACTTTTAAATACATTATATATTAACACGTTTCTTATCAACGTACTTCTTAAACAAGTGACGGTTTTTAGCAGAAAAACTAAAGAAATCATATAAATACAAGAACAAATTAACACTTAAATAATAATAAAAACCTTAAAAGTACAACTGGTGTGTTTTCCTCTTTTCTTATTATTTTAATTCATTGCTGAAGAATCGGATCAGGACTCGTATCAGCAGATACTCAAAATGAAAAGACTTGGCCTGGGGCAAAAAAAGGTGATCAGAACTAGGGTTGCAACATTAATCATTTTGGTGGTACGGTTAGTCGAAGAAATAATCACGGTTTCACGATTATTTTACACCAGTTGATTTCACGTTTGTATTAACATATAGACATGACAAACACATACCCTATAAAGTATTAATAAAGTGCATGATTACAGTCTCTAAAGGTTTTGAACCCCTGAAGCGATCTACTGCTCCTTTTCAGAGATTCTGCTCAGAAAAAAATTAGTAAAATCAAAGTAGTGTCTGTCATTTTCAAATGAAAAGTTCTAAACTTACCTTTAAATACCTTTAAAAGTGCTGAACACTCGTTTAATCTATACATTTGAAGTGGTCTTTAGTAGTAATGAATGCCTTGTAACACTAGCGCACCGTTTTCAGGACTTAGAAGTGAGCCACATCCCAGCTGAGCCTCAGACGGCAGGATTTGGAGTCTTAATTCCTGATGTTTGGACATCTCGCCTCAGACTGGATAACAGCAACACGACTCAACCACCGACTTGCAACGTTGATGTTTTATCTCCACAAATAACAGAAGCCTGGAGGAGTTCTGCTGTGTGGCGGAGTTGCTATGTCTGACAGTTAGCTTCTACTATCTATATTTTCAAATTTCATCAGTAAGATTATTTGGACATGGGTAAATAATATTATTGTTATGTAGAACAGGAATTAGAGTGGTGTAGTTGATTAAATGTTAAAATGGCTTGTCAAACATAAAACAACACTACTAAATGACCCCTTGTTCACAGACTGTTCTAATATTACTGCTAAATCACTTCAGTCACTAATGTAATGTGACCCAGAGCGTATTTGTCTGCGTGATGATGGGAGTGTCGCAGCTTTTTTCTCAGCAGATGGACTTTGGGAGTCCAAAATATTCCCTCGCTGGAGACCTCAAGCTCTTCCTAGGTGGAAACTGAGCGGCCTCGCCTCGGTGGTTGACGTCGCTGGTTCTGCTGCGCGTGTCCATTTAGTTTTGCTTTCGTTTTGGTCCACTAATTACTTTTTGTTTTATTTGCAGTGTTGGAGACGTCTTTACGGTAGGTAAACCGCAGCATTTCACACCGTGGTTAATACTGAGACGGGTTAATCCCTGCAGCCCTAATCAGAACATCCCTGTTATTTAAATAAATCAAGACGCCAACCTACTTAAAGTGAGCCTGAGCTGCTTGATGAGAAATCAGCACTTTGAGGCATAACGAGCATCGGACGGTGAAGGTCGACTCTTTGCACAAGGCGATGAGACGATTCTTGACGAGCTTTGGGACGGGAACTGGCTGCACCGCTCCTCTGGTTTCTTTAACGAGTAAAAAAAGCAAATTAAAAACAAACGTTTGCTTCATATATTTGAGGGTTTACTGAAGTGAGAAAAAAACCATTACCATCCATTGCAAGAGACTCCCTGAAGTGGTTTTTGGCGGACATGTGCTGAAGGCACTCATCTCGGAGGTTGAAGAGGAGAAAGCATTCAGGACACGCAAAACACACAATCTGCTGATAGTTCTGGTCCAGGCTGTGCCCACTGGCGTTAGCAGAGTTCACCTAACCAAAACGAACAAAACACCAGGATATAACTCTGTATTCCATTCCATTTATTTGATAGAGCACATTTAAAAACAGCATGTGAGCCGACCAAAGTGCTGCACAGGGATAATAACATATAAGGTTAAAAGAATAATATATAAGAATAAAACAGCAAGAGCATAGCACAAAGAACCAAAGAGAAGTCAGTAAAATCGGTAAAAGAACAGTGCAAATAAACCTAGATAAAATAGCTAGGCAGTAAAAGCAAGGGAATAAAAGTAAGTCTTTAAGCGAGACTTAAAAACCCCAATGGAGGGGCAGAGTCTGATATCCAACGGGAGATCGTTCCAGAGTTTAGGAGCGCAGACAGAGAAAGCTCATTCACCACGGGTTTTGCAGCGTAGACGGGGAATCAGTAGTAGGTGTAAGTCACCTGAACGGAGAGTCCTGCCCGCACATAAGGAGTGAGTAACTCAGATATGTAAGTTGGTGCTAAGCCATTCAGCGCCTTAAAAACAAACAATAACATTTTAAAACGTACGCAATAGTGCACAGGAAGCCAGTCAAGTCTTGCTAAAATTGGAGTGATGTGCTGCCGACGGCCCGTATTAGTCAGAAATCTTGCTGTCGCGTTCTGGATCAGCTGAAGGCGAGATGATGCGGCTTTTAAAATACCAAACAGAATTGCATTGGAGTAGTCCAACCTTGAGGTGATGAAGGCGTGAATGGCTGTCTCGAGGTGGCGCCGATTCAGAATGGGTTTTAGTTTGGAAAGACGTCTCAGCTGATAAAAACATGATTTAACCATGTGATTGACATGAGGGTCCATTTTTAGAGCCACGTCCATTTTAATTCCAAGATTAACAATTGTTTGATTAATTTTAAAAGGAAGAGCAGAAAAATCAGGAGCGGAGGAAGACGAGCCATTAGGAGTAAAAACAATAAATTCGGTCTTAAAATCATTCAGCAGCAGAAAATTGGCTGACAGCCAGCCTTTAACCTCGCCCAGGCAATCAAAGAGCGGCTGGATGGAGGTAAAAGTCTTCAAGGGAACATAAATCTGGCAGTCGTCCGCATAAAGATGAAAGTTGAACTTCCTAAAGATCATTCCCAGTGGAAGAATATAAATACTAAATAAAAGGGAGCCAAGAATAGACCCCTGTGGCACGCCCCAAGGAAGAGCAGCAGAGGGAGATGAACAATCGTCCATCCTAACTCTAATAGACCTGTTGTAGAAATAGGAGCGGAACCAGTCAAGCGCAGATCCCTTAATGCCAACCAAATTCTCAAGGCGGGACAATAAAATGTCATGGTCAACCGTGTCAAATGCAGCTGAGGGGTCCAACATCACCAAGGCAACATGGGAACTGGAATCAGTGGCTAAAATAATATAATTAAAAACCCTGATGTGAACGGATTCTGTGCTGTGATAGTCTAAAACCAGACTGAAATTTATCCAAGACGGGGCAACATTTTATTATAAACAGCCTGTTCCAACACTTTTGACAAGAAGGGGAGCTTTGAAAGTTCCCGAGGTCAGTTGGGTCTAAGCCAGATTTTTTCAATAGTGGTTGAAGCACGGCATGTTTAAAAAACTGTATTTACCAGATATCAATGTTTCGTTATCACCTTAGACTGAACGTGTTTCTTCCACTCTTCTTTGGTCTGAAAATGCCGACCACAGGCAACGCAAGCAAAGAGCTCCGACGGACTCCCGCTGAGATGGATGGATGGGTCACAGGGAGAGTGATCAAACCTGCACACGAGGGACCGAAGATCAGCAAAGGTGGAAAATATCGGCCAACACTCCAAATAAAAGCTGCTGCGAACAGCAGAGTAATGGGATTACCTTTTTAAGTGCCCACCAAGGAGGGAAATGTTGTCATAAACGCGGCCACAATTGATCACTGGACAAGTGTGTCGAGCTGAGGCGTTTCTAGAGAAATCGGCAGCTGACTGTCTTCGGCCCCAGTCAGCACCGATCCCACCAGGTTTAAGGCCTAAACAAACGATGGATCGGATTAATTGAATCAGTCACCTAAAACAGCGATACAATGTTTAGGAAATTAGGATTACAAAAGTCACCTGGCATCTTTAACCACATGTCCACACAGTGCTTTGCCTCCTGATTCCGCCCGTTTGGAGAACTAACAGCCAGCTCGCGCTGTCCGTGAGCTTTCTGCATGATTTGTTTTTCCTGAAAATCAAAAAGAGCTGCTATGTTAGAAGTCTGAATATTATTTTACAGACTCACAAAACACAAGTATCTGCTGATTATGCAGACATCATTAAAAACTAAATAAAAACTTCAACTCATTCAACTTTATTCATTTATGACTTGTTTTAAGTTTTTTGAGCAATCATAGTAACAAAATATTAAAATTATTTTTTATCTTATTTTACTCCTGAAGATCATTTATGTTGTCTATGTAACATCTACGGTGTGCACAAGGTGGCACGTTCGTCCCTGCAGCTAAATCAGCCTTTATTCAGACCCTAACCTATTTGACATTTAACCATTTTCATATTTTTTGTGATAAAAAATGTTAAATATATTCTAATTTCACCTAAATATTTTAGCTTTCCAGTTTGTTTGGATTCATAAAGATGAAACAAAACCACTGTGAATGTTAACCGTTTAGAATTAAAACTTCATCTGATAACTGCTTCTATAATATTTAAGCATCTTTTTCAATATGATGTAAAAAAAATGACACTTTAAAAAGTGACAATGTGTAGTTTTTCCCTTTAATCTCTGAAAAAAATCCATCAAAATGTGGTTGAAAATGAATTAAATAATGCCCAGTTGCAGCTTCGTAACATAAAACCATAAAAATCGTGTCTAAAATAATTAATAACACAAAATGTGGAAAAAAATATTTCTGTTCCATGAGTATCACTCAACCATTCTCATGTGCTGGCATCAACAAAATAATATGGGAGATGTATTTTAGGAATAGTGTTTTACTAGTATTTATACTACTACTAAAAATATACGTGAATAAGACTATAGTCAGATGACCCGATGGGGCTCTGCGCCCAAACAAACGCTAATTCCTCAGATGTCAGCTCAAAATCGAAAAACTAATGATAATCCTACCCAGACGAGATTATTTCCCCGTGTCTCAATCCCAAAACAAAGTAAAAGTGAATGAAACAGCCAATTAATGACGCCTACAGGCACAGAACATTATGTTGTGAAAACAGCAGGTGACTTATTTACTTATTTTCTATCTTTATTATCTCTTGATTTAAAAAAAAAAAGATTTTTATATATTTTTTTCCAAGTGAACACTATTTCGTATACAATGCCATGAAATGGGGATACTACTTAATGCTAATTTTTTAGTTACCTTGAATGCTTTACATTTGTCTGCTCTTTCCTTTTTCTCTTGAGCCACTTTATGTGCCAGCCTGTCCAGCGTGGACATGACCCGTGCTTTGTTTCGGGTGACGCTGTCCTCAAGCTGCAGAGGACATCAAATGAGAACATTTTCCAGAAGAAACGAACACCAACAAACCGTTTATCTGTTCAGATGCTTACCGTGACCGCCCGAGATGAGCATCCCTCGTCATCGGTGTCACTCAGCAGATCGATACAGTCCAGCACTGGTCTAAGAGGGCCTTCCTGCAGGACGAGCAAAGTGAGCTGAAACCTGAATGTTTGCTGCAATAACCATAGTTTAAATGTCACTCTACACTGATCACCACGCACCACGCAGAGGTCAATGCAAAATGTGTCCAATCAATATCAAAAAGGTGGAAACTTGGTTGTTACACCGGATTAACATTTTCTTTTTGTTGTCCTGAGTGCTTGTTAAAGATACACGTAACTTACTGATACAAACTCCACTTCTTCAGCCTCAGAATCGTGTCCTTGGGTCGGTGAAGACATCTTTACAGGAAGGGAAAAAAAGATTTTGAAGCTGCAACAAAGATTCTAAACATGGCTGTAAAATGTGGGATCAAAAAGGCATTTATGTACTCATTAATGAGCATGTCAGGCAAGTATCTATACTTTTATCTGGGAGATTAGAGGTACAGACAAGATTAAATCTGTTTTGATTGCGGATAACATGGCTTTAATTAGGAATAGTCACACTAAAACATGAGGAAATGGCTGCATATGTTCACTAGTCACTTGCAGTCATAACTGTATAAACCATAATGACTTCAAACTTATTTACTGCTCCAAACAAACTACCTACTCAGGCGTATTACACATATTTTTCATTACAAACAAATTATGTAAAAATTCAACACGTTTTCCTCCATAAATAACCTGAAACGCAACTATTTCCATCAGGGCTGTTGTAATATAACTTCATACCACAAGGGGGCAGCACTGAAATCCACTTGGAGGAAGAGATTGGAGGGCGCGAGAATGCAACATTCAATTGCTGCTGCAAATAAACGTAAATAACAAACTCAGCTGTACTTCATGAACGTTATGCAATTATTTTGGACATAAGACAAGGAAAGCACTAAAATAAAACATCCAGTTTGTCATTAATACGTAAAAATGTTTTCTTCATATTTAATCCACCTGGCTTACTTTGTAACCAATATCCGGGGCTGCGAAGGCTCTCAGTATGCTAACGTCCGGCTAGCGGTTTACGTTGACAACTAGCACAATGGCTAAACTGAAATCAAACAAACTTGCTAAAGTTTAGACTTTGCAAGATATTTGAAATTACCAGAGTAAGTAGAATGTTTTTGGTACGTAGCGCTGATCCTATCGGCTCCTTCGTTGGCGCAGTGGTGGCTAGCTTCTACAACAACGTGAAGCAGCTAGTCTGGTCTGTAACGTCACTATTAGCTAGTGCGTTTATTTCGTTTCACGGCGTGCCTCGCATGGGCGGGGTTATGTTTTTTATTGTCTTCCCCCAACAGTTTTTCATTTTTATTTTTAACCGTTTGTATAATGTTTATAATATTAAGCAGTTTTTTTCCATAATTGTGAACTTTATTCTTTATCGAGACCGCAGACTCAAGCCGATTGTATCATCCTATTGTTTTTGAGACAGTGCCCTCTAAAGGATGAGTGTTTAACTGCAACTGTAGTTTCAAAACATGCTTATACGTCAAAAGTTAAATACGGTATGTAAGATTTTATTTGAAGTTAGAATTTTAAATGTCAGAATTTTATTGAAGCATTTAATTACTGGTGAAGCATTAGATTAGAATAGAATAGAATAGAATAGAATAGAATAGACAATTTATTCCACAGTGGGAGAATTAACTTGTTAAGGCAGCACATACACCCTGAGAAATAGGAAAATCGTAAATACACAAAGGCATAGACTCTTACTGAAACCTTCAACACTCAAAAAAATGAATAAAAAATAGAGTAAAAAGAGGCTTTATTTATTTACTATAGTGTATTACATCAAACTATTAAATAATTGATAAGTTATTATTTTATTTGACTTTTTGCGTTATTTTACAGACTTCAGGAGTATGTCTGCCCGCCTTTTCAAAACTCTTACGGGCCATAGTGAGATGTTGTAGTCAACTTCAATCTCAGTTTTTTAAATTATTTTCCAGGAGGAAAAATATTTGATCACTTTTGAGTTTAATGATATTTTAAACACATAAAGTAGATTATGCTTCTGTTCATGCAGGCCTTGCTGTGCAATCACGTATATAATCGTTTACCTAAGAGACACTTCCCCTCATATGTCAGTCATTATTTAAAGAACTGATCAAGTTCATTGGATGAGAAGTTAAATATCTTCACGAAACCATGAAGTCCAGTTTTCTTCATCTGTTCTAGGATTACCATTAAGACTTAGAACCATATTAATAAACATAAATTTTTATTCTATCATCTTTATTTTCCTCTAGGAAACAGTTCATTGCAGACACCCAAAACTAAGACAGGGTTATTTTTTCTCCTGGGGAGCAGCTTAAGTAAAGAACTTTGTTGCAGCATTTGACATGTTTGAAAATTAGCACACTTTTGACTTGAGATGCAAGTAGAATTCATACATTTCATCATCTGTTCTTCTCCCTTTGAGATGGAAAATCTATGTCTGTTCCCACCATCAGGTCTTGCACCTGATCTTGTGATCACAGCTCCTGAAGAAACCATAATTTTATGTGAGGACATGTTGGATGTGTCCTGTTATCCTCGACAACTTTCTGTTTCCCCATTTTGATCCATGAGATCTAATATCTGCTCCTGATTGTTGCTTTTCCAACTTTTGGTAGACTGGGGGTAGAGGACCAGTTCACAGACTGGTTTAATTTTGATGGTCAGTTATCCCGTGTCAGGAAAATTTAGGTAGCCGGCATTGGTGATCATTCTGTCTGTTTGATTTTGCAGGCTCTATGATCTAAATGATAAAACAGAAATGCTTGTAATTGTGTTGCTCTTGCCAGAGCCATAGACACATGTTCATTTCTGGACAGAGCAACGCCAATTTATCTCTCTAATTGTTTGAAAATGGGAAGTTCCCACCATCGCCATTTTGGCTGTGTCACACGTCTCGCCACGCTTAGACAATCCAAAAATGGGAAAAGAGGTGGAGCTGAGGGAGGGGCTTTGAGGGTGGGAACAAATGAACCAATGTAGCTTCTAGCTAGTTAAGCTAACCCCCGAAGCTAGACGGAGCTCCGGACCGCCTGTCTTCCATACGAGGCTAGTTGTGTCAGTCGCCTGTGGAGCTCTAATATGGACATTTAAAACATAAGTAGAGCCTCAGATCAATGAAATCGGAGCTGGGTGCCCTGGCTGCTTATGCGAGGTCATGCTCTGCCACGCTGTTGCCCTCTGCTGCCCGCGCTCTCCTCATCGATGACACAGTCCCATGCATGATCTAACGATTAGCCTCCATCGTCTCTGTTCATGATTCCATGTCCGTGTCTCCTTATGTCTATGGCTTTCCTAATTCATCTTTTGTATTTTTGTTTTTTGGTGTTGATTATCGCTCTTCTGTCCCAGTCCGTTATATGGTTTTCCCTTGTGCAGTGGTCTGTTACTGCACAAGGGCGACAATGTCCTTTGCTGCCTGTAGATAAACAGAGAAGAAGGTGACGTCACCAACAGCATCACAGCTCTGAAGATGGCCACAGGAAGTAGTCGAAACAGCACCAAACAGGTAAAGAACAGTTTCTCGGCCTCCTCAGGCGATGGGAGCGTGTGGCCGCCTGTGTTAAGCAGCTGTTTCTGGCCGAGAGACTGGAGAGGCTGGGCTGCCGCAGGGCTGTCGTTGTTAAAGGGAGAGGCAAATTACAGAAACTCGGCAAACCTTCATTCTGCGGTGGTGACCTTGCGGATCATTGACCGCAGTGGACCAGCAAAACCCAGAAGCTTTTGCTAGCTAGCCTCATTCAGCTTCCATAGCTCGAGTTTCGGTACCCAGTCAGCCGGCCAACACGTTATATTTCAAACTATTTTTGACCAAGCAGTTTTATGTTAAATGCACACGAATGCACAGCATTTTTCCACATTTAACCAGTGAAATGAAGCACAGAAAAATAAATTCACTTACTGATATAAATGAGCACAGACTTCTTCAATGATCTATCAGTGCAATCAATACCAGCTAGCCATCTTTGTCCAATAATTCTATGATTAACATCCAAACACGAACACACAGGACACAAAGTTCAGAGAATTGAAATGGCCAAACATCTAGTAGAAAGATGCAGAAGCTGAGGCCTTCACTGGAGCTAACTGCTAATGCTAGCTCTGGCGTGGCTCTGACGCTCATGCCACCTGTCAATCAAATCTAATTGTTCATCATTTCAAGCATTTATTTAACCTTAAACAGAAAAGTTACAAAAATGCAAACCCTCAGAGTTGTCATGAATGTAAACTAGACCTATTAAAGCTAAAATGTTTTTTGAACCAGGCTGTAAACGTGTTAATTTCTGCTGTGAAGTTGGCATTTTTAACATGGGAGTCAATGGAAACTTGCCCTTTATGGAGCCAGTCCCTAGTGGATGAGGATGGAACTGCAATTTCTGTCACTTTCGTGTTGGCTTCCCTTTTGGCAGCCTGAGATTTCCCTCAGTGGGGAAATGTTGGTGTCACAGCAGCAACTACAAGAAAACAACACACAAATGATTCAAAATGTTAAAAAATCAAAAAGCTAAATGTATACACATGATAAGAATAACATATAAAAATATTGTGTGGATCCAAAAAGGCGTTTAATGAGAAACTGCAAATGCAATGCATAGTTAGCATGCCAGGAATGCCAAACCTTAAAATTTTCATAGAATTAAAAGAAAGGAAGGGGACACTACACTCACTGTGGCCACAAACTCGTTGGATACTCTATGTTCCACTACGGTGATGAATGGTGACATTTATGGAGGCCAGACACTTCCCATCATTAAGCAACACAACAATCACATCCAGTGTTTTCCACGTGGTCCATCAAATCTTGTGAGAAAAATACTTCTGTTGCTTTGGGACCCCGTTAAACTTCTCAAAACCCGTGTCCACATTCATTCTAGTCTTGGAAGAAGAAGCTCCATTCTTTCACTTTTCCCTCTGACCCAGTTCACAAAGCCCACTTCCCAGAGCATGATCCTTCTTCTCTAAATGCCATGCTTTCATTGTTACAAGCTAAATGATATTACCGTTGTAAACAGACTATCTGATGGGCTAATCCCATCACGCAGACACGCAGAGACGTGTGGTCAGAAATAGAGTAAATTTATTTAGAGACCTTTTAACGTGGTTCTTCCCAGAAGGATCTGCTGCATGCAGGAGCTGCAGAGAAAACGAGTAAACATATTAATCATAAAAATCTAATGGAATCTGAGTAATTTAATAGTGAAGAAGACCTTAATGTGGTTCAAGAGGACTGTTTGGAACACTGGGATGGATAATGTTTCACAGCAATGAAGCAAACATAATGTTCTGCATGCAGAAAAATGAGGGAATGAATAGGGCTTTGTGTGAGGGTATGATGGGAGGTGGGGCTCACCCACAAACAACAGATGTCTAGATGACAGGAGGGCTTCCCCACACCCCTCCATCACTGCTAAAAAACATGTTGCATCCTACAGTCACCATGGAAACGGCGTAGAAATCAGGAAACGCGTGCCAAAATGTATATTTCTTGCGGACAGGATTCCGTGACTTAACATCAAATGTGAGAATATTGCAGCCTTCTACCATCATGCAAATGAAACTGGTTTTTAATCGCGCGTGCAGGTCGTAACTTGTGCACTTCTGCGCCACTCTTCAGCAGCGATCTGCTGGCTCATGTTGTGTTTGCGCTTTGCCCCCCTACAGCTGATCCACGAGAAATTACACAATTGGGCGGAATCCTCCAGGAGCTTGTGCGGTTTGCTGGATCCATAGGCGTGGTTTTGGATGGAGATGCTCAGTCTGCTCCTGCTGGGATCCCCACCTGCCCTCACGCGCCGCGTTCGTTTGTCACAGCGCCAGCTTGCGTTTTCCTGAGCTCCGCACACCCCGGCAGACTTTTTCATTAGTTTTTTTTTTCTTTTCTAATAATTGATCACGGGAGATATTGGTTTATTTTTCCGTCCTGGGTGTTGTGTAATTGCAGTTCTGCGCGGGGACGCGTTGACACGAAGCGGAGCGAGGCGCGCAACCCTCGGCGGAGATCCACCGGAGCGGACTGCGCGTCGCTCGGCCTCCTGGCGGCAGAGGAGCGGAGCCACAGCGGAGGACCCTGGTTCATGTGTACGGCTGTTAGACGCGCAGCAGTTTGCAGGGATGAGAAATACATGCAGAACAGCCCAAAGGTCGCTCGGGCTCGGCTTCCTCCTGGTGGCGTCTGTTCTACTTTTAGTGGACAGCAAGAGAGCCAGGCAGCCGCGCTGTCCCCTTTCTTGTACATGTACCAAAGACAACGCGCTGTGCGAAAGTGCAGGCTCGATCCCTCGCAGCTTCCCTCCCGATGTCACCTCTCTGTAAGTCTAATTTATTTTCTTCAACCCAACCCCTCATTTTTTGTAAGAAGATGCATAAATGCTCTGCTGCTTGTGAGGTGTTTTCCCTCCCCAGCTGCTGCATCATGCACACAATCCAAAGAACAGCCTGCATTAACAGTTCGCATGACACAAGTCTGCTGCAAAGCTGAACAATGTTTTATTCTCCCATTTCTTTACTCCCTTAGATCATTCGTCAAGTCGGAATTCACCGAAATCGCTAAAGAGAGCTTCATCCACACGCCTGCCCTGCATCTCCTGTGAGAAATCAGTCCTGAGCTCATCTTTTGGGGACGCTTTTCGATCTTTTTGCATGCTGTCAGTCCCCAGTGAGCTGATCAACGCCATGTTTAATGTCAAAGATATTCCTCTTTCACTGCTGCAACACTAAATAGCTGATTGGTTTGACAGGGATGCGAAAGATCCTGCGAAAATGCCATATTCTCTGAATTTGATGAAAGATGGGGGGTTTCCTTGTTTAACCCTTTCTTCTATCTGAGTCATGACTGGGCTATCTATGCACCTTTTAGTGTCAGGCTGCAGGAATCCTCCAAATGCATGACTCCTTATCTGAAAAGTCAGTTAAATTTAAATTAAAAGTTCTTTGGGGAACATGTCACAGATGACTAAAAAAACTAATCCTGAGGATTTCTCTGCAGCCTTTTCACAGCCAATGACCTGGAATCCATAAACGAGGATGCATTTCTTGGTCTTCCACACCTTGAATATCTGTGAGTCAATCCTGCAAACCTGCCATGAATTCTCTTTTTCCAAAGTCGTAAAGTCTGTCCTTTCTCCTGCATTTACTCAACACTTTCTTCAGATTTATAGAACACAACCAAATCCGATCCATATCGCCACACGCGTTCCGTGGACTGAAAACCTTGGTGCACCTGTAAGTACTTTCTTCCTTGCATAAACAAGACATCTTATTTATCAAAAAATAGCAAAAAATATCTGAAAATACCCCCCAATTAAACGCTGACGAAGGTTGTTGCACGGCTTGCGTCGTCACACAGATGTTTCTCACAACACTGTGCAGCTGTTAAAATGATTATCAAGCAAATTGTGCTTCTGCCAAAACAAAATTCTGGCACAAAAGGTGAAAAACATCATAAAATAAAACGTGTGTTTGGCTTCACGACTGATAGTTAGAGTTTTAGGAAAAGAGAGAAAAGTTTCAGCGATCAGATCGGATTACTCCTTCTGTTTTGGATTAGAGAACGCCACGAACTGGCCAAGGAAGAAGCTCGTAAAATTGTTTCCTTCTTCATTAAATTCCCAGTAAACAAAGTTCCCGACTGTGTACTCACTCCGTACCTGCACACGAAACACTTTCTAACAGTGACGATGAATATGCATTTGAATAAATACTAAAATTGGAAGTAATTGATTTTTTTTGCCTCTGTGTAGGAGTCTGGCTTACAACAACCTGGAAACTCTCCCCAGAGATTTGTTCAAAGGTCTCGAGGCCTTGACTAAAGTGTAAGTATGATTTTTAAATGACAAACACAAAGTAAATGTGTTCTACAGTAAATAATCTCTGTTCTATAAATAGAGAACTGCGTCACTCATTACACTTCAGCTGAGATTTGACAAATGTGTAGGCGGCCTCAGCTTTTCACACCATTAAAATTACATGCAGCAACAAGCAAGATAAAGCAACAGCCATCGATCCTTCGGTGAAGCTGTTTGCGTCTCCTTTCCACAGTCGCTTGATGTCAATAAGAGCGCAGAGAGAGGTTGTGGAGGCTAAAGGGTGCAGTCACACCTTGCCCACTGCAGCTCTGCAGATTTAAGCTCAGTGAAGAAGAGCCGAGTGGTTCTTTTGTCATCATCGCTTCTCTCCTTGCAGAGACTTGCGTGGGAATCACTTCACATGTGACTGCAAGCTGAAATGGTTGGTGGAGTGGATTTACAGCACCAACGCCACCGTGGATCAGATTTACTGCAAAGGCCCGGCCTCGCAGCTGGACAAGGACATCAACGATCTGGCTCCTCAGTCTTTCGACTGCATCACTACAGGTGGAGTTGCAGGTGCACTTGGTTCATTTATCAGCTTCAGCGAAGCCTGTCCGGGCATTTTAACTAGACTCTGCTTGTTTTGTTTCCTCCCCACAGAGTTTGCCTTGTACCAATTCCTGAAGTTTGAGTCCATTTCCGTGGAAGCGTTTTCCTTTGGGAACGATCAGTTTGTTGTGTTTGCCCAGCCTTTCATTGGGAAGTGCAGCTTTCTAGAATGGGATCATGTTGAGATGGTCTTCAGGAACTTTGACGATATTGACAGTAAGTTTGTTCATTCTAAATGCAGCATGACGCTGTTAGTTGAATTAAAGGGGATATATTTTGACTTTTTCAGTACCTTCCAGAATGAGCCGTGTCAAGACTTTGTCTGGGCCACAATGTGCGGGTTTCGGCCATCCTAGACAGATCTTTCGTTGTGAACAGAAGAGAACAGTGGTGCTCGTGAGGGAGACTCACAGCTTATTGAGCACTCTAATGACCAAATTCGGCATTCAACAGTCTACAAGCAGTGTCAGAAAATCTAAAACTCTGGTCTGCAATCGATCAAATAAAAATACACCTAGGGAGTGTTGCGAAAAAAACTAGTGACGAACGAGTCAACATGCAAGAACATGTGGACCAATTCTTTTTGGAGTTAGGTTCGAAGTCTAATAAAAGAAGAACGCTGGTGCTTTTTCTTGTTTCATCGTTGTGGTCTTGGGTAGCTGTCGGCTTTTAGGGAAGTATGCTTTTTGGCGAGTATGCTCCTGACGTTAGCATGTCCTGCTAGAGCGAGTCGTCGTGCAGCTTGACTCACTGATATCTTGGACCGTACAGCATGCCACCTCTCTTAGAGTCCTCACAGTGTGACATGAAGCTGTCCTTTGCGACAGCCGAAAAATGCAGTGTGGTCCAGGCTTTAAGGAAAACAAGCTGTTGCTGGCCACGCCCACCCATTTCCTGATTGGCTGGCCATGGTAATCTGGGTCACATTCATGCTGTCTCTTGGTAGAAGACTGATCACAGGACATACTAATGCCCCTTTTCCAACAGCACGGGTTGGTATTCCCCCCCCCCAACTTTTCAGTTCCTCCATCATTGCTTCATTGCGGTTCCAAGCGTACCGTACTGCTTGGCTATGGGGTGGACTCATAGGTTAATCCAGAGTTTTCCACCTGCTGCCTGCAGCTGTTTCTGGTTTCAGAGTCTGATAAAAAGCCAGAGACCGAGCAGAACGTTCAACATCGCGGCCATTTTTGTGCTGTTTTTGTGAGACAAACGAATCTTGCACTATGTACCGATCCCCTCGCAGAAATGAGAAACAGTCCTCACTTCGCATCTTCGCTAACAAAAACGTCAGATCCATAACAATATTAATGGGTGTGAACTCAACAGTAAAGAGGGGTTCTATGCTAATTCGACTGACTTGTTTTAGACACATAATTCCTAAAACCAAACACTGACAGAAATCGGATGAAAGTTTTTTCCGTGTTTGGAGTGCCTATAGATGCCACATGGCAGCACAAAGGGATGCCAACAGTCAAATTTGCATCATATGTCCCCTTTACAAGGAGGTGTAAGATTATGAGCAACCGGCATCATCTTTAATCATTCTGTTTTGTCACAGGCACATCCACAGTCGCCTGTAAACCCCTGGTCATCGACAAACAGCTGTTCATAATAGTGGCTCAGCTATTCGGAGGCTCACACATCTACAAGCGGGATATCTCTGCCAACAAGTTCATTAAGCTTCAGGGCATCGACGTCCTGAGAATCCGTAAACCAAACGACGTTGAGACCTTCCGCATCGAAGGAGAAACCTTCTTTGTCATAGCAGACAGCTCCAAGGCCGGTTCCACAACTATCTACAAGTGGAACGGCAATGGCTTCTACTCCCATCAGTCCCTCCACCCGTGGTACCGTGACACCGACGTGGAGTACCTGGAGATTTCCTCCAAACCTCATCTGATCCTGTCCAGCAGCACCCAGAGGCCCGTCATTTACCAGTGGAACAAATCCACAAAGCAGTTCGACAGACGCACTGACATCCCAGAGATGGAGGACGTTTATGCAGTGAAGCATTTTTATGTCAAATCCGACCTTTACATTTGTCTGACGCTCTTTATCGGGGACTCCAAGGTGATGCACTGGGACGGGGCCCTCTTTAGAGAGTTACAGACCATGCCCTCTCGAGGCTCCATGGTGTTCCAGCCCTTCAACGTGGGCAGCTGGCAGTATGCCATTCTGGGCAGCGATTACTCTTTCACCCAGGTCTACCGCTGGGACGCCAAGAAGGGCGAGTTCGTCCGCTTCCAGGAGCTCAACATCCAAGCGCCAAGGGCCTTTTTTCCTGTTTCCATAGACAACCGTCAGTTCCTGCTGGCCTCCAGCTTCAAAGGGAAGACTCAGATCTATGAGCACTTGGTCATTGATCTCAGCAACTGAAGGGATTCTTTTGTTTTTTCTTGAATGTTTAGTTATTTTTGTGATCTTTTTTTTTTTTGTTCTTTTTGTGTGCGTGTGAAGAAATCTATTACAGCGGAGCCGAACAACTCAGACACGAACGGAGCAAACTCCCGAAGTCCATGCATGCATCAGTTTGAAGACAAAAGCACGCGTCTCAGTCGAATATTTCATCCGAGAGGCATGAATCTCAAATTAGAATTAGAAGCCAATTTTTCGTGAAACTTAAAGCATGAAGGACCTCGTGTGGGTCATGCGGCGAAGTTTTCTTTTTGAGATCAGACTTTTAGATCATTTAGAAATATTTATACATTTATCTCATGTCTTTATCTACAAGAAGGTAATAAAAATGTACTTTTTAAGCTAACATAGAGCAAATCTGCCAGGCCAAATGTTTACATTTTTCTGTCTTTCCAAGATTTGTAAATGACGCTTTTTGTAAGTTTAAGAGGGACCACGGCCGTCAGATTCGTAAATGTTCGAGGGTGATTTAAACTTATGCAGACAAAAGAATTCTACAGATATATCGTGAGCCTAACTGTATATCCTTACAACTTACATTTTTATTGTTAATGGTTTGTATAGTGTTTAAAGTATTGAGCAGTTTTTCATAACTGTGAATTTATCTGAACTGTTTCAACCACTTTCAAGGGACTGAAATGAAAAACTGAGAATATTGTTCATGATCTTTATCTTTGACTAACATGCAAGCAAAAATACATCAGTTGTGTCACGACTTAGACCGACTTCATGTTATTTAGAGTCAATAAAGATGAATATTTCGTCCGTGCTTTCCTGCATGACATAACTTTAATGTGACAATCGGGATGCCAGGATCTGCCTGACAGGAAATCATTTTGAAGATGTGTTGTGCAAATATGACAAAACATGTGAAAATACATTAAAATAAATACAAACAAATAAAATCCTTTTAATCTTCTCCAACAAAGTGCACGCCTCAAATCTACAATGCAGCACATTACAGTGTAATGGAATAAATACAATAAAATCAGCTGAATAAAAAAAAAACTAGAACACAAGCAAAGTGATACACAAGTACCTGCAGAATCAGACCGGTAGCAGGACTCAATCCAGCTCCACAGCAACATTTCACACGTTTCACTTCTGGTGCATCCTACCCTCCAAGCCCTGTGTTTTTGTAACTGAGGACTACAGGCGGACACGCGCATGTTCACCCTGAATACTTGTGCAACTGCAGCAGGGATCTCCAAATCACCTGCACCCACTGCGGCGAGAAAATAAAGTGAACACATTTGCAGTCTTAGTTAAAACCCAAATCTGTGTGATGCAGCTTCATTGTTTTCTTTTTAATAGGCAAACAAATATATAACATAAAAGGCAAGGGAACACGTCCCTTAAAATTCCACAAAATAATTTAGCGCTCTTTAAATTAAACTGAAAACACTATTTTTTTACTTTGTGGTTCTTACCCCCCCAAAAAAAAGGAAAAAATAAAATAAAATAAAACTCAACAGAAAGAATTAAACTCTAAGAGGCATGAACTATATAAGGAAATAACTCAACCCCATGAAAAAAAAGACGGTATTAACAATTAAGATTCTGTACAGAACTAAAAATCAATATACAGTACAGTACCTGCAGATGTTATGCATACAGTACAATTCTCTTTATACATAGTTTTAGTATGGGCTCCAGCCTGATCTATATACTGCCTTAACACAGGTGGAGAAGCGGTTATTTTAGCTTACAGTAATTTTAAGGATCATTCAGCGAAAAGTTAGAATTTGACGTTGCAATTAAGAAAAAATCAGGCTGCTGAAAACATTATTGCAGGATCTTCGGTTGCATACTGCATGTGTTACACGACTGCATCCTCTGACACGTAGCAGCAGGATGATGAGAGAGACGGGGCCGGTCGGAGGGAGAGAGAAAAAAGAACGGAGGGTTAGTTGTTTTTGCTATCTGTCCGTCACGGACTCCTCTGACCCACACAACCCTGTACAGTACATTCGCGGCCGGCAATGCGCGTTCATCAGCTGAGTCCACCCTGATTCTGCGTGGCGAGGACCCTTCTGTGTTGATTCGGTTTTGTAAGTCAACACTAACCCAGTGATGAGATGAGACCGTAACCAGAGCTCGCCGAAGCCTGAGCGGTCCTCCATCTGCCGTCACAGTTTGAGCTCGTTGGCAATTTTGCAGGCGATGTTCTTAAAGGCGATGGACGTGCCTGATATCCTCTTGAAGCGCACGCCATTGAGTGAGAGACGGGGCAGCTTGCAAACTTCCATCTCCCATTGGACCAGATTGTCCTGGCGGGCGTCGCCGTGGACGCAGAACAGCAGGAAGCGCTCGCGCTGCTCGTAGTCGCAGCTGTTGGCGTCCAGAACTTTTCGGATCTCTCTCATCATGTCGGCGGGCTCCATGGAGGAGGTGGTCTTCATGCTCCAGGTGAAACGCAGAGAGCGGGGCTTGGTGTCCCGACTGCCGTCTTCTTTAGAATCGCCGGATGCACTCCTACCCCAAAGGACAGAGGGAGACATTAACGGAAGAAGAAGTTGGTTCGAGTCTAACTGAAATCTAAATCTCTCGATCCAAATCTCACCTCGGCGTTTCCGTCCTGGCACTGGCCTCTCCCTCACTAGGCACCCTGAAATAAACCCAAATTAGACTTGATACATCTGAGCTCAAATAGCGATCACTTCCCCTGCCACCCCACCCCAGTCATCCCCGAACAAAGACGGGGGTGTCAGGCATCATGCCAGGAAAGAATCCGCAGTCCTGGGTGTCAAGGCTCAGCACACAACGAGGTACCGTTAGAGCTCACGTGTGCATCATCCCACCTTTCCTTAACCACCACTGATGTGTAAAGGAGAAGAAAAGTGGCTCTAAATCTGCGATTCGTCTCCCGTGATTAGTCTCATCAGTTCTCTAAAGCTCAGCATGAGGATGGAGGAGAGTAAGGAGAGGGTAGCTCGTGGCGGCTCCAGAGGCAAACACCTTAGTGGAGACAAGCTGGTGAGCTTTAGTTTAGTCATAAAGGCAGTGGACACACAGGAGGAGATACACGACATAACCAAGGTGTCAGAAGGCAAGGCTGTGGTGTGCTGGTGGGCAAGTATGTAAGGGTGTTAAAACATATGAGGAGAGAGGTTTCTTTTTGTTTTTAAAGTTTTTTTGGACCAAGGGGAGGGACACGAGCAGCAAGCTTTAAGTTCTCCTACCTCTGGGTCGACCTGAAAGACATAGCTCTAGGCGGGAAGAAAAGAAGAGAGAGCTGTAAGCCTCTAGCAGCAGGATGGTGGCAGTAGGAGCTAACTGAATGAAGCGGGTCGGTCTTTTGGTTGCTTTACTGACAGAAAGTCAGCAGGAGGCCCCCAGCAAGGCTTTTCAGTTATGACCCCAAGAGCTAAAACACTCCAGAACTGTTTAGGTGCACGTCACTGACCTGCGGACAAACTTTGAGGTGATCTTGCTGATGATTCCTGTAGACGTGCCCCTGCGTTGCTGTGCCAGAGCCCCCGTGTCATGGGACAAGGTGGGCGAGGCCGGGGGACCGTTGTACGTAGCGCTGCGGCGGTCTCTCAGCTGAGATCCGCAAAAGGTGCTACGACTGGTCGTCCCGCGAGGGAACCGGTTCTTCTCAGGGGTGCTAATACTGTGTACAGAGGGAGAGGTGGAGGGGTCGCGCGGAGAGGAGCTGCACAGCAACATTAAAGACGGTCAACACTGGTGAACTGCATTCTCTATCAGTGGAGGGGTTGAAATGTTGCCCACCTAGATTTGAGCTCCGTGTTGTCGTCGATGGGGGGCAGTGTGCTCTTTGAAGGGTGTCCTGATGACGACATGGACTTGGTGTGACGCGGTCGTGTTGAACTCAGAGCTGTAGACGGCGTGCTCCCCGACACCTCGCTCAAACTGAGAACCAGAGGCAGGAAGAATCACAAAACAAACACTAAAACCTCCCCATCCACGGGCGCTCACGTTAACATTAAAAGTGTGTGTCGTGCTTTACCTGCTGTCTTTTCCGTTGGGAATAGCTGAGTAGCGATCGGTGGAAGACCGCTCACACACATACGTGTTCCTGCGAGTCATGGAGCCATTGGTCTGCTTCAGAAAGAAAAACAGAGTTTTAGAGTTTAAAATAAAAAAAATTCTGTGATACTTTTAGTTTAATCTAATTTACATTTTTTTTAATATATTTTCAACAAACTGAGTTTTGGACTTTAAAAAAAATCTACTTTAGTGTTTGAAATATAAAACCTAAAAAAACTGAGATTTATTAAACCATTTAAATAAGAAGCCGTAACTAGAAAATTAATTTGTTCAAATCGAGTACAGTAGTACGCGCCCAAAGTATAAACATAAAACTGTACATCAGATTTTGCATTCATCTACATCAGATGAATGAGATCTAAAAGTCACATCTTTATGAAATTGCAGGTAATTAAACAAATACCCAACATATGTTTTATCTTTCAGTTAACCAACTAATAGAGTAGGGCAGAAAAGTATGTGGCAGCCATCGATTGTTCAAGTTGTCCACGTAAAAAGACGAGAGAGGTCTGTATACTTTCTCTGTGAGACAGAATGTAGAAAAAATCCAAGAGACCAGATTGTATGGCTATAAAATAATTTATTTGTATAATGGTGCAGAAAATACGTATTTAGCACCTACAAAGAATTCTGGCCCTCAGATCTGTTACTTCTTTAAAAAGCTCTTCTACCCTTCACTCGTTTCCTGTATTAAAGGCGCGTGTTTGAACTCGTTATCTGTGTAAAAGGCACCTGTGTCCATGGCCAAGACCAGAGAGCTGTCTAAGGACACCAGAGACAGGATTGCATATCTGCGTAAGACTGCCATGAGCCAATCTACAATAGGCAAGCAGCTTGGTGAGAAGAGATCAGCTGTTTGGAACAATTATTAGAAAATGGAATAAATACAAGATCACAGAAGATCTCCCTCGACCTGGGGCTCCATGCAAGATCTCACCTCATTGGGTACAAATGATTTTGAGAATGTTGAAAAAACAGCCCAGAACCACACAGGGGTGGGGGGGTGGGGCGATCAATGACCTGAAGAGAGTTGGGACTACAGATAAGCCGGGCGTACGCTGTACGACTCTTTCACTTGTTTGAGCCGATTTTCCCCTCGTGCAAAAATCTACAAGATCGGGGTGAATTTAGCGCTGAGCGTCGTGTAGTATACACGGGGTTACGAGAGGCCATTAACACCATGTGACCAGCTACCGATCAGAAACTATATCAGCTGGGAAAGAAGGAACTATAGACAACACAAACTTAATATATATTGAGCTTTTTATAATTCATTTTGTTTTATTTTAAAATTTTTAGAGGATTCAATAGAATATTCGAATACTAACATATTCGATAGCTGCAGCCCTTGTTTGGAGGTGGACGAATGCTGAGTTACATCCCAAGAAGACCATACACACAGTGAAGCATGGGGGTGGAAACATTATGCTTTGAGGCTGCTTTTCTGCAAAAAGGACAGGATGACTCATCTGTATTAAGGGAAGGATAAATGGGGCCATGTATAGTAAAATTTGGGTTAAAAACCTTCCATCAGTGATGGCGTTGAAGATCAATGACAATAAAGTTGATTCTGATCAAACGTAGCTGGATCTTCCAGTATGACCATGATCCCAAACACACCACCCAGGTAATGAAAGAGTTGGTGCATAAAATGCATTTCAATGCTCTGGAGTGTCCCAGCCAGTGTCCAGACCACAATTCCATTCAATTTATCAGAGAATCTGTGGATGTAGTTTAAAATGCCCTGCTCTAGACAAGATCTGCACGGAAGAATGGGCCAAAATACCAGCTACAGTGTGTGCAAACCTGATAAAGACCTAAAGGAAACCTTTCACCTCTTTTCATTTCCAACCAAGGTTAAATGAACAAACTTTTGTTTTTGACCAAATACTTATTTTCTGCACCATTACACAAATAAATTCTTTAAAAATCACACAATAGGATTTCCGGTATTGTTTTACATTCTGCCTCACAGTTGAAGTGTACCTATGATGAAAATTAGACCTCATCTTTTTAAGTGGGGCAACTTGCACAGTCGGTGGCTGCCAAATAATTTTGTGCCTTAATGTATATTAACCTACATTTTTTCTCTTCTGTATAAAAAATGGTAAATGATTTTCAACAATTTCTAATTTTTAAGATATTATGATGCACACAGAGACTGCTGCTTGTTTGGCAACCTAGAGGGTTTTCTAACCATTATCCATTACATTTTGGGATGAATATAATATAATTTAATATAATATATTATAATATATTATAATATAATATAATATAATATAATATAATATAATATAATATAATATAATTAGGGCTGGGACTTGATTAAAACTTTTAATCTAATTAATTACAGGCTTTGTAATTAATTAATCGTAATTAACGCGTTAAAGTCCCAGCCCTAAATATAATATAATATAATATGATATTGTGATTAATTGTGATAAAAATGCTTAAAGTAGTTGAAATGATGGTGAAAGTGTTAAGTAAACAAATAAAATTCTTCTACATTAGTTGGCATACTTAGGAAGAAAATGCCCCCATTTTATATGAATCCCAATAGGTCTGACTCTTCTAAATGTGCTGCAGCATGGAGAGCTTAGATATTGACGTATACTTTTTATAATGCATAACTAAATGTTTCTAATGGGTGACAGTTGAAGCTCATCGGAGCACTTTTGCTTCCTTTGACAAACTCTTTTCATAGTCGTCACTTAGAAATGTTTAAAAGGACAAACTGACAGAACTCTGAATGTCCGCTCCCTCACCCCTACAGTGCTTGTAGCTTTCTTCCTCTCCTGCACCCCCAGCGGCGAGGCAGGAACGTCTCCTTTTGAAGTACTCAGCTCTAGCCGGCGTGCTCCGTCCCACTCCTCCCTGTGGTCACTCTCCACGCTCAGGGCCTGACCTCGCTTTGAGTACGATACTGCTGGTGGAACGGACGGACCCACTAAAAAAGCAACAAAAAACTCTTCATATCCTTCAGTAACGTCATCGGATTTCTAAGTATCTGTTATGGTAGCATTAGGCAAAGCCACTCAAAGCCAAAATTTTACAAAGCCTCATTTGTCAGGTACCACACACGACAGCAACTCTGTTTTAGAACAGTCACAGAAGCCAAGGTGAGCATGTACAAAGCAAAGCTGTCACCCCTCCTCATGCTTTGAGGCGCTGTTAGAGGGAGCTGCAGAAAAGCAGCCGGCCACAAGATGGCGCCACAAACGACGGCTCCACATAGGAGGAAGCTGCCACACCAGTGCAGGATTCAGACTGAGTCACTGATATGTGCATTTTACAAACTGATTATACAAATAAACCTGTTAAGGTTTAACATTTTTATATTAACCTATTTAAAGAAAACAGTAAAGCTTTAGTGTCTTGCTCAGAGGCACATCGGTGCATTAACAGTTAACCACCAGTGACTGATAGTAACTTCCCCCTACACAACAGGCAGCCCACAGCACTCTCAGAGCTGGGAAATACAAGGTTACTTTACTTGGCTTCTCTACGACACCACCAACACCACCACCATCATCATCATCCCCACCATGATCACTGTAGCGACGCTGCTTCTGATTGGCCGAAATGCTGCGCGTGACCTTGGGATGGGCGGGAGAAATGCTGGAGCTGTTGTTGATGTCGCTGGTCGGTCGCTGTCGTTGACCCAAGACGCTGTTGGTCAGAGGCTCGCTACCCTCAAACTGCAACAAGAACGCAGACGAGAACCGGTCACATCACATGACGCGGCGGCGATGGCGCAGAGGTGTCAAAGGGGACTCACCTCTGGAGCTTTTCGACCCAACAGCAGGTAGGTGGCCATGACCTCATCGTACTTCTGGCTTTGCAAGGACTCTGTGATCTCATCTTTAGGGAAACCCATCGTCACCATAAGCTCTGATGGAGGAGGAGGACAAGTGAAGAATGTGATTTTGAGCAGTTGAAACAGGTCGATCATGGAATCACCAACAAACACAGCGAGACGCACCTATTCGGGATGAATCATTAAAGTCGGGTTCAGGCTCGGTGTAAGGTTTGAGCTCCTCATCATTGTGGCCCACATTCATCCAGTGATCTTTCATGATTTGCTAATTTAAAAAGATCAAATGTAGTTTTACCGAATTACGTATCTGTTTTAGTTTGTTCATAGTTAACAGCAGCAGTGATGGTGTGAGCGGCATCGATCATCCGGTGTTACCTCCAAACTGCCTCGTTTGACGGGGTTGAGCACCAGCAGCTTCTTCAGTAGGTTTTCACAGTCTGTGGACATGTAGAAAGGAATGCGATACTTCCCTCGCAGAACCCGCTCTCTCAGCTCCTGGGCATCCCCGCAAACCCAGACAAATTCAAGAAAAGACAATGACAATTAGCATTTAAGCTGCAGAGAAACCAACATTTAAAAGCCGATTCTCCTTTAGGTCTTTGTTGGATTGTAGAGTTGAAGTAGGGTTCACCAAACATGAGCAAACAAGTAGTGGATGAATCAGGCGCTGATTTCAAACCTGATTGGTGCAACGAAAACGCTGAACCCAAATATGAATCTAAAACTCTTTTTTTTTGTATACAGTTTCATTCCAAATTATACAAAAGTTTTATTTTAAATGTTGTTAAAGGTTAGTTAAACGTTTGGACAGGCCTCAACACTTCATTTGACCCTGTTATCATAAATGTTTGCCAGTGATGCAAAGCAGATACCAGACACACCGGAAAAACTGATTTCTAAGAAAGTAAAACAGCCAAATTTTTTGGACTTCTAATTGGATTTGTAGTCTAAAAAGAAAAAAAAAACTGTCTAGAAAAACGGCACTGCTTAAAATTAGGTTAATATTATTAAATATGATCTGATTTTCAAAACTAGCTCGTAGCTAAAAAAAAATCCAGCATTTGATTCTTTTGCTAGTTATAAAAATTCTAGCCAAACAACTTTTGCTGACCCACTGGCAGATTTTTTTTTACTCAAAAGAAGAAAATTTGGATCATATTTAAGAAAATATATCTTATTTTAAGTAATGCTATTACTTAAAAATTGCTTAATAAAGTAACGTATAAACAGTTGTAAAGATCAGCTGATTTACATTTGCCCAGTTTTTAAACAGATTGTTTTCAAAGTCTTGAAGGCCTCATGGTTGTTTATATGAGTTTCTGAGTTTGAGACCTGACTTAACGTCTCCTTTAGAGCTTTTGCTCATTTTACATCATTTAAAGGAGAAAATAGATTAATTTACTGCAGGAATCAGTTCTGATTACTGAGCCCCCACCCAGGGACAGTACATGAGTACATTCTTATATTTTAAGGCCCGAACCAGATAAAGTTTTAAAAGTAGTGATGCACCAAATTTTTGGGCCGATACCGATATTAAGATCACTGTTATGGCTGATAACTGATATTTGCAGATACCGATAAACTGACATTAATGCTTCTAAAATAAGCAGATTTTGTATAGAATGAAAATTATTAAAGCTTAATTTACGTTATCATGTACACACACCACACACACACTTACGGTTCTGAGATGATTTCATTCACTGTTCACATGACTAAACAATTACACATCACCCCCCCCCCCCCCCCCCCCCACCCTCTGAAACAGGCAAACAAATGGAGACAAGATGGAAAAAATATCGGTTGTTAATATCGGCCCAGTTTTATTTATCAAACTGATATGTTAAATAACGACTAACATCGGCCGATACCGATACTGATGCCGATATATTGTCCATCCCTACTTTAAAGGTAACTTTCATTCTTATTGACCGTGTGAACGCCAACCTTTAGGTTCTGTCCGTCGAAGGGCAGTGATCCGCTGACCAGTGTGTAGAGGATAACCCCGAGACTCCAGACGTCCACCTCTGGACCGTCATACTTCTTTCCTTGAAAAAGTTCAGGAGCAGCGTACGGCGGGGAGCCGCAGAATGTGTCCAGCTTGCTGCCCACCGTGAACTCGTTGCTGAAGCCAAAGTCGGCTATCTTGATGTTCATATCTGCATCCAGCAATAAGTTCTCAGCCTGAGAACAGAGACGACCAAGCAGGCAAATGTGTTGTTTATAGTCCAAGACACAAAGACACGGTGAGAATAGATCAGAAAAAAGAAAGATTCTCACCTTCAGATCTCTGTGCACTATCCTCCTTTGATGACAAAACTGCACCGCAGACACAATCTGAAATGCATCACACGTTTTAAGAACTCTCCTAATATTGAATATTTGTGCAATTTTATGGCAGAATCCAATGACATTGGATGTTGTTGCACAGGGTTGGCTACTAGATGTCAGCATCTAAAAGAAAATCTGCTCCCTTAAACCAAGCTATAGGCACTCTGCCTTTCCCGTGAGTCGGTGACAAAACAGAATTTTGGTGTATGTGGTATTCCTTTGGAAAACAGCGATGGAATGACGACTGGAGTGATGCAAAACCGATGACTCACCTGTCTGAACTTGGCTCTGGCCTCTTTCTCCTTCATCCTGCCGTGAGCCACGAGATAGTCAAACACCTCTCCTATAATAATAATAATGATAATAATAATAAAGAAAAAAATCAGCTAAGTTTAGGTATTTTTATTGCCACCAAGAAATCAGCTATTATCCAGGTTTGTTTTAAATTCCTCTTTTTTGGTTAGAAACACGACTTTTGTATTTAGGTCAGACTCAAGCTACAGACCTGAAAACATGCAGAGAAAACGAAGTAATGAATGCTTTACTCACCACCGCTTGCATATTCCATCACCAGATAAAGTGTCTTTTCAGTTTCAATCACCTCAAACAATTTTACTACATGAGAAAAGCACAAAGAAAAGGAAACTAGTTATTCTGATGCGAGGAAACATTTAAAGAGACTCCAGGATAGCTGAGAAAAACAGGTGAAGATGTCACCTAGTAAGTAAGTAGTAATAAGTACATATAGCACTTATCACAGACAAAGAGTCACAAAGTGCTTCACATAGATCAAAACAAAATCAAACCAAGTCATAAAATCATAATGATCTCAAAACAGAATTAGATTAACATAAGAAAAAATAATGTCATTGATCTAGAAATCAATAAATTATCAGAAACTGCAGGTTTGTAAGTGTGGTCTCTTTTTTAAAACACTTTTGGTTTATTTCAGACGTGAGCTGCGGTGGTAAAGACACACACGCAGCGGATTCCTGTTGGATCTTACCTATATTAGGATGATTGAGAACCTTCATTATTCTGACTTCCCTGAAAAGCTGAAACACAAAAAAGGAACATTTAAAGATCTGCAGGGAAGTACTGAATCCTAAATGTGTCTGAAACTGGATTACAGCAGAAGAAAGAAGGCCTGGGGATCATAAAGAAGAAGATGTTGTACTAAACTCTTCTTCACATGGATGCGGTACAGAACTCCAAGCTGCAGGCAGGTAAACCGCATTATGACCGTTAACAACAGTCACCCAGCAGCATCACACACACTGATGCCTGCAGTAAACTCAAATATTTCCATCCAGCATACAGAGAAACAACACTAGCACTAAAACATCTTCAAGTCCATTTCCTCAGAGCTGCATGTACAACAGCTGAGTGCAGTCAGACAGGAAAACCCTAAAACGCCGTCTCCTCTGTGTCAACGTGACTCTTTGAGTCAGCTGAGCTCCTGCGGCCACGTAGAGGTGCTGTTTAATCATTTACGTTCCCCTGATTCCCCAGGCCCGCTCTGGCGTCACGTTACAGCACTGACTTGACAGGGATTTAGCCCCTACAGTACAGCACAGCCACCTAAGACACTACACAGATTTTAACCCTTTATTACGTTTGTGTAAAAATATAAAAAAATAAAAGAGCTCTGACTCCTTTATCTTTTTTAAAAAGAGTAGAATGACCTTCATTTGTGAATTTAAATGTTGAATTGGTGTGTTTAGGGGATAGGTGTGAGCATATTTGGGGCAGCAGTAGCTCAGGTGGTAGAGCGGGTTGCCTCATGATCGGAGGGTCATGGGTTCGATTCCAGCTCCCGCCAGGGGTATCCTGCTGTCGTGTCCTTGGGCAAGACACTTCACCCAACTTGCCTGTGTTAGTGGTGGTCAGAGGGGCCGACGGCGCCAAATGGCAGCCTCGCCTCTGTCAGACCTCCCCAGGGCGGCTGTGGCTACAAGTAGCTTACCATCACTAGCAGTGTGTGAATGTGAGTGTGTGAAAGCGTCTTTGGGTGACTAGGAAAGCGCTATATAAGTTCAATGCATTATTATTATTATTATTATTATTATTATTATTATTATTATTATATCTGTGTATAACTTTCTCTATGACCCTCTGGGTTTCACACAAGCTCCAGGATATTATGTGTGAGTGTGTGTGTTTTTAGGTCATCAAACACAGCTAGTGTGAGCAGGCCCAGCTCAGTCTCAGCTTGTCTATTTGATAACTTCCCCATTATTAATCCAAATAAATCATCATTCATCTGTTCCACAAAGCTAAGGAAAACAAATTTGCAAGCCACAACAAACGGCGTTTTCATTCATTACAACAAACACTGCTGATGTAGTTTTTTACTGTACAGATCATATTAGATTAAAGCAGAAATAATCTAAAATTACAGTAAAACAGAATTAAGTTTCAGTAAATAAATTCCCAGAAAGTGTAACTCAATTCTTTATTGTTATTATTGTGAACAAAAACGGTCGAATACTTGCATTTAACTGATGTTTCTTTTAACTCTTTTGTGCATGAATGAATCTTAGATCACTGTTGTTTTTTTTTCATTGGGCTTTTTAAAGTGTTTAAAACATTTACTCATGTAAACAACAAGTTTGACTTTGAAATACAAAATAAGTAATAGGATAGTTTTATTATTATCATATCATTGTCATTGAGGGAGTGTATTAAGTTAGGAACACACGCATTCATGAAACTGCTTGTGAGTAGCTATCCACGGATCACTTTTACTTTTAATTTAGTGGTTATTTATTCTTTACTTTTGGTTCTTTGTTGTTGAGCTTAAAGCAGAGATCCAGAGTACGTTCTCAGAGGGCACCACCTAGAGGTGGAAACGATTTGCACATTTAAGCCCCTCACTGTGTCTTGTAAGCAGCTCGAAAATGCAGCTCAGTCACGCGTGCACATGAGCAGGGGGCTAACGCTAAATGGTGGTCAAATCTAATTGCATGGGGTTATACGGAAGGGGCTTTGCAAGAAAAGAATGGTCGTATTCCCCACATGACATCACAGAATCAGACTATCACTGTATGGATTTCTAAAAAGAATCATACATAATTCCCAAAAATGAGAAAACTATGGATTTCTGCTTTAAAGATGCCATTTAGGGCTGCAACAAACGATTATTTGGATAATCGATGAATCGGATGGGGTCTCGACACGATTAATCGATTAATCGGATTACATGGGGAAATTTTTAAAAACTGCTAGGGAAACGTTATTTCTCTCCTTCCTTCACTTTATTTAACACAACATTATTAGAAAACAGTTCAATAGCAGTAAAACAACATGCCATCACCTAAATTGTCTTATAAGGTGTATAGACAGAGACCCTAAGCTACATCTATCTGTGACCTAAAATGCTTGGTCCAATTAAACAGCTTAAGGGCAATTCTCATCTGTTTTGTTTGATCTCATCTGTAGACATTTATTATAACTGGGGATGTCAAACAACTAATTTTTAAATGTAATTAAACATAGGCTGTGAATTAATCAAAATTGATCACTATTTCCAAAAATGACGCAAGTTTAGAAAAGAAGCAGATGAGACAGCATGTCTGATAATTTAGTTTTTCATCTGATAATATTAGAACATGTCAGTAATGCCTGAGGGGCTTTTATAAACACCATATAACTAACACTACTTGAGAGGGTATGAATTACACAGAGGCTTCTGGGGAGCGCAGTTATGGGGGGGCATTTTGCCTTGGCCCCCAAAATGACTTGAAACGGCCCTGGGTGTGTGACTGAGTGTTGAAGGTGACCTGAATAGTATCAAATTTATAAATATGACATGTGTATAACTTATTGTTTTATACAGGTAAAAACGTGTAGTGGAGGTAAATCTACCTACATTTTACTTTTCAACACTTTGTTTTGTTTTGTTGTTTTTATTTAACTATTTTCCTGTCCCGTCTGTCTCTCATCTTCCTGCATCTCCTCTTAATTCTCCAGAAAATCTGTTGCCTGGATTCTTACTTTTTCACCTCATCAGTTACTTTTGAGCAGATCAAAGGGATCTCCTGACCGCAAAGCGCAGAGCGCGTTTTCGATGCTGCGTGAGGTGAAATCACCACAGCACAGGTGATGAGCTCCGCAGTAGCAGAGCGCTTCAGGCACAAATAAGACAGAAAATAGAGAACATGTGCGGACATGAACGATCGTGTGCTAATTATAGTTTTTTGGTTGCGCCACTTTGAGAATGGGCCGTGCGCTGGAAGCAGCAGCCTGGATCGCTGCGCAACAATGCGCTGTGCCGCTCTCTGCTCAAAAGAGTCCAAAAATGATATAATATAGAAAACTTTTTCCGGTTCACCTGGATGTGTAGGATGTACAGCTCCCCCATAATTCGATCCCTGCTCCTGGATGAAAAGCCGGACATTTTCATCAATACAAGAACCCGCAGTCCGGACGCGCCGGACAGAGAGTGAAAAGTGGACGTGTCCGGGGAAAACGGGATGCATGGTCACCATAGTCCTCATAAAGCGGGAAATTATAGATACAGTAATTTGCTCGTGCCCTGGGCCCTTTAGAGTTCGTGGGCCCTGGGCAATTGCCCAGTTAATCCGCCTTGGAACCGGTTCGCAGCAGCGCGAGTCCCCCCGCTCATCTAATAAGCGTCGCGCTCACGACTTTAGACTCTTTTTTTACGAACTTAGGGCATGTCTAGCCTGTGTAATAATCCGGGACTTGGATGAATCACTTTTGAAAAGTTTTTAATTCACCCGGAGTCCCGGACACAGAGTTCTCTCCTTCCTCGCTGATGATCCCGACATGCTTGCGTTTAAGACGCTGCATCATCCCGTGCCATGCCAAGTCTGACCTAAACGTTGCAGGTAACGCATGTCTTCGCCTGATTTAACTGAAAATGCTCCCAAACTTAAAAAGCTTTTACTTTTTTGACTCTCGCTGCTTCTGCCATGTTCCTCTTCCAAACAACTGCCGGCTCTCCCTCGCGCTGATCTGTCTGCGCGCAACGGCGGGCGGGAAGGGGGGGCGCTTTTGGAAGAGTTGTGCAACACAACGAATCGATGACGCAATTCGTTGCCAACGCTTTTAGTAATCGATTTTCATCGAATTTATCGATTCGTTGTTGCAGCCCTAATGCCATTTCTTCTTCCTAAAGTGTAGTTTTTCTTACCTTAATGTGCATCTAATGTTCTGAAAGGTATCACCCTGAACGGGTAATATCTCATTTGCTAAACTGTCTTTTCACCTTGAACTCAAAGACATCCCTATGAAAGATATTTGCATAATTCTAGCTAGCTTAGCACAACCTGAGACAAAAGCCCTTTTGCACACACCGGTTACGTATTAAACCCGTTTTAGTGAAACTCCAGCTTTGCTGCTTTTCGATTTCATGCAAAACAGAAACGACTCTCAGTGTTCCTACATGAAATCCGGCACTGGAGAAAGCTGCTGTGAGCACGCTGCTCATGCACATTTAGATTTTGTTTCTCACCTCTGAAAGGTCTCTGTTTGTTATCGGACTATCGTATTTACCTACATGAATCTTTCAGGCCTCGAGTGGTTCAGAATAACAAGCAAGCCCTGCTCCATATTCATCAGCTGCTGCTGCATGGGCCTCAGAGGTCCCCCCCCCCCCATGGAAACAAAGTCAATTAGAGTGGAAACACACTGACACAATAACCAGAAGATGTCCCGCAGTGCCAGACATACATGTAAGTCACAGCGTCACATCTGCATCCGTTTTGCTCCTTCTGTAATGGATAGAAAGTTGTTCGTATTCCAGATGATAGTCTTGAGTCAGAATCCCCCCCCCCCACACACACACACACGCTTTGTCTCGTTCACTCTTTCGGGCTTGTTTGCGTCACCGCCCTGAAGCTCCTCACGTGGGAAGCACGCGTGCATCCGCTTGGAAACAAAAACTAGAGCAGATCTGAACAGGGCAGTGGAAAACGACAACAAGCACAGAGCCTGTCAATACACACTCAATAGAGACGCAGCCATCATGGAGGCCGGCGGGAGATAATGAGTTTGAGATCTTTGATCCAGCCTGCTATCGGTATTGATTATATCCACAGACACGGAGGGAGACGCGGGATGGCATTAATCACTTATGTACTGTGAACATGGTGAGTCAGCTATGATGATCGAAGGGGAACCTCAGTTCAGAAAAAATTAAAATGAAAGACCTAAAACGATCGTTTCTGCTGATTTAAATATCACAAGCCTCACACACACACACACGGTTCCCAGTGCGCCTGAATGTTGGTAGTCTGTTCCAGTGACCTATTTCCAGTCTCCCAGAGGCATCCAGCCACCCAAACTGGCCTTAATTACAGCCGAGTCCATGTGCAGAAGGAGCAGAGCGGAGGATATTTGACAGGGGACACTTACAGGAACTGGCTGCACTATTTCAGACGCTGCAGCACAGCTGCTCCTTCTACAGAGATTATTGATAGGATGAGGAGCCTGCAAGTCTTCATCCCTCTAATGAGTATTATAATGTGTGAAAATGGTACTTGAAAGCATCACAAGCGGTAAATAATCACTGCTTGTTTGTGACAGAAAGGCAGGGCGACACAAAGAGAGACACACAAGGGCAGACAGAGAGACCAAAGACAAACTGTCCTTATCTCATCGTTCTCTGCTTCAACACAACACAGATAACAAAAACACAACTCTTTTTCACCCAAATCATCGTCAACCATGTCAAACCCTGCATATCTTAGCAGCTTGAACATTCGATTTGAGCCGTGATTCACCTCAGACACTGTGCTGTCTGTCTAATCACATTCCACTTGTCTGAACAACACCAAAGCTCCTCTGGCCCATGGGCTCGGCTGCATTTCATTGGCTAATGCAGAGTGGCAGGCAAAGGACCGACGTAAACAGCGGCCATTATGAGAGGTTGACCCCACGGTGGCCGGTTTTGCAACAGGCAGGAAACACAGAGCCGCTGTCTGTTGTTTGCAGCTCTTTTTGGCTTCATTAACCCTCTCAGGCTCAAAATAAGTTTTGATAAAAGGACAAACAACTAAGTCCTTCAGGGGTACTTCTGGGTTTAAAAAAATGCTCATGAAATATGTTTGTGGTGTAACCAGGTAGGTAGGTTTTAACTGTTGCAAATCTGCAACGCCTGCCTTCAGAGGGTTAAATATCGAGAAAAATCACAGAATTCCACACAAAAATGAGACCAAAAGGAGGGAAATTAAAAGAAGTAAAATAAAATAAAAGATGTGACTCTTACTTACAGATTAGAAGGCAACAGGAGTGTGGTGGGTGGTGGTATGAGTGCAGTGTTTGTTTAGTGGAAGAGGGGATTTACTGAAAGGCCTATTTTAGTGCTGAAATGCCTTAAATCCATGACCACGTCAACATCCCTGACCACAGATGACATGTGATGCACTTCCTGTGGTGGATGTAAGGAGGCGCTTTGGAAGCTCAGCTGATCTAATTTCCTGTTCGACTCAAACCACCACAGAGTCAGATACAGGGCCCGGCGAGCAGTAAGTCAGACAGGATCAGACCAGAGCTTCTCTCTGACCTTCAGATCCATTAGATCCACCAGAGAAACTCTGCTTAAAAGAAGAAGGGAAACGCCAAGCCTGACGAGATCAGTGTCAGAAAATTTTTAAGACGGATTTCAACTCTTTGTTTTATAAAACCAAGTAAATCTGTAGATTGAGAGAAAATAATGATTACACACAGGATGTGAAATGTTGCCAAAACTGAGGTTCTGCTGACGTTCTGCCAGCTACAGCACGATTCAGCGTGCATCTGCGTGTGCATGTGTGTGTAGCTGCAAGAAAGTGGCTCTGGATCTGCAGGATGCGCCTGCAGTGCCAGATGGTGAGCCTGGCTCCTTTGAGACCACAAAAAGAGGGGTCAGTGGCATTTTGACAGGCTAACATGGAAGAGTAGCTGTTTATGGTGACTGGAGGAGTGATTTAGTCCAATCAGACCCCCACAAAAACTGTCCAAAATACAGATTTAGAACAAAATCAGAGGTTATTTTATACCAGATTCACCATGAGCATCACTGTTAACATCAGGTCTGAGCTAGAGGTGGAAAATAAATTCTCAGATGCATTGATTTTAAATGCATCAGCTAACAGTAGCTGGTGGTTGAAACATCCACATCTACTTTTGCAAGCGTGAATTAGCATTTAGCAATTGTGTGTTATTTTTGAGTTAATGATTTTCTGACAACTGATTTGTCCAATCATGCTGAATATTGCCCATTTTCAATCACCAGAAACCTTTTCTGTGCATTTCTAATGATAACAAAAACATAAAATGTCACTTCGCTTTTCAAATATATAAACTACAGATTAATGATCATAATCTTTCTGAAACAGACGAGTCTAAGCTGTTAAAAGGGCACCAAAAAGTGATTGAGGAAATTTCTTAACATTGAAAAAAAAATCCTGTTTGTTTTGCAATAAGTGTGACTAAATGCACATCATTTATTTGATAATTATGCCTCTTGTTTCTAGCTGTCAATAGGAATGGTTTGCTCAGCAATAAATATTGGTGTTTTCCCATGACACTACAAGGACCGCAGTGTCAATAATGAAGGAGGAGGAGGGTGTGCAGAGCCTCTTAAATTTTACATCCGTTCATGAGTTTTTTCTCTCTCATCGCAAAGGTCACGGTAAGAACACAGCGAGCAGCATGAGCACCAACAGCTTCAGGGATTTAGCAGTAATTCAGTTGACACTGAATGCATAAATGATATATTTTTTACGAAATCATTCTGGTTTAATCTTTTTTTTATTCTACGTGTCTTCTCATTGTTTGATTTAAAATTCTGGTCCTTAACTTGCAACACGAGAAACAACTCAGACCCAAATATTTGGTGATTCTGTGCCCTTTTGTTGAGATTTTAATTGGATAGAGATAGAATTGGACAGAGTCAGAAAAGGAACAAAGCAAAAAAAAAAAAAAAATTCCATCAGGGAAGAATATCGGCCTTTAATGTATCCACAGGAAAGCTTTCACAAAGACAGCACGGGACATGCCGAGTCAGTGAGACAATCGATTCAATCCAGGAGACGACTGCTGCATTACAAGACAAGCTCCTGCAATGCAGATGGCACATCTGTATAGCATTACTGGAATCTATAGCAGAGGGTATAAATATGCTCATACCTGCAGCATCATACAAACACACAAACAACTGTAACATATGTGCACAAGTGCATTCATGCTATCACACCAACAACAGCTCAGCCACCATAAAACGCTAAAGACTTCCCCGTATTGCCCCTCTCGGGTCCACTGCAGCTGACATATTAAAGGCACACTGAATAATTGATCACAGGCATCCCGATTGGTGTGCAGGCTCACATGATACATCTGCCCTGCTACGTTCATCTCCAGGCAGCAGACGACACCACCCAAAGGAACAAAAAAAAAAAAAAAAAAATACCACTCACGACCTCGACAAGACCCAGTTGAGTCACCTCATGAGCGGAATCTCAATGACACAAGCACAAACACACGTTTCCAGATCACCACTCGTTTTGCACGGATGAGAAGCCACACATTGGGTGCTTAAACAAAGGTAATTTATCTCAGCCTAATTAGCTAGAGCTTGAATTTCTCACAACGTCTTCACGCCGATTGGCTGAAAAGCTGAAGTCATATTCTTCTTTAGATCCAAGACGATTACAGCACAATGCTAGGAACACGCCAATGCTAGAAATGGCTCATCAGGCTAAGAACGGGGCTAGTTTAAAAAACTGAGTCTAACTGTTCCCCTCTTTAGTGCTCAGAGGAAACATTTAAAAAATAAAAACTGTAATTTCTGTGGTTTAAAAAAATCTGAAACTAATTGTCTTTCCAATAGATAAAAAGAAGCTAGTAGTCAAGCTAGGACGTCACAACCATGAGAAGAATTCCTCAGTTACTCGCACACGTGATCTATTTTTAGACACAGTAGGTGATACTGGCTGTAGCAGCAAATGTTTTTCCATTCGAACAGTCTAATCCACTCTAAGGAATGCACAATATGCATATAAATGTATGTGATTGCATGTAGTCAGGGAAAATATCCAGAATGGAGCTTGGTAATCTGTGTAAATGGTTCTGATTTGGTTATTTTGACTCCAGGACAAGGGTGAGTAACAACCACGCTGGTAAGTGTATTTTTAGCTCCTCTTCACAAAACAACAGAGTGAAGAATGAGGGGGGTGGGGGGGTTGTTGAGGTCAAAACAGGTCTTGTGGTCTCTCCTGATTGCATCATGCAAACCAGCACATCCTGAGTTCAAAGAACAGAGAAACAGAGCAGCAGGAGTGACTAATGGAAGAGACGTGAGCAATGTAACCAAGACAGCATTACCAGGTGGCCGTCAACACCAACTCACCTTCTGTAGACTGGTCGGATTCAGCTGGGTTTTGTCTATAATCTTCACCGCTACCTAGAAAGAAAAAAGACACAAAGAAAGGGAATGAAAATGAAATCTGGATATTTATTTGTGCTTGATGCTACTTTACAATTAGACTCATCTGATATTAAACTGTATGTGTGCAGCAGCCGTGCTAGTGTTGGTGTACCTGACTGCGCAGGTCAGAGATCGACCACTGGCAGCGGGCTGATCCAACCTCAATAATCACCCCAAACAAGTGCACACAGAACAGACACGCTCGCCTCACTTTCCAAAAGCTCAGCAGCTTTTACAAAACCACTAGCTGGGCTAAAGTGCTGCGTCACCAGTAAGACCACACATTACGCTGATAAGTGATTGATGAGGGGCTTTCAAAGTATAACGCAATTACACATTAAAGCATGAGAAATACATACAGCCTATTGTCTCTGCACCACACAGTCATTTTTTACACACAAGTTAACGATAGCTTAAGTATTATGAATTCTAGCTGTTTGTAGACTAACCACAGATAATTAGAACAAAATCTACTTTAGCTGCATTGCAAATAGCTCCAGTTGTGCGCTGGTTAAAAGCTTAAAAACCACAGAAAAGCTTTATGGTCTCTATAAGCCTCCTGGGATTCTTCAACTAACTGAATTGAAATGTTTCGTATGTGTTTTCACGTCCTTTCAATTAAAATTCTGTTTCTTTTTGAGTGAAAATACCAATATTTTAGATATGTGTGTAACTGAATTTTTTTCATGTTCTCTGGTTTTTAGAAATAACACGAGGTGTATTTAAAGTCATGTTGACTCTGCTACCTCCTTAGATAAAAAGGCCACATGAATGTGTCTTGGCTAATAGAAGCTAACAGTTAGCATTAGCAACTCCACAGCATGGCGAAACGCCTTCAGGCTTGTGTTATTTGTGGAGATAAAACATCCACATTGCAGGGCAAATGAAAGTATTGGAAGAGTCTCAGTGCCATTAGCCAATTAAAGGCAAGATGTCCGCTTATCATGAGTAAGTAAAACTCCACAAATTCTGCTGTTTTTAGATCCTCACTCTCAACGTGAAGAGGACAATTGGATATCACTGGTAATCCTTATCATCATCATCTTCAATTACAATATGCATTATTTTGAAAGTATTATTTCTTCCAGATTTAATGAGTTTTTGTGAATGTTTTTTGCGCTTCGCAGACTTCTTGTTTCCACCCTTTCATGCTTTTCAACTCAATAACTAGCTTGTCTTCTATGTCTAACATGTTTAATTGTAGGACTGTTTTTAACAGCTTCTTGCCCTCCATTTTTAACAGTTAAGAGAGGAAACTGCCTTTCTGAGATTAACGATACCATGACAGCTATAATTACAATTTATTATGGCAGCACTCCTTTGACTCAGGCCTGCTGAGAGCTTAATAAGCATGCTTCAATGGATGCAGACTCTGGTTTTTATTCCAACCAGCCCAATGAAGGGGAAAACCAGAGAGCAAACGCTGAGTCGTGACAAAGAAAACGCAGGTTATTCATCAGGAACAGGGTTTCCCCAAGATCAGCGGTACAAGTTTTAATTTCATCCTCAGCCGAGAGCTAAATCCCACAATAACACCGATGTGGCGGTCGTGAAAATAACATGGCCCTGCAGGGTAAATAATAAGACTGCACAAAGACCCAGAGAAGAAATAGAAATAGTGAAGGTGGTGTCTGTTTGCAGCCTGTCTCAGATGGACAAATCCACACACAAACTCCTTACCCCCCTTTCTGCTTCCACCTGACAGTGTGTGTTGATGCATGCACACAGGCGCTAAACTTGTCCTTATGGTCCCGTTCACGTTTGGCAATGACATGCATCCTGAATGATCTGATCATGTGTTCCAGTAAAATCTGATCTGAGAAGCTTGTTCTATATGCAAATAGACATGAAGCCAGGTCACAGTTAGCTATCAACTGAGCAACACTGACTGCTGAAGTTTAGATTATGTTTCTGTAATAGGACAAACTCATTCCTTTGTTTAACTGAATACAGTCCAGGATACTGAAATAAAGTGTATTCAAGTACCCCATAACACAACCAATCCTGTCCTAAAACATCAGATTTGAATCCATCTTTAACCCATGATTGTGCTCACACTTATATTTAGTTCTGTCTTCTTGTGGTCCCATCATCCTAGACACGTTTTATTTTCACCTGTTGCTATTTTTTATACAGTCATTAATTTTACTTCACACTGCACCAATTGCTCTATCTTACTGGACAATCACTTGGATGTGGTGATGTTTGCATGATTGTGGGTGTGTTTGTGAGATCACACTCTAATGGAGCTGAGGGTGAATAATTCAACTCCAAATCAACAGAAGGGTAATGTGTGTATCAGTGTTAATTATTCAGCGCATTCGTAATGCTGAGGCCATATGCTCCTCATCGTATGCAGGCTTTATCATCGCACTAGCAGAAAAATGACGGATGATGTGGAGGGGAACCTTAGTCACAACTTAGTCCTGTGTGCTGAAGTGATTCATACTTTGCTTTTCACTTAATTTTTCTCCATTTTGATTCATTCCCAAAGTTATGGTCCATGGATCTTTGTATGCAAGAGAACAATACAAGTACAATCATATTCACACAAAGACAAGAACAAATTCATTATTGCTAGGCATAGAGCAAGGCAGGCCCGATATATTGTGTGGCTGCATGGTGGCGCAGTGGTTAGCACTATTGCCTCGCAGCACGAAGGTTGCAGGTTCGAAACTCGGCTGCGGCCTTTCTGCGTGGAGTTGCGTGTTCTCCCCATGCATGCGTGGGTTTCCTCCGGGTACTCCGGTTCCCCCCACAGATCACAACATGCCCTATAGGTTATAAATTGTAAGTCGCTTTGGGTAAAAGCGTCTGCCAAATAAATAAACGTAAACATATTTGAAATCAATAACTAATATCATTACACATAAAAATATACATGAACCTACATGTTTTCTTACTGTGACGTGTAAATCAAAGCAGGCTCTGAATAATGCATGCACATTTCTCTTGGAAATATTGATTCCAGATTCTTTATATCGACTCCTGCACTGCTTGATCAGCACAGTTTTAGCTTGTATGTCTGTGCCAGTGAATTTTTGCTCTTTAAACATCTTCTCTGTACTGTATGAAAGCACAAAGAGCCAAGAATCAGACGCTGATCATCTCTAAACTAGGGAATAATCTGCCTGATTCAACAGACAGCTAATTCCTCGGACAATCTGTTACTGTGTACATTTTAAAGTGAAACGAATGTGTAGTACCGCTGAGCCAGTATCTATCTCTATCAAGGTTGGGCGATATGTTACATTTTTCTAACTGACGTATGTCAGCCCAACGCATGACAATGGGAAACATTTTTGCGTAGACGTTTAGATGTTTTGTGTACGTAAAACGAGTGATCTACCAATCACACTCGTCGCTCGTCCTATTGCGGAATCAGACCATGAGGGGTCCTCGTGAGAGATTGCTCTCCAAATTTCATTGGCTCCATTAAACAATGTTTGCACCACAACTGGTTTAAGACACGTGAGAGTAGGGAGAGGCACTTTTGTCTTATCGGCCACAAGGGGGGTGGGGGGGGGGGGTTGGTCACCTGTTTGATCAGGTAAGATGTTGATCCAAAGTTTAAAGCTAATATGAAGATGCTAATGGGAGTTATGATGAGAATGAGATGCATCTGAAGGAAAATTGGAAGGTATGCAGTGCCACATAATGTTTGATTGTGAATGTAAGTTGGGTGCGCTGTGGACTAACTATTTTAATGAAGCCCTTTTACTGGATCCTTGAGAATGCCACGATGTAAGCCAGGGGGAGGTTAGGACCCAAGATGCAGAACCAGGATGACACAAGGCAGGAGTAGTAGAAAAACGTAAAATCCTTCATTAGGAATAATTGTCCAAAAGAAAATCCAAAAGGGCAGGTAGCCAAAAACCTAAATCCAAAAATCCTAAAGTGCAAACCTAGAGACCAAGAGAAGAAGAGCTCCTTTAAAGAGCAAAACCTAGAGACATCCAAATACCTAGAGACCAAGAGGGAAACGAGACAATGCTGACACAAACAATGGACCGACAACACACTGAAGCCCCCTTCAGACAGGCCATGAAAAGCTGAAATGTTCCGGAATCTGTCCGTAAGACCTTTCTGTCTGAATACAAACATCCGGATAACGTGTTCCGGAATTTATCCGGATGAAGCCCCTAGTAACAGGTCCGGACTTGTTACGGACAGGGTGGCAGCTTCAGACTGGTGAGGTAAAGTTCCGGACAAGGGGGAGGGGGAGGAGGAGGGGACCGGGGGACGCTGTGCGCACTACCCCGCTGCCGTAGCATGCGGCGAACCACGGCAGCTCGCCTCCTACGGTACCGTCTAGACGCGCGACGGAGTGCTTCACACCGCTTCAGTGATTCCTTTAACCATTGAGCTTCATCATCCAGGTCTCTGATGCGTCTTCGTGTGCGCAGAATTATGCTTAAGCACCTCGTGATTTTTATCTTGAGAGGCGCTATAGAAATGATATTTTCTTCTTCTTCTTCTTCTTAACATAAGTCCGATCCTACACCCTACCCCACCCCCCCTGCCGCCGTCAGACATCTGGAACTTTTCCCTGCTGAGTGAACGCAGCCGAAAGGACAAGTTCCGGTACAAAAGTGGTGTGTCTGAAAACACAGTTCTGGTTAAAAACCGGATTGAATTGTCCGCAAATGTTCCAGAATGTCTATCTGAAAAGGGCTTTAGACGCAGGCAGGGTTATATACACAGAGAGAAACAATCAGGGAAACAGGTGACAGGTGTGTGGGGAGTGATATCAGAAGGGATCAGGTGAGACTAATTAACTAAGTGGGGAAAACTGACTAGGTAAAATTAATCTACAGAGGACTAAAGATAAGTGAACTCATAAACCCTGAAAACTAGACACCAGAAGAAAAACACTAACAGGGATAACTAAATCTGAAATCACTAAGGGGGAACCTGAGGGAAACCTGGAGGGAGCTGGAGACCTAAAGGGGCACAGGAACCTAAGGGGAAAACCTGGAGTGGGCTGGGGAACACAAGGAGACACATGAGGGGGACGCAGGACACAGAACAAGACAGAGGATGTAAAGAGACCATTTTTGAAGAAGAAGAAGAAGAAGAAGAAGAAGAAAATATCTTTTCTATAGCGCTTCTCAAGATAAAAATCACGAGGTGCTTCACAAAAACAAAAAAATGTAAAAATATAAAAAAGAATTTATGAAATGGTTAAAAACATATTTAAAATGAGCAAAAAATAGACAATTGTGATTAAAAAATGTTAAGAAAGAGAGAGAAAGTGAACATGAAAGAGGGAAATCAGTGGATCCTGAGGAAGGTGGAATAGGTGGGGAGAGCAGAACAAAGAGAGAGTGATGAAGAAGGTCATACAAAATCCTGAACAGGTGAGTCTTCAGCTGCTTTTTAAAGGAGACCACTGAGTCCACTGATATCAGGCTCATGGAGAGCAAGTTCCAGAGTCTGGGGGCCACAGCAGCAAATGATCTGTCACCTTTGGTCTTTAGCCTGGTGCTGCACAACCAGTAGGCTTTGATCACTGGACCTCAGGGACCTGCTGGGGGTGTAGGGACTAAGAAGATCACCGATGTAAGATGGTGCTTGTCCATGTAAGGCCCTATAGACCAGAACCAGGATATTGAAATGAACCCTGAAGTTGACTGGCAGTCAAGGAGAAGCGGGGTGATGTGGGTGTGTTTGGAGGACTTGGTCAGAAGCCGAGCACAGGCATTCTGAACCACCTGTAGACGGTTCAGGGAGGTTCTGCTCAGACACGTGAAAAGAGAGTTACAGTAGTCTAAGCGTGAGGAGATGAAGGTGTGGATAACTGTCTCGAGTTCATAACGGGACAGAATGGGACTCAGCTTAGCAATGAATGGAAGAAAGAAGAACGAACAAGAGAACTGACATTTTGTTTGAGATGGCTCCAATCTGGAAGTGAAATGAGGTTTTGAATGTTGAGTTGGACATTATTTGAATTTCCAAGTGGTGTGACAAAAGTGTTTACTGTGTCTACAGTTATGGTTGTAACATTGATTGGCTTATACCTTTGGAATTACATGAATCCCAGCTCTCTGATGATGTATAATATGTATGTGTACATATAGAGTTTAGCAAAATTATTCTGATTTGACCTGTACGTATGCAAAGTCCCATCCATAAGACTAATTCATAAGCATAAAAAATATTCCTCTTAAAAATTACTGGTGAAGAGCACGGCCTTTCATCAATTACTGATAAATTCGTCCAATCGCCCAACCTTAATCTTTATGTAATTTCTCTGTATTCGACCTCTTCAGTTGACAGGACATCCTCAACAATCTGAAGGACTCTCGCTTTGTTTATTTCTTCCTCTGAGCTGTTTCTGATGAATAAAATGTTTAATTTTAGATGTTCGCAAAATCCATGCTGTGGTAGAACACATGGGTTTTTGTGGGTTGTTCTTTCCACCCCTTCTCTCTCTCTGACCTTTCCTGCCAGCGCTGTGTGCAGCACACTCAATCTGCTCGTTTAACAGCGGCGTTAAAGGACACAAAACGGATCAGAATGATTTCAGTTAGACCTGAGAGAGCATTTGTGCTCTCATTCTCTGGCATGATGTGGTGCTTTATGAAACTCAGAGGATTACAGCATGCAAATGGAGAAGACGCACACTTATGAGAGGACCTCTGCGGTAGATTAGTTCCATCAGAGAGCTGCAGATCCTGGAAACGGGAATTTTAATTACCAACACACTAAAGTGGGACGTCTATCACTCGGACAATAAACGTGTGTGTGAGAGAGAAAGATCTTGACTAGATCTGACAGAACAAATGTCGCCAAGTACATTACAGTTGTGTCATTAATTCTTTGGACAGGTGTTCTTTTTTTTACTCTTAGTGGAGAAATCGTTGCAAGGAATGCTCAAGACGCAATGCCCTCCAGAAGATTTCATCTCTTTGTTGGATTCTGTGACTGCGGGGCAAGTTTCAGTAATAGTGTTTTTTTCCTTTAGCTCAAATGGTTGATGTGACCTCTCCTGACTATTTGACCAGATCTCTATTGGATTTGTTGTCTTTTTAACTCATTCACTGCCACTGACGACTAAAGTTTTCATTTTAGATCCAACCGTTTGAGCATTGGAACGAGCCCCCGCGCTGAGAGAACAAACATCTCAGCCCTGAAGCCGATCTTCATCCGCATACGTCACAGATCACATGATCAGGAAGCAGACCATCCATGTGTTAGGAGATTGTTTTGGGCCGTTCCTGTAAAAAAAGTGAGGCGCGAACCGGAAAAGCGTCTGCCGATCACAATTCGACAACGGATTATGAAAGAACGGATAACGCTCGAAACACACGGCTTCTTCCTGATGTAAGAGGTGAGTCTCCTCTTTGTTTTGGTTGTTTTGGCATCGACATCATGCTAGCGTGCAACGTTCTGTGACTCTTAAAAAAACAGTAAAAACGGTGAGAAACGCTGGCAGCGAAGGCCGTTAGTGATCAGGAAACGGCTGGCAGTGAATGAGTTAAGTAAAAAAATTTAGTTCCCATTTTTCAGCTTAATTATCAGCTTCACCTTTGGATATGTTTGATTCAAAATGTCTGCAAGCAGTGACAAAAAGGTAGCCTGGCAAACCATCCTACATATGTTAATATATAGTCAGGCCACGACCCATAAACAGATCTCAGTGGGGGAAATCTATTGTTGTCTTTTAAACTGTCTCTGCACGCTATTGGGCAAATGAACTCACCATTACGGATGGAGTCAACAGGGCAGTCCACCACACACTGGTGAAGAAGACACAAATATTTCCTTTTTCTAAATACAGGACTTAAGTACCTCTGTCTGCTCTTGACTCAAAGAAAAGCCCAAGTCTAAATATTCTAAAGTTGATGCCAAACCCATTTCGAATGAGGCAAGATCATCTTAGTTGTTCCGCTCCGTGGCATCATCTCGCCCACCAAACCGATAGAGGCTAGTGATTGGCATACCACAATATTGCTCAGGCCAATCGTAGACCTGTTGAGGCTGCTACGGAGCGTGGCTAGACAGACATGCAGAGCAAAATCTTTTTGTTTTGGCTCCTGTCCGCCCGGCTAACAAAACGGATGAAGAAGTATTGAAATAGGAATTTGATGCTTTTTACAAAAACATTCATAAAATTGTATCTCACCTCTCTTCCAGTCAGGACATGCCGTGCCAGCTTCACTTTGGCAAAGTTCCCCTTTCCGATGGTCTTAAGGAGGCGGTAATTGCCGATGTGAGGATGCTCCTCTGTGGAGGTGAAGGAGTTGCGACATCGTGGCAGACTGTGACGACTCGCAGACTTGGTAGGGGGAGCCGGGGGCTCGACAAAGCCGTCCACCGACGAGTGCTGCAGGAAAGGCACACATGTAGATGTCGGACTATGTATCTGGTGTCAAACATAACCAAATAAATATTTCAAAAAGCAAATCAGACAGTTTGAGATTTTTCAACTGATCCCCAAATTGTGACATTTCCCTTGCTAAAAGAGAGGAGACCAGAAAGTGAGTTTAAGTAAGCAGTAATTTCAGTTACAATCAATAATAAAGGAAATAAAAAAGAAGGATTTTTATCTTTCAGGGGATAACCCTTTAAGATATGTTCTTAATGAAGGAGTTGGTGGACAACCCTTCAGGTCTTTTACATTCTTTCTGAGGACTTTTACAACTGTAAATAACTTTTATCAAGGTCAAACTGGCGTTTTATTTGGCTTTTTAGTAGCTTAGTGTACAGCTTTTTCTATAGATTGTATTTGTCATCAAGACCTCAACTTGACCGTTGCCATTAATCACACTAAAATACAAAGTAAGCAAAGGGCTGATTATGGAACAGATTGTGGAACCTTTCCTGCTTGTATATATAATCTCAGCAAGTTGATAAAGTCAACAAATCTTTTTATCTAGGACTGGAAAATATATCAGTTAAAAAAAACATTGGTTTACTTTCAAACAAAACAAAAGATGACCCCGTAAAGTTTATATAACTTTGCAACCAGTGAACTTCAAAGTTGGTAGGCATGCCTTGCTCCTGCTAGCTTGCTGCTTCTCCACCCCTGATGTGTCTCAGCCGCCATCATTTGTATTCTTACCCATCCAGTTGATTGTGTGCAAACAAATCCTATCGAAAAAGTTGTTCTTTAGATTAATGAAAATAAATGCTAGATTAATGTTCTTCCCTAAACTTTACTTTGGGGGGTGGGGCATTCGTCTTTCAGTGAGCCTTTTCCTCATGAATGACCATTTTTTTGTCCTGTTGGTGTGACGAGACAGGATGATGACTGATTGTGTTGTTAAGTAACTTGGGGGGTTGTAGAACCCTAAGAGGGCGCTATACAAATGCAAGCCATTTACCATGTAACCAGGTAAAATGTTTGATGGCTTGCAGTGGCCAAAATACTTCAGAAGCAAGTTTTTCTCTACTCTGTTTTTACATACGCACTGACAGACATCTAAGTCGATCCAGGTCGATCTTATGGTAATAAGCTGGGAGTCTTTATCCTAGTTTACATATACGTTAAAAATCGACCTCTCATATGAAGTTCGTTCCACTCCGTTACAGTAGGTGGCGACATGTGCTCTTTTGTGTCAGCATTCTTCCGGTTAGCTTATGGCAACACAAATGGTAAACAAACACTAGCGGGAGTAAAGCAGATGGAATTGAAACAGGATATGCACAATGGCTGAAGAAACAGACGACAACGCTGCAGCACAGTTTTATTTGCTACATACTGTTTGATGGTGTTACACGGGTTACTTTGTGAAGATATTATCAGAACACCACTTTCATTGTTTTGTCACTTCCAAAACGCGAGCATTCAACCGGTTCGGCGCATTCATTTACACGCCGAACTGGACCGCTAGTGCGTTATCTTGGTGCTTCAGCATGATTAGAACCAGTTCACCTTCAGCAAGACTGTGTTTATATGCATTTTAAAAAACAATGAGTCTTTTTAGAGCAATACTTCAGTTTTCAGATGTGCATGTAAACTCACCGATTGATATGAGTGAACACTGAGATTCCAGCCATGTTTGCCTTCACAACTTTAAAAACTCAGCAGTGTGACCCATACGAACGTATTCCACTGTGTATTGGATGTATTTACATCATGAAATTAGCATATGATGGCTTAATTTTCCAGGTCAAGAACATTTTTACTTCATATTTTGAATAACTTAATATGGCCCACTTAATTTTCCACATATGGAAATAAATTTTTTCTCAATAGATAATAAATAAAATGGCTTGTGTTCTACTTGAGACTCCTAACTCCTTTTTCATAAATAATTAACGGGAAAAAAACATTTATCGTACATCACAATTTAGCAACAAGTTATTGAGAAATAAGTTAGGTCCATATCGCCCGGTTCAATTTAAAACCCTAACCCTCCATCTACTCCACCTAACCTACATTTTCAGAAAAATTACAGAGAATAAGCTTAATTTACAAAAAGACTAGCAAGAGCCTCAACATTCTGATTAAAAAATTATATATCCAAGAATCCAGTATCTGAGTATGACGTAAGTAGTGGTATTTGCTGTAGCGTCCACGAGAATTGCGCAGTCTCCTCTGGACTGCTTCCTCTCCTCTACAACAGCTGCTGATGTCAGTCCAGGTCAGAGATCCCATGATCCTCTGCTCTTGAGCACCACACCCAGCCAGAGAATAAAGCCTTGGTCTGGTTACTCAGGCTCCCCTGCTCCTGTTTCACTGGGGGGAAATGCTACACCCTGCAGAGTGCGCATCACCTCTGATACATCCTGATGGAGGCGAAGCTGTGATGTAAGCATACATTTCCCGGCATCACAACATGGCACAAACATAGAAAATATCACCTGAAATATCAGGAAAATGTGGATATTTGTTCTTTACTCACTGACTTTTGGGTTAATAAGGCCACATACACTTTAGTCTTCCAAACCACTCATTTATTACACATGCCCTTTGATGCAAATATATTGAAATATAAAAGCTGGAAATGAGCCGATTCTATTTTGCTGCGCTAAAAAAAAAAGCCTTCCTTCTCTCTACGCAGCGAGATGTTATGCAATGCAGTCAGGCTCCTGTTGGGCCCTGGGGCAGCGTGCTGAAGTCCAGCAGCAGCAGAGTAGCCTGGCTGGCTGCTTCAGTGATGCTGAGACTGTGGTTTAATAGCCACCTAGCAGTCATACGTCTGAGAGAGCAGCATTAGCCAGACATTTACATTAGCCGCTGATGCATTACTGAACACAGCCAGCCAGGGTTCAGTAATGCATCAGGATGATCTGAGGGTCAATATGACCATGTAAATTAGGATTTGTTAAGCTTATATAGCTTTGTAGGGAAGGAAGTCCAGTTCCTTGTTTAGATTTAAAGGGGACATACTATAACTATAAGTTATGATAGTTATATGCTATATATAAAATATGGTCAAGACAATATTTGCACAAAAGCCCTCTCATATAGAGATTTTGCAGTTTTATTCTTGACAGTTTCAGTACCTTCCAGAATGAGCCATTTCCAGGGCTCTGTCACTTTAAGAAAACAAGCTGTTGCTGGCCACGCCCACCCCTCCCACTGCTATAAGCTGAGGAGTTCAGATATTTGCAAGGGGCTTACCCCCAAATTCCACTACCTCCGCTCCGCTCCGGCACGAACTCCGGAGCAAAATCGGCCCCGTTGCAGTCAATCAGAGCAATTCCACTACTGCGGCCGTGCTCCGGCAGTGTGGCGCAGTGCGCCGCCCTCTGTTCCGGCGTCCGGCAAAAATAGAATCGATCCTATTTTTGCCGGACGCCGGAGCACCTCCGCAGTAAATGGACAGGAATCACAACCGCCCAACAGGAAAAGGAGCAAGCACAACTTCCGTTTTTCACAATAAATCGGTAAACAAAAGGCGTTTTTTGTTTCATATGCACAGGTTTAACAACTTTTAACAACTATCAATGGCGGCTGAAGTTTAAATGCACAAAAGTAAGCCATAAATACAGTTTCCACTATCAAAGTAGTCACACTTTGTTGATCCAAACACTGCTGATCTCTCAACACAAATGATGGGCAGATTAAACAGTTCATTTCGATGCTTCTCCCACACAACGGGTGTTTGGATATAACTTCCCCGTTTATTGCTCGGACTGTATCGCAAGATCTTGAAAATCCCGCGCATGCTTGTTTGCCCACCTCAGGTCTCCGCACCGGAGCGGAGCCGTTGGAGAGCTGGTACCAGTAAAAATTGAGTTCGGAAGCGAGCGGCTGCGGAAGGCGGGGGCGGACCGGAACGGAGGTAGTGGATTTTGGGGGTTAAAGTAGAGTTGCTGTAGGTGCTAGACCTGCTTGGTGGCCTGGGTCTGCCAGTGCTGAACATTGGTACGTTGATGTAGGAGATTTTGGTTGGTCCAGATAAATTGCCGAAAGTTATGTTGACACTTTAATATCGAAGATTATGGTTGTTCAGGACAAACTGCCGAAGTAAAATTGACACATTAACGTTGAAGATTTTGATTGACCTGAAAAAAATTGCAAAAGATATGTTGGGTGCGTTAACGTTGAAAACTTTGGTTTGCGTCAGCACTTATCAAACAGCAAGGGGGTTGATTATATAAATTTATTCAAAATGTACAATGTGAATTTTTTGGAGAGTCATTCTGTTGGTAGAGTCTGATATTGATTTCAGGGCTTAGCTGGTCAAAAAATAGGGCACAATGTAGTTTGTCTATGGGCATCGCTGAAGTGCGTCATCATCGGCAGACACAGGCTCTTGAGCAGATCTGGTACCTGGAGCGAACACGGATACCTAAACTGCTGCTCCTTTAGTGTCAGTAGGTGAGGGGTGGTTTTATGCTAATATCTATGTATTGTCCGATTTTAGTTGCTTTAATTATTGGTTGATATTAGCATTACAATGTAATTGTCTATCAGTTTTTATACTTTGAATCACGCAATTATTACATGCTATGCACATATTATACATCAAACTTTTAAGATACTTCTTTTACTCACAATGTCAAAGTATAATAGATTTGAGGAAGTTTTTGAGATAATTTAGAATGTTTGGCACAAATAGCCTAACTTAAATACAAGTAGTTACCATAATTTGCTCAGATAATGTTGAATGTTGAAATATGCATGACAGGTGATATGTGATGCTAGTTACCAAAATTATTTAGTGTTTCTTTTGTTAACCCTCTCAGGCTCAAAATAAGTAAGTCCTTCAGGGGTACTTCCGAGTTAAAAAATGCTCATGAAATACAAATGTGGAGTAACCAGGTAGGTAGGTTTTAACATTGCAAATCTGCAACGCCTGCCTCCAGAGGGTTAAGGGACGAACCCCACATATATTGGTTGGTTTCGGTGTTTGAAATTAAAGCTGCAATGGCAAATCTGCTAAACAAGCTAACTTTTAAACACAAACATGGTCACAGATCTCTCATCTGACCAATTGGCTATCATCCCTAGGCCATGTCATCCTGAATGTCACATTGTTTTCCACAAGTTCAAATTGTGTTTTTAAGTGGTTTGTCCTAAAGTTCAAGTGGTGTTCTGTTGCAAAATGCACGAATGCATTTTGAGAGTGGAATACCCAGGTAAATACGGAAGTGTGGTGTTCCAGTGAGATAGACAACTGGACGGTCCAATCACTGGCTTCGGACTGAGCTGTTATTGGCTGAGATTTTTAGACAAATGCATTAGAACCTCTTCATTATTTTAGTCAGGTATTTTTTTTATCTCCACAAAATATTTATAGCCATACTTTGTTGTTAAGAGGCATGAAAAATTATTTTCAGCTAGCATTATTTGCAGATTTACCATTGTAGCTTTAAATGTTAGACTTGATTGGTATATTGAATATCAGTAAAAAGCTGATGTCTAGTATCCCTACTAATTTCTTTTAGTGATGTAACAATAATGGGTATTTTGAAATTAACTGCTTTAGACTTATAATTTCTGAATTTAAACAATGACAGAAAATAGATAGGTGTTTTTATCTGTGTTTGGAGAGTTTCTAGAGCAGGGGTCGGCAACCCGCGGCTCTGGAGCTGCATGCGGCTCTTCCATCCATCTGATGTGGCTCTCTGTGCTTGTAAAATAATGAATGAATATTTAAATAAAATGTTTTATATTTTACTGCATAAATTTTATATCTGCATGCCAATTCTAAATGTAAAGATTGTCTGCGTAAACCTGAGCAGGTCCAACCCGGTCTTACTGTGAGACCGGGTTGACGCGTCACGCTTGTGCGTAATCACATAGGCGCATTCTGAGCTGAAGAGGACGTGAGATTCTGGGCTTCTCCTCAGACGGCTCCTGGATGTGTCACCACATTGGAGACAGGAACAAGTGCTATTCAGCCAAAGTTTCATAATCAGGGAACATTTTCTAAGTGACAAGTCTCTCTGAGAGACCGGGTTTGGAAACCGCTCGCTTCAGTCGGAGGAATCTTCCCGCATGCGCTCTGGTTCTGCGACGCGCTCCGAGCCCCTCTCCACATCTTCAGCTCGCTGTGCACCTTACGTACGCGCTGACAGCGAGCTGCGCTGAGCAGTGTCCAGCTCAGATGTTCAGAAGGAAATCTTTTCTTGGGTGATTTAGCTACATCTGCGATGTGCGTAACGAATAAAATGTCAGTTCGTCTGCATGCGTCGGGGTAATTCTTTCTATTCTTTCTCCATCAAAATAAACGGTCAAATAAGGGAACTGTCCAGTCAACACAAGCCTTGCTTTTAACTGTTCTGTTTTCTTGTGAAAATTGTTGTAAATAGATATAATTTAACTTGATTAACACCAGAGCCAGGCGCACTGCGCCATTATCTCCGTCACTGTAAATGAGGGAAAAACAAAATGATCGGATCCTTTTCTGACTTTCCCCACCAACAAAGTTTACAACAATCAAACGTGACAGAGCCTGGATTTGTATTCTGAACAGTCTAAACATGTTTTAACAAGAAACGTATGACAAAAGTGGCATCTGCTCTGTAAAACAGGGTGAAAAATATCAAAATATTGTAGGCAGAGACGGGCTACAACTTCTGGATCCACTTTATATAAATCGTTTAATTGATTATCGTCTTATGAAAGATAACTGACATACACAAGCAACCGGTACTGGCTGCTGTCACCTGTTGTGATTGGTTAAAGCTGTCTGAGGGTAGGCCCCGCCCACAACGCCGAGGCTGTTGTGGCTCCCAGTTGTTTCTTTACTGTGGGAAACGGGTAATAATGGCTCTTTGATGGGAACAGGTTGCCGACCCCTGTTCTAGAGGCATTAGAGACCCACATGGATGCACAAAAGTACTTAAAAAGTGAGTTTAGCATATTATGTCTCCTTTAAACTCCTGTAGGTGATCCAGATACACCTGCTCTAAAAATAGTGGCAAAATACAAACGTGTCTCCTGAAATCAGACATCAAGTTGACCTTTAAAAGCTGCAGCATCTTTATGAAGAAGCCTCAGAGGAACCTTGATGGTGTACTACAAAAAAGCAAATCTAAAAAACATGGATCAGGGAATTGGCTCATGAACAATCCCTTCCAATCAAGTTTCCTGTGATTTAAGTGATTGCAGTTTAACAAACGCTGCTCTTCGTCGTCCTGGAAGCAGAATAATAGTCCTTCCTCTTCCTCGGGCACTGAGTGTGCAGTTACAACAAGGACCAATAGGTGATGGATGTCACATTGCGATGCTACCGAGCAAAAGTAGGGCAACAATCACCCCCACCCTCCAGAAATATTGACGTCGCGGAACAAAAAAAATACCCATGGTTACTCGCGTGGAGCTATTCCTCACGCGACGAAGAGCCTGGGTTAATTCTTCATATTTAGCATAAAAGCTACCATCCCGGGCAGAAAAAGACAACTGACGCAATGTGTTGTTATTGTTTAGGGTACTGTGTTCACAAACTAGGACAACCAAACTACATATTTAATTTAGGGTTCGTTATATTCAGCTTTTTTTCCTAAAAGAGGAGGAAAATAGAGGCTAAGTTAATTGGTCGAGTCGCTATGCAACACGGTAGCCCCCTCCAGGAGCGCTGCAATTGTTAACCTTTAAAAAACCCTAAATGTGGCTATTCCCAGCCAGAATTCCCAATCCTCCCCACCGGTATTCCCGAACAAACTTACATTCTCGGTGTCACGCTCGTTCACCGTGGGCAATGGCGTTCTGGTCGACATCTTGTGTGCTTCGCAGGCCGCTCGGCGATGCAGCGGAGCTGGGCAGAGCAGACACGGCGCGGAGCCTCCGTCCTCTCCTCTGCACCCCCCCCACCCCCCTCCCCCCCTCCGCAGACAGCGGCCCCTTGCTTTTCTCTCTTTACCGCAGCATGGCGCAGCCGGTGCGCCAGATTTTTCCTTATCGGCTTTGTGCGCTTCCCGTCAGGTAGACTTGTGTCAGACAGGAAAGGAGAGGAAAAGAGAGAGCAGCAGGCAGCCGCAGAAGAGAGGGAGCGAGAGAGGGGAGGAGGGGGGGAGGGCAGGCCAGGAAGATGCGTCGGTCTGCGCAGCTCATCTCATACCTCCCACCAGGAAGGATGGAGGGATCTATCTCTCAGACACACACTCCCTTTGTCTCCTCTTTATAGCTCATCATTCAAGTCACCAGAAAGCAGATAGGCACTCAGTTAGAACACTGTCCTTCAGAATTCGAGCTCATCTAACTGTGAGGAGGGTTCCAACATGCGTTTGTGGTTTCCTAATAACCTGTCCTAATAGGTTTTGTAGTATAACTGAACTTTAATTACTCTATTACGTCTGGGATTAAAAATCACTTCCTTTTACCAATCAGTACATTGGGATTTTGTATTTTTAACATTTAGTGATTCTTTGCTACTTCAAGAAATTTTCCTACAACGAGAGTGTCCCTGCTCCAGGATGAGGCCTAGTTCAGGGAGCAGGCCTGTGTCACTTTATAAACTGGACACATTTTGCCATCTGTTGGACCATCACAGCATTACATTCTGCTGTTTATCTGCTCATCAATAAAATGCAGCCAATTTGGTTCAACAACAGCAAAAACAAAACAAACAAACAAACAATAAACAATTATCATTGTCTAGTTTGTCCATGTTCTTTTTTAACCTTGCTTGCTCATTTCTGGGTGTGGCGATGATGCACGTCCAGATGTGCAGGCAAGCTCTGTACACTAGGTGTCAGTCTGCACCTTTAGTATGATGCACATGCGCAGAGTTGGATGCCAATTCATTGTTCAGTCACTTTCTTAGCCTCAATGCTTTTAGAGCCATACATACATGATCATATCATGCTGATATGAACAAGTCGTAAAACATATGTAAATACCCTCTGTTGCAATTTTTAGTGAAATTTCATTTATTTGCAGAATTTGAAAAAACAGAGGTGTGCCTTAGTGCTCGAAGCATGACTAAGGGTTTGTCTGATGCAGTTGAGAGGCCCCAGACCATAACAATGGAAACAGCACAAAACACTGTGTTACAATAACTGATGGATACAGGACCTGAAAGCCACTGAAAACATGATGTCTGTTTTCATGATTTTCAGGAATTTTTGGGGGGCATATTTTTGCCCCAGCTTCCCTTCATCAACAGAGCAAATGTTGGAATTTCAGTTTTAAATGGTAGCAAGTGGATAAATATTGAATCTCTTTGCTATGAGATGTTTCAGCTAAACAGAAGGGTTTCAACACAGATTCTTGGCATGTCGATGGGCATTTTTGGAATTCTGCATCCGATCCCAGAGTGGATCAGATCCCAGCATTGCAGATCTGATCCTCCCTGAGCCCTAGCAACTCAACTTAGCTAGAGAAATCCAGCAAAGCATGCCTCCTTGGCTGTAATTCTGTGTCTACTTTAGTTTTGATAATACTGGGTTTAAGTGTGTGTAAATGTATACATCTGTGCCCGAGATATCATCGGAGATAAACAATCAGTTCAATAAAGCTGCTCTAATGTAATAAAATGAGGTCTTTGGTGCTCCATTTCTAACCGTTGAACAGTGTTCCTTCATAACTGGGATTTGCACTCTCCACCTGAGTTGTACTGCCATGGAATGCACCATAATGGGCACTGACACTGGTTTAATGAGTACATGTACACCCAGGGCCAAATGCAATTACATGCTCTCACAGGCAACCACCAAAAAGAGGCAGCTGTTAACAGCCATTCATCATGGATGGTCATGCAGTTAACAGTGTTTGCAGGACAGGAAAGAGTAAAAGATACAGCGGACAAGGGGGAAGGGGCTAAAGTTATTACACAAGAAATGGTGGGGCAGCATCTGTCAGTGCTGGCAGAATACCATCCCTCCCTGTGTTTGACTCTGATTCACCATTGTGAGTCAAGCCACCACTCTCCAGTTGGTGTAAATGTTTGTGCACATCCTGCAGAAGTGTGGGAAATACCATGTGCAGCCTCTGCAGGGAGGAGCATGCACTGAAAATAAAACAATGATGGATTAATATAAATTAATTGTTTACATCAGTTGCACAAAATTACATGATGTTTTTCTTTTATAACTTTATTATGTATTTCCAAAACATTATGAGAACATGAATGTTCCATGTTGAGAGCTTTTAATCAAATTAGAATTTTAATGTATTTCACTTATGCTGTAAGTGAATGAACCACTTAAAATGACAATGTGTATTCTCACTGGCGATAGGGGGCAGTACATACCTAAATCGTTGTATGCAAGCAGTATTTTTGTTTTTGAGTAAGACCTTACCAATGGATGGCCATTAGGGTCAAAAATCCCTGGGCGCACAACCTACAGCTAAATGACAAGCACATCAGACACCCTTTCATCACTGGCAATGAGTGAAGAGGTAAATGTGTAAAACAACATTTATGAATGGTGAAGGTTTTGTAACTGTTTGTTCAAAATCTATGAATGCATTTTGTCCTCACAGGCTCCCGTAGAAGGAAACATGGTGTCTAATATGGTGTCGCCAAGAGACTCAGACCCGGTCCTACGTATTTTAGACCAGATTTTCATAGTTCTATTTTACGAAGCTGCCGATATTTTTCAATTCAACTTTTTGATAGATATTTCCAGAGATTAACGGTAACAAAATGAAACATTGTCACTTTAAATAATACCAACATTTTTAATACATGTTTTAAGTTTGTAAATGTGTCATGCCGATAACTTAATCCATTATTTTGTTCTTTTTTTTAAACATGGAAAATTACCTCAAATTAGAACAAAATAATTAAAAATATCACTACCCACAATGCACCTCAACCACGGCAACTTTCACAGTGGGCGGGGTCATTTTTTAATCTGTAAATTGCCGTTTTAAATTGACTGAATGCATGAGAATGAGGAAAATATACCAATTTGTTGAAATAACTAGCAATTTTAAGTTTTCAACATCAAAACACACAAAAGGGAGACTTAAGTGAAATAGGAAAAATAAAATGAAACAACTTTTTGTCACAACGTGCGCGGAGTGGAGCGGAGGAAAGGCGTGGATCCAGACCGGGGAGGAAACAGGCAGGCAGGTAGGTAGGTAGGATATCTTAACATGGGTTTATTAAGCACGCTGACACTGGAACAATGACACCACAAGGAACACAGAACAGCAGGGGTTTAAATACATGAGGAACAGGAGCTATGGTGATTGGGAAACAAGAGGCAGGTGGGAGCAATTAACGGAGACACAGACTACAACCTAGGAGAAGACAGGACAGGGTGTGACAGTACCCCCCCCTCAAAGGGCGGATCCCAGACGCCCACAGGAACCAGGAGCAGGGCGGGGGGAGGGGGACCCGGAGGGAGGGCCCAGAGGACGATGGAGAGGCGGCAGGGAACGGCAGAGTCCGGGTGCCGGCGCCTGAGGCAGATGAGGCGACGGGCCCTTGGAGGCCGGCGCCTGCGGCAGAAGAGGAGGCGACGGGCCCTTGGAGGCCGGCGCCTGCGGCAGATGAGGAGGCGACGGGCCCTTGGAGGCCGGCGCCTGCGGCAGATGAGGAGGCGACAGGTCCTTGGAGGCCGGCGCCTGCGGCAGAGGAGGCGACGGGTCCTTGGAGGCCGGCGCCTGCGGCAGAGGAGGAGCTCTGCAGGCTGGGCCGGCGACAAAGTCACTGCAGGCTGGGCCGGCGACAAAGTCACTGCAGGCTGGGCCGGCGACAAAGTCACTGCAGGCTGGGCCGGCGTTGCCCTCAAAACCACCATCGGAACTGGAGACCGTGGAGACGCCGGGCTGGACGGAGCGTCGGCCTCTTGAGTGCAAAGAGCATCCCCAGACGAGACGGCGACGTCATCGGACGAGCCGACTTCAGAGGACGAGGCGACGGCGACGTCATCAGACGAGCCGACTTCAGAGGACGAGGCGACGGCGACGTCATCAGATGAGCCGACTTCAGAGGACGAGGCGACGGCGACGTCATCAGACGAGCCGACTTCAGAGGACGAGGCGACGGCGACGTCATCAGACGAGCCGACTTCAGAGGACGAGGCGGCGGCGACGTCATCAGACGAGCCGACTTCAGAGGTGACGGCGACGTCATCAGAGGAGGAGGCGACTTCAGAGGTGACGGCGACGTCATCAGAGGAGGAGGCGACGTCATCGGACGGGACGTCATCAAAAGAGGAGGCGATGTCATCGGACGGGACGTCATCAGAAGAGGAGGCGACGTCATCGGACGGGACGTCATCAGAAGAGGAGGCGACGTCATCGGACGGGACGTCATCAGAAGAGGAGGCGACGTCATCGGACGGGACGTCATCAGAAGAGGAGGCGACGTCATCGGACGGGACGTCATCAGAAGAGGAGGCGACGTCATCAGATGGGACGTCATCAGAAGAGGAGGCGACGTCATCGGACGGGAAGTCATCAGAAGAGGAGGCGACGTCATCGGACGGGACGTCATCAGAAGAGGAGGCGACGTCATCGGACGGGACGTCATCAGAAGAGGAGGCGACGTCATCGGACGGGACGTCATCAGAAGAGGAGGCGACGTCATCGGACGGGACGTCATCAGAAGAGGAGGCGACGTCATCGGACGGGACGTCATCAGAAGAGGAGGCGACGTCATCGGACGGGACGTCATCAGAAGAGGAGGCGACGTCATCGGACGGGACGTCATCAGAAGAGGAGGCGACGTCATCGGACGGGACGTCATCAGAAGAGGAGGCGACGTCATCGGACGGGACGTCATCAGAAGAGGAGGCGACGTCATCGGACGGGACGTCATCAGAAGAGGAGGCGACATCATCGGACGGGACGTCATCAGAAGAGGAGGCGACGTCATCGGACGGGACGTCATCAGAAGAGGAGGCGACGTCATCGGACACGTCGTCATCGGAGGCGACGTCATCGGACACGTCGTCATCGGAGGCGACGTCATCGGACACGTCGTCATCGGAGGCGACGACATCAGACACGTCGTCATCAGGGGCGACGACTTCGGACACGTCGTCATCAGGGACGACGACTTCGGACACGTCGTCATCAGGGACGACGACTTCGGACACGTCGTCATCAGGGTCGACGACTTCGGACA